ATAGGAAATTATAACATCGATATGATGTTATTGTTAGTTGATGTTTACTGGATATGAAATTATTAATTTCTCGTCACAATATCTTTTGACGATTAAAACTTTACTCTGCTTTGTTTCGCCTTTGTATGCTTTATTCTTGTTTGTTTGATTTCTGCTTATGTTTTTACTTTTGTCTACATTGATTTCCGAAATTGAATTTTATTATAATAGATTGTACGGATTCGACGGACTGGACTTCGTTTGGATGTATCCCGGTAGTGGTGGAACTGGTTTGAACGACAAGGAGAATTTTGTTAGCCTCTTGAAGGTATGAATACTATAACTTATTTATTATTTACTTTATTTTATTACTTATTTATTACTTATTTACAATTTATTTACAATTTATTTTTTATTTTTTTTATTAATATTTTTATTTTTAGGAGCTGCACGAAGCCTATAAGACACCTGGTCTTTCGCTGACGGTAGCTATAAGTGCGATGAAGGAAACTATTAATCTAGGATACAATATAGCCGAAATTTCCAAAAACGTTGATTATATTCACGTAATGTCGTTTGATTATCACGGTTCGTGGAACCAGAAAGTTCTTCCACATGCACCACTCCAAGCTAAAGACGGATTGAGTGTGGTAAGGATATGACTTTTATATAAAAATCATATTGACATACGAGATATGATGTTTTTAAAGAAAGATATTCAACTGTTTAGTTATATATATATATATAATCTTACTTACTAAATAAGAATTCATAATGTCAATTAGCGTACTCCACGAAAAGAATATATTGCAGAGTCTGTTTCCAGAATAACTTAATATATTGATAATTGTTTTTAATGTTTAGGAAGATACTATTACGTACTTAATGCAGATAGGAGCTCCAGCCGAAAAATTAGTCTTGGCGGTGCCAATGTACGGAAGAACTTACGTTCTGATAACGCCACCAGAAAATCCAGACGTTAATCCAATTGGTTTGATGGCTCTGCCAATTGGATTTAGAGGACCTTACACCGCCCAAGACGGCTTCATGGGATATAACGAGGTACTTAGTCATTTCACATATTTATATCATATTTTTTATAAGAATTAGTAATATATATCTTGGATATATATAAATTGTATTTATTTCATGAAGATCTGTGAGGCACAAATAGGAAATCCAAGCGATTGGACAACTGGATTTGATACAGACTCTAGCTCGGCTTATACAATTAATAAGGATCATGTTATCGTTTATGACGATATCAAATCTATAGAAGCTAAGGTACTTCTTTTTGTGAATTATAGTTCCTTTTTGAAATTTACGTTTCTATTATATTGATAACATGTCCAAAACAACCTTATATATTCTAATATAATCAAACAGTATATATAATAATATAATTGTTAATCATCAGATGAAATACATAAAGGAAAAGAACTTGGCGGGTGTTAAAATATGGAGCATCGACACAGACGACTTCCGCGGCAGATGCGGTGAGGCCGCATACCCGCTTATGATGGCCGTCAATGCAGCTCTGGAGGCATCTGTGTAATTCTTTTCTTCTTAATTACGTTCCAAATAAATATCAAATATCTGTAAAACTAATTGGCATCAAAATTTAATAAATTATTTTTATTTTGAGGAGGTGTTATACTTGAAAACTTTACTGGCAAAATGCTAACATTTTTCTCCAAAGTTTACGTCATATTGGTTGTACAGAATTACAAATACTTTTGCATCATAAAATACGTGCAAAAATGAATTAGATTGGATTATTATATCTTAATTTTTGTTATTTTCGATTTTGTCATTAGATTGAATTCTGTTGTACATTCTACGTGCTTTTAATCTTGTAATACAATAAATATATTCTCTTATTAAGCGATTTTACTAGTCGTCTCCGGTCAAGACATACATTTTAACTCTCTTCAATTCGTTCATCCAATTTCATGATACATGACGAGTTTTAATTCGCCACTGTTCATGAGTTTAAAGAGTCTATATTCTACCGCCTTTTCCCCTACCACCTAACAGCTGAAAGTAGACCTGAATCGCAACTCTACTATCAGCGCCATCGCAATACTATCGCGATCCTTTCAGGTTTATCCTCTTTGTTACATTCTCGTCCCTTTCTTCTACTTTTCTCAGTTTCTCTCATTTTCCTTTTCTCCTGCTTTTCTTTCTTTGTTGCTTATTAATTTTTCTATTTATTCCTTTAACTCTTTATTCCACTTTATTTATTCTTTTTATATTTTCCTTATTTTCTTTTCTTTTTCCCTTTTTCTTCTCGTACTCCTCCTCTTTCTTCTTCCTTTTCTTCTTTTATCTTTTTTTTAAGCAAAGTTTATTTATAAAAGCATGTAAAGTCTACGCAGGTTGCCCGAGTAACGTCATATTATTTATTTGAAGAAGAATCCGCGAAGAGCAAAGTAAATTTCACGATGATATGCAACAGGTTCTGAATGCGTCTTTCTCGTTGTCCTGCTCCGTCTCTCACTCGAGAATTAACAGTTACGAGTGAAAGTGATGTGGTCTGGCTGACGCACACCTATCCGACTCCTAACAGTTCGCAGTGCATGGCCGAACGGATAGGTTCTGCTCTACGTTTTTACTACGTATTATGTTATTAAAGCATATTGCTTACGGTTTTATCTAAAACATATGGAACACTACACCGTCACATTATTGTTATCGTTATCACGCACACATTACGATAAAAAAAACAAGCATATATTATTATACTAACAAAAAGGACGTGTCATCACAGATAGTGTTCTTTAAATACTATATAAACGGTAACGTTATTAGAGTTAAATCGCAAGCATGCAATAAAGAACGATAAATCTAAATCAAATTGGCATAATAATTTATAGTTTTGCATAGAACGTAGGTTTTTCCGACGTTTTTATCGTTTTTCAGGTGCAGTATCACAGAAACCCTACAATATATAATACTGTTGCAATTCGCGTTACAACGCATTAAATATATCGCATCAAAGAAAATCGGCGCGTTATGTCTTTCACCATTGTGACGTTTCTACTCACGATTCTACTTTTTGGGACTAACGACGCTCACGGTGAGTTCATCTCTGGTATGATTTCTGACTTGTATTTCATATACAAAAATATTATTAATCTAGATATTAAATTATAATTAATATTTAGTTGTATGTAATAGTATAGTAGATAATTCCTGTCGTTTATGTGTCAATGAACGAAAGTAAATGCCGGCACGCCGTACAATGGGGACGCGACATTTCCGTAAGGCTCGTGAATGTATATACAAGGTGACGCAGCATCACCGTCGTCTCTTTCATCTGCGAATCTTTCGAGTAACGCGAAATCGTCTTTTTCTCCATTATAATACGTTTATATGCCACTTCTCGACTGCTTTTTGATACACCTCTTTAAATAATCTTTTTTGAACAGTTAATTTTTAACTCAAATTTATAAAAATAAAATATATTTAAGCTAAATAAGAAACAAAATTTTTTATGTGTATTTTTATTCTAAAAACTTTATTTTTTATTTTTATAAACGTTATTAACTATTCTTTATTTCATGAAAACTCAAACTCTTAAAATAATATCTGTTTTCAAAATTGAAAAATGATTGATTAAATGATACTCATCTTTTAATATTTTTCAGAACTCTTAAAATTAAAACATAATAAAGTAGTCGTTTGCTACGTTGCATCTTGGGCAGCCTACAGAGTGGACAATGGTGCGTTTTCCATAGGAAATCTGCGTCCAGAGCTTTGTACCCACTTAGTGTATGCATTCGCTGGTTTAAATGTTACATCCTGGAAGATTAGAAGTCTCGATCCTTGGGCCGATATGGAAAAAGACGGTAACCGCAATATTGATTACAAGTCGTAATAACAAATTACTATAAAAATCACTACATACTTAATTAGAAAATAAATGACCTTATACAATTTTTCCATTAATTGCTATTGCAATATAACATTGAGCATACATGCATCAAATAATAATAATTAAGGAACAATGAGAGAAACAAATTTTTGAAATATTAAAAATTATCCGATAAAATTGTCAATTAATCTCGTTAATCCGGTTTCGAATTTACTAAATATAATTTGGAAATTTTTGGGTGAACACAGTAATAGGCAACTACAGGAAGATGACAGCTCTTCGACAAAAATATCCAGGTTTAAAAGTATCACTAGGTATCGGTGGATGGAACGAAGGCAGCAAAAATTATTCAAATCTCGCTTCGTCACCGAATCTTAGAAGAACTTTTGTCGCCAGCACCATCGAGTTCCTCAAGTGCGTTTATTCTGATATTTATATTGATTACAAGATTTCCCATTGCAGAAGAAGTCGATTTTTCAAGTAAAACATTTATTGTTTGAAAATAATTTTCAATATACACTGATTGATACACACATACACGCGCTATCATTCTTGAAATACTTTTTATGAAATTTAATTTGATATTACGATAAATCTTCCGATAGGAAAAATTTGATTCTGTTTGTATTTACTTCTTCTTCTTCATATTCTATAGTCTTTCCTATTTCATTCTTGATTATGTCCCTGCTTTCTTATTTATTTTATTCCTGAAAATTATTCTTATTGCAACAGGACGTATGAATTCGACGGGCTGGACCTTGATTGGGAATTCCCTGGTAGTCGTGGAGGTGCTCCAAGTGATAAACAGAATTTCGTTCATCTCGTGAAGGTATAAGAATTACATTTTACTGTATATTTTATTTGTACGTATTTATTATTTTATTGAAATAAAATTTATTTTATGCCAAACGATAGGAACTGAGCGATGCTTATAGAGAACATCACCTTTCGCTGACGGCAGCTATTAGCGCAGACAAGAAAACTATTGATTTAGCGTACAATATACCTGAAATTTCCAAATATCTTAATCATATTTTCGTGATGGCATATGATTATCACGGTACATGGGACAAGAAGGTTCTACCGAACTCTCCGCTCCGAAGCAACGACGGATTAAGTGTGGTAAGAATGAAATTTTTATACGAAGCTTATTTTTAAAACTATAGTATAATTTTTTTCGTATAACTATAATTAAAGATGTACCATATATAGTATTTCACAAGTAAAAATCAATGATGCTACACAATTTGTGTTTCTTAATAACAAACATTTTATCAAACCTGTTAGTTTATATAAAATTGCTGAACATTTTGATTATTATTTTCAACGTTTAGGAAGATAGTATTACATATTTGTTGGAACGTGGAACTCCAAGCGAGAAACTAGTCTTAGGATTACCGATGTACGGAAGAACATTCATTCTTGCAAAGAAACCTGAAGAGCCTAATATAAATCCGATTGGTCTTCCAGCTCTGACAACTGGCTTCAAAGGACCTTACACTGGCCAAGAAGGTTTTATGGGATTTAATGAGGTGTTTATTTGTAAATTTATATTATATTTTTCAGTTTATAATAAAGATTAGAAACATATATTGAATATATATAAATTGTTCTTATTTCAGATCTGCGAATCACTAACAAAATATTCAAATGATTGGACTAAGGGATGGGATAGTGATACTAGCACAGCTTACGCGATTAAGGAGGATCGTGTTGTCGTTTATGACAATATCAAAACTATAATGGCTAAGGTAATATCTTATACCTCCTTTTTTTCGTAAAACATATTTCGTATTTAATTTAGTTCTTATTATAATTCAAATTTTTATTATATTGTTTGCATATGCAATTCAATCTTATTTTTGTGCTATCAAACTGCGAATTAAGAATGTTTTAAAATGTATAAATTAAATGTTAATAAATAATTAGGTGGAGTATGTAAAGAAGAAGAAATTAGCGGGTGTTATGGTGTGGAGCATCGACACAGATGACTTCCGAGGTGAATGCTATGGGTCCGATTTCCCGATCATGACAGCCATTAATAAAGTTCTAGCAAACACCACTACTATTGATGTAAAACCACCAGTAGCTCCAAACGCATCGTCCAAGCAATTACTTTCACACGTCGTCTTAATATTATCGTTCATGATGATTTATCTTACAAAATTTAATTAGAATTATATATATTATTATGTCTATTCATAAAATTTAATTGTTACGTTATATGCGAGTGATAATTTCATTTGTATTAATCAACAAAAGAAAATTCGATTTTAAGTATATTTATGTTTAAAGAGGAGAAGAGAGTATGTGTGTGTATGTGAATAATGACGATAATAACTTTATCAAGCTTTTTGTGTCTTATAAACTAAATGAAAACAAAAGACTCTTTTAATCTGTTGTCTCGTACTAATTACAAATAAAAGAATCATGTGACATATCTTGTGACATGAGACATGTGTCATGTCTTTAAGACAACTTAAAGACGTCTTATGTTCAGACATTTTAAAGTCGACTTAAAGACGTCTTAAAGTCGACTTAAAGACGTCTTATGTCCCAGTTTTGGACATGTGTGCTGTCTGGGATAGTCGTGTTACTTAAAGAATGAAAGTATATCTAATAAACATCTATCCGCTAGACGTAAATTTTAGACGTAACGAAATTTAACTACATTGAATTCATAAAGCAGTAACGTATAGTCTGTATTCCGAAATTCACTGTCAGTACTGAAAATCTATAGTATACGTGACATTTACTATTGGCAGACTTTTACTATTGGTAGTGAGTAACACAGTCATAGAAGTCAATTGAATTTTAAAATATCGAAAAGACAATTCTATAGAATCGAAATTGAAAGAATCAATAATCGAGAAATCGTTCATCGATTCAACTTCTAAACATGGCCGCCCCGAATCAAAAGTGACAGTAACAAAAATGGCGTTCACCAGTAAAGATGTGTTACCTCTCTGGCACAATGGACCGTCACCAGGAGCATTCTATCATTTTCCAGGCAGTCAGTACGGCACAGGTGGATTCCAAAAATCACAGTATGTTTTATTCGACTTTAATCTATATACTTTTAGTGTGTTTCTGCATTTTTATATACTATAACCTATAAGTGGTGCTCACGAAATACGCTTGTCATCTTCTCTCGCACAATGGAATCTGATGAGAATGAAATGCGATGTAGGAAAAAACTTAATATATATACATTCTTTTCTCTTTTGAATTCACATTTAACTTTTTACAGATCTCCGATAACAACCGGTACGTCTGTTGTTGGCATACAATTCAAAGACGGAGTCCTTATTGCGGCTGATATCCTGGGATCTTATGGATCGCTGGCTCGTTACAGAAATCTAGAGCGTATCATGAAAGTTAACGATAATATTATTCTTGGTGCATCTGGAGACTACGCAGATTTTCAATGCATCAAGAGTAATTTAGAGAGGAAAATGTAATTTTTTTAAATATTATGAAATATATCATTATTAGAGCTTGTAATAAAAGATATAGTTGTATTATTTAATGTTTCCATTTCAGTCTGGAAGAACAATGTTTGGATGATGGATTCAGCTTAAAACCAAAAGCTCTACATTGCTGGCTAACACGTGTTATGTATAACAGGCGGTCAAGCTTTGATCCATTCTGGAATAATTTTGTAATTGCTGGCTTGGAAAATGGAGAACCGTAAATATCACTTATTGTATCTTATAATTTCTCAGATGTACCTCAATCTTTAAGCCTCATAAATCGCAATTTTGTTTATTTTTTAGATTTTTGGGAACTGTAGACAAGCTTGGTACAGCTTACAACGATCCAGTAATCGCGACTGGATATGGTTCTTATATGGCAACACCAATACTGAGAAAAGCCTATGAGGAGAACAGCCAAATGAACAAAGAAGAAGCTATTCAACTCTTATACAAAGTTATGCAAGTTCTCTTTTATAGAGATGCCAGGTCTTTTCCAAAAGTAAATATACAAAATCAAATGCTTACATGATTACATAATATTAATCATGTCACTAATATTTCGTTTCTTTTTAGTATCACATTGGTATTGTCACGAAAGAAAAGGGAGTCGAGATAGAGGGACCGCTAACTCTGGATAGTTATTGGGGACCTGCGATCGTATAAAATTAATGTTCTTTTATTTCTTTAAAATAAATTATAATAAAAAATTCATATACCAGGATGCAAAGATCTCGAATCGAATTTTTCCGTACTTTCAGTACTTACACATTATTGTTCACTTTCACGTTTACATAGAATAGATAATAACCATAATGATTTAATAATAATAAATAATAGAAACTAATTTTTTTATTTCACTATGTTTACATCTTTATCGTGCAGTGAATTTCGCGAAGACAAGTGCGCGGAGTATGACAACAGGAGTATTAATTAATATTTACATTAAAACGGATAGCAATGACAAAAATAATTACAAATTAAAACGTCAATACTTCGCATCCGTCGTCCGTGATTAAGATTGTATGTTCGATTTGTGCAGTCCTAGAATCGTCAACGGTACAAGCCGTCCATCCATCCTCTAAAATCTCGATTTGTGTCGTTCCTTGACTCAAAATTGGTTCAATAGTGAACGTCATCCCCGGTTGCATTTCCCCAAAATAATCATTTGCTGAAAAACAAAGAGCCCACATCAGATTAATATATCGGAGAAGAAGAGTGGGATGTTGTTTTGATCGATATTTATAGATTAACGCGTACCAAAGTGAAAAATATCCGGAACGCCGTGAAAATAAGTCCCAATACCATGACCCAAGCATACTGGTATCACGTTGAAATTATGTTTGTTCGCTATCTCTTCTATCACGTTACCTAAAAAGAAACGGAACGATTCAACAAAGAAATAAACAATAAAGGAAACAAAGACTAAGATTTTTAATTTTGTGTACACAGTACTACCAATATTGCAAAAACGTTCGTTCGGCTTGCATATCTGTATAGCTTCTTTTAAGCACAACTCCGTAATTTTTATTAATTGTTTGCCTTCAGAATCAACTTCGCCTATTTGAAACATAGCTGAGCAATCGCCGTGATAGCCATTAAGATATACCTTAAATGAGAACACCAAAATAATTTTTGTAGTAATTTGCAGTATTTTTTAGGCGGAATAAAATTGATACAACATTTATAAAAAGAGAAGAGCACTCACACACCGTTAAGTCAACATTAAGAATATCACCATCCTGTAGAGGTCTATTGTCTGGAATACCGTGGCAAGCGACATTGTTAATACTTGTACATATAGACTTGGGAAAACCACAATAATTCAGCGTACTCGGATAAGCTCCATTACCAATGATCATGTCGTGCACTTGTTTGTCAAGCGAGTCGGTTGTAATACCAGGCTAATATATGCCAATTTTATCTTACATTCAATCTTACAGTATGTAACATGATTACATATCTAAAAGTTACTATTAACTTTGGGGATGTATTCCAAAAAGCCAAAAGGAAAAATATCTGTACAAACAGAAACTTACTAACTAGTTATCTTCAAACTACACGTCTGTCTTCAATAACAATATTCATATGTAGTAGTTCTAAGTTCAAAATCTGATGTAAATCTCTAATTTTGACTTACAAGACTTACATGCCCAAAGTTGGTTCATATTTTTCAGATATTTTTTCTATTAGATGTTCCAGATTCACTATATCTCCTTCCACCAATTAATTCTTTAACTTATTAGCAATTTATAAAAGGTGATAATACAAATCTAGAACATCCTGTACAATATATATGAGATATGATTCACCTTAATTAATGGATGAACTTGACGTAGAATATAACTAGCAAGTTTACAGCTGTCTCTCATACATTCTATTTGATATGCATCCTTAATTTCTGGTATTTCTGGACCTTTCTCAGGTACTGATGTTTGACTATAGGATGGCTGGGGTATATATGCAGGTACATCAACTTTTTCAGAAACCAGCCACGGTCTAACAACATCATATTTGCCAAAAGAATTGTGGACAAATCTGTGTGTCATCATATTATCAGTCTAGAACAAACACTTATTAATGAAATGATCTTGTGACAGATATATTTAAATCACATTCAGAATTTAGAAAAGGAAAACACAATTAATGAGAAGTGGGAATTTTTTTTTTTTTTTTTTTTTATAATTAAAATGATTAAATGATGTGAAGTATATTAAGAGATTACCTTTGACTGAGTCTTGAAAATGTTTAGAAAACACGTTTTAAGAGACTGTACCGTTTGAATAATGCTTTTGCTCGATGGCATGCTCCACGTGTTATTATAATTTTTTACGTATATATATTATGTTCTATGCATCGGATGTGCTTATTAGCTATCTACACTTTTCTACACTTTTATTTCTTTCCTTTTTGGATAACAATGTACAGTGTATACATGTAGCGATTACAAGATTATTGGAACAGTATTCTACATTTTCTTGCAATTCTGTTTTACGAGGAATTATTTATATATATTCATTCTTTGAAAAGAATAGAATAGATGAGTCGAAATGTAAGAAATACACCAATAAAAAATTACATAACGAACGCACATGCGCGTACATACATGGCGTGTACACAGCTGACGCTGAATAACGTATTAAAGGATTTGATATAGTTTAGAAGAAAAATATGAAAAACAATAATATTATATCCTAATAAGAATAGACATCTATAAAAGAAGAAGAAGGTAATTGTCAAGGAGACGGGCTTGTTCACCGATTTGCCTGAAACTTCAGAATATTGTATATTTTATTGCATAAAACACAAATATAACTTTCATATTCGTATTTTGCGCAATGAAATAACATTATCCCGAAATTTCAGGCAAATCGGTGTGGAAACCTGTCTCCTTGACAATTATTAAGAAGAAGAGAAGAATAAAATAAATTTTTAAACTAAGATAATGCAAATGCAAGGTGCTATGGAGTCTTTTCTTGACGTATCAAAAGTTGCTTTGGTAAAATATTATTGTAAATGTTACATTTTCACAATATTTCAAGCCGTTATTGTTTTATTTAACACATTTTCTATATATTTCAGTCCAACTTGTCACATCAAACAATTCGTGTTATCCTGGGAAATCAAACCTGTGACTTGGATTCTGCTGTATGCACTCTGGTGAAAGGACTGTTAGAGTATGTCAACGCTAAGAAACATGGAAAGACCGATCTAGCTGTGATACCAATTCTAAATATTCCACAGGAGAATTTTAGCATCAAAACTGAAGTAGTTTACTGGCTGCTATCTCATAATATCCAACAGAATTTATTGACATTTAGGTAAGTGTTAAAGTACTAAAAAAATGACCTGAGCCTGGTACTACTGGAGTACTATATCCTCGACAGAGATCAGATAAATTTGCATAACCTGCAGAACAATACTGACAAGAAATTGGAGCTGATCCTAGTTGATCATCATACTCTCCCAAATGAAGATGTTGCATTGAAACCTTCAGTAATAACAATTATTGATCACCGACCATTAGATCCAACCTGGTCATGGCCTGATACACTATTAAACATAGAAATTGTTGGAAGCTGTGCAAGCCTTATCACACGAGACATACTCCAAGAAAATCTTGATATATTGGATACTCAGGTTGCAAGCCTTTTGAGAGGTAAATATTACCATTCACTTAAGGATTTGTAATTTGTTAATATTTGTTTTTATAATATCCAATATACTTTTTAGGTCCAATTTTGGTTGATACCTACAATATGTCAGCTAAGGGTAATCGAGTGACTGCCACTGATATCAATGCATTAAATAAACTTGAGCAACTTGGTAGACTCACATCTGATAGAACCAAGATATTTAATGAGATTATGAAAGCAAAAAAGGATATCAGCAAATTGACTGTCAAAGAACTTATGGTTAAGGATCTAAAAGTAACAAGTGATGTGCCCATTGCAGTTTTCCCTCTTTTAGTGGAGGTATATTATTTAGTTTTCTTGAATTGCTTAATTAACACGTTTTAACTTTAGATTTCATATATAAGATGTATTTCATAATTTAGGATCTTCTCATACGAAAGAATGCAGAAGAGATGATTGAAAAGTTTTGCATTGATAGAAATTGTACTGTCGTCGTTCTCATTGGTCTTGATGTGAGCGACAAACATATGTCTAAAGATATTGCGGTCTTTTCCACGTTATGCAATCAATTAGGAAATGACGTAAGTATTGTTTAATGCATTATTATGTTATCTTAATATATTAATGTATGTATCCTGCTTATTTTTATTTGCAGATTATTGAAGCATTAACTTCTTCTACACAACCACGCTTGGATATAGAGCTAATCAAAGAGATTCGAAAAGAAAGATACAATATCTGCTTATATAAATTAGGGAATTTAGAGGTAACACGCAAACATATATTGCCGATTGTACAAAAAACAGCGTTATCACATAAAAACGAACAAATATAAATAAACAGAGAAAGTATGAAAAATTTTATGGAGGAGCAAAAATTGTGTTAATACAAATACTCGGAAGATGTTCTTTAAAATCTCTTTTAAAAACTTAATCCTCTTAATCCTTTCACTCACACTTCTTCCACTTTTCCTCAATTATGTCATTGGAAATAGCAACGTTATATTTGAGTTATAGATACACAACATTATAGAAATAGTGAATTTTTCCATAAATTTCATATATAAAATCAGTCTTTAATAACTTTTAGTACACAAAAGATCTTGCAAGTTACATATATGTGGTTTGAAATAATATATTCTAAGTTGTTTTACAAAACTGCAGTCTAATGTTCACATTTTTCCTTTTTCCTTCAAGAAAGAGAGTAGAGTTTTCAAAAAAGTATTCTGTACGTTATTGCACAAACATGCACATTTATGTAAACACGTATATTCTGTAAATAATAAATTGTATATGTATGTATGTATATATATATATATATATATATATATATATATATATATATATATATATATATATATATCATACACACACACACACACACACGAAAAACGTTCAATTTAATGATTATTACTATTATTCAATCGTTTTTATCACGGAATAAATATGATAAAATCTCGTTTTGAGACAGGTTGACATTCGAAGTCTACATGGAAAGCTTTTGCATCGTTCGCATCAGCGAAAGTATCTAAGTTCAAAGTACTGGGAATTTTATGATTGTGCGCAGTGAAACGCCACCACTATCGCCATTGGCTGTCGAAACGTCACACCCCTCTGTGTTATCACACATCATCCCCATATAAGGACCTTTCTTCCCGCGGAATATCCTAGTGACCGTAACGATGTAATCTCACGAATGCTATTTACTCTTTCGTTCGCACGGACATAGCGAAAGTGTACGTTAGACAGCGAGATGCATCGCGGGGATTTTCGTACGCATCGTTCGGCAAGCGGGGTGCAAACGCGACGGGAATCGAGTGGAACTGTCCAAGTGGCGAACTCTACGAGCGATAGATGCTCGTTATCAACGCGACTCACGTGTTTCGTTTAAAATTATGAGACAAGCTGCTCGCAGTTACTGGCGACCACCCTCGAACAACAGTAAGAATGCCGAAAGCGCTGGGGGTGCGCACCTGCTACTACTTGTCCTGTCCGAACGCGAATCGCCGAGCGTGAAGCTCATCCTGGTCGCGAGCGGACATCGTGAAGAGCGAGTACCGCGTTCGGAAAAAGGAATCTGCGAGATACGCGCAATTTCGCCCACCCGCGAAATAACGCATATTGATCGTTCCATACTTGTTGCGCAGAGACAACAGCCGGGCCAAGCTACGCCGAGTATCAACATCCCCACCCTGTGTGAGCGAAAAGCTGCATTACACTCATGAACGTTGTTCTCCTGTAAATTACATCCGACCCCTTTTCTTTCTCCTCTTTTTTGATTTTCGTGACGTGCGTATCGCGCGGCGTTCCACGACGGGCAGACGCGATGAGAGAGTATCGCGGGCAGTATTATGATTCGTAAATGCGCTCGGAGGAACGTTACGCTGCGCTATCATAACATATCATGGAGCCAGTACGCCTTTTGATAAAACTACTAATGCTGTTCAGTTGGTGCATCGGGGAATCCATTGGAAACGCTCTCGGTGAGTACTGCTCGTTGATTCGTTTCGCGCGAGTCGTGTCACTCCATTATCAACCCCTGCGTACATGACCTATTTTTTATATATATATATTCTCTCATGGACCGAATTTTGACGTAAGGCCCACGCGACGTTTTCCGACCAGATATAATCTACATTCTCGTAGACTAATTTTTAGAATTATTTTAAAGCTGAAATCTCCTCGTAGTTGTAAAAAAATATTTTTTTTTCAAAATTCCTACCAATGAGAGATATTAAAGAATCGAGTAAATGACTTTTCATTGTTAAATGTACATTCGAAAATTGTAAAATTACATCGAGGATGTTTTGAATTACAAAACTAACACCAAGTCTGAAATATCCGAAATGTAATGACAACGATAAGAGGCTATATCCTTTTTAGAAAAATGCATACTTCCACTCGGCATGGAAGAAGGAAAGATCCCAGATGAAGCGATTACGGCGTCGTCCAGTTACGAAATGAAATCTGTGGGCCCCCAAAATGCAAGGTATAAGAAAATATCAACGGGATAACACGTTCAACTTGAATCGTAGCTATTCAATAATTCAATAATTCGAATACTTGTAGAATACGACAAGAGAAGAACGGCGGTGCTTGGTGTCCGAAAGCTCAGATCAGTAGCGCGATACGTGAATACTTAGAGATTGATCTGACGAGAAGCCATCTCATCACGTGGACCGAGACTCAAGGCCGATTTGGTAATGGTCAGGGTCAGGAATACGCTGAGGCGTTCTTCCTGGAATATTGGCGACATGAAAAGTGGCATCAGTATAAAGATTTGAAAGGGAACAAGGTACGATCGACTTATCGAGAAACTGTTGATTTTAAATCATTTAACATTAGTTTTATGTAGATATGTCGATAAACAACTTTGGATCTCGATGATCCAAATTAAAAAATTTAATTTTTTTGTATTAAGATTGATCTTTTTATACATTCTGAAAAAAGCGTTTCTTAATTAACTTTTTTAAGAATTTGTTATATGCTGAAATATATCGAAAATTGAAATGTTTTATAGATTCTACGTGGTAACAGCAATACATATCTAGTTGAAAAGCAGAAGTTAGATTTGCCGTTCGTCGCGAGTCGAGTGAGATTCGTCCCTTACAGTCAACACCCGCGCACTGTTTGCATGAGAGTCGAGATTTATGGCTGCATCTGGAATCGTGAGTATTTTCCGATATATAACTTGACTTTGCCGATCTGTCTGTTATGTACGAGCGCTTGCACCTGTAGACTCTTGAACGTCACAATGTAGTTTTACAGTCGAATATATCGACGTATTTTGAATACGAAGATGAATTGCGAAATAGTCGCAAGTGAAATAGCAATTTTTAACAATAGGATACACAAAAATACCTTTGTTGTTATTTACGCAGAAGATATGGTCAGTTACACTGCGCCTAAAGCTGATAAAAACGGACCTAATGGGTGCAACGTTGAGGACACGTCGTACGACGGCACGGAGATAGAAAGACTAATGTTGAACGGGTTAGGACAATTGACTGACGGCATTGTCGGAAGCGAAATTGAGATCCTACAATCCGATAGAATAACCAACTGGGTTGGATGGCGCGATCGAGATTATGTCGAATTGCTCTTCGAATTTCAAGTCGCGCGGAAATTTGCAAACTGCACGATTCACGTAGCCGATCTGTCCGAATTGCGTATCCAGGTATGTCATGCAAAATAGATTATTCCATTGTGATAACGAATGCTCCTTCTAACTTCGATCATTTTTAGATGTTCTCGACGGTAACTTTCTGGTTTTCCTCGGACGGCAAGCAATATTCAGAAACGCCGGAAACATTTAACAATCCTAAGATGAATATCAATCTCGATAGCGGCAGCAGCAAAAATAGCGCTTCGGTAACTATTCCGTTACAATCGAGAATCGGCAAATTTATCAAAGTGGAATTGAAGCCTGAAGCGAGGTGGTTGTTGTTGAGCGAGATCACGTTCATAATAGGTAATTTATTATTTCATTATTATATTCAGTAAATTGAAATGTTATTCGATAATCAATTGCCAAATAGTATTTGAATAGTTTCCTTAATTTCGCAAACTAAAGTTCCAGACGTGAAGAATAATACCGACGGAGCATTGGAACGATTATCATGGATATATTCCAACAACAATGAGAACATATCCCAAACGATTAATCAGGATCAGTTGGCGAAAATAAAACGCATCGAGGACAAAGAGGACGAGATCGACGAAGTGGACACTCAAGACGTGAATAAGATCAGAGGTGAAACTGGCGACGAGGCAAGAATAAATGTCAAACATGGACGTACAGCGACTGGAAAGACGAAGAATGATTTCAACGATACGAGTTTACTGAACGATTCAAACCTAACGCCGGATGCCTTCCCCGTGAATAATTCGCAGACTTACATCGGGCTAATCAGCGCGGCGTTAACTGTGATCGCCTTCTTCTCAAGCTGCACAATTTTCTTGATGAAGCAGAGAGGGCGTAATAAAGTGGCATTACTACAGAAGCACACCGCGTTGCTGTGCAGCTCGCCAGCACCGGGTATTACGATTAATACGAAGGACATGAAATTACCCACGCCAATCGTGGTGAACAATCTATCTCAATCCAGATTATCCTTGAAGAGCAAGATTGCCTCTAACGGCGATTACAAGTTTGGCGACGCTGACGCAGGCGAACAGCACAGCGCTTGTGAGAAGATCAATAAAATACCCTCGGAACAATACGTCAAATGCGAGGCCAGGTCGAGTTATAAAACGGAGCATTTCGGTATGTAGAGGATTATATTGCTAATTGCAACTTTAATGACATCGATAATTAATACTACATTCGCTATATTATCAAAGTATGCATGAATAATATTATCTAGGTTCTACTGGAAAATTTTATTATAACGTATTAATTACAACATAGAAATTGCCTTGTAATTATTATTACATAATATTTTACTCGACTCGCGTTTTTGTTATTATACCAACGTTCACGAGATATTACGTTCGCCTCGATTTTCCTGCAGCTTTCATTATTAATTTTAATTTATAGATATGAAACTTGATAATACATATTGATAAGTAAAATTAATAAAATTATTTATAGAATGTGTGTAGAGCATGTAATTTATTAAATAATAGAGAGGAAGTCGAAAAGGGGGTGGTATATGCGCCCCCACCCTGCCACCTCCCACTTGTATGCCACGACCCTGGTCGTGTCCTATTTAACATTATTATCGATTTGTTGATATTTTAGATGTTAAAAACGGCGAAAATTTTGCCGATGAAACGCGAGCAGAATGCGGAATAATACCAACGACGGCGAAAAAATTGAATCACTCGCAAGCGGGAAAGATTAATCAGAGAGTGTATGAGAGTTATTACGCAGCTACGGACATCCTAACGGTAAAACAATCCACAGCATGTTCCAGAATAGCGATAATCTAAATGATTCTGTGATCGTAATGCAATACTTGGTACAGTATTACAATGTGTTATAGATAAAAAGGCGCGAACAAAATCCTGCTGCGAGTCTTTTCACACCACTACTCATTCGGGATTCAGTTTTATCGTACAAACGCGGGACCCACGACGTTCAGCGTGTTTCTCGGCATAGATTAAGAATCCTCGATAAACTCGGCGAGGGAAACTTTGGTCTGGTAAATTTTGTCCGTCTTCATTCAATTTTCGAATCGCATAAATTGATAAAAGTTTTATCTGAGAAACACATTCATTTTTTATATTTTTAAAACATGTCCTCATTTCTCAAATGTCTGAAAGGGCAGCTTGATGTTTGAAATATATAAAATATATTCTAGCTTTCCAAATGTCCAAGAAATACTCTAATTTTTTCAAACATTATTTCTTAAATTTTTGTATTGAGTTTTTGAGATTTAATATAGAAAAATTTACCTTATTCAGGTTCATCTGTGTGAAGCAAAAGGCATTCAAAATCCAGATCTAGGCATTCTGCAAAACCGTCAAGTAGTGATAGTGCGGTCCTTGTGGCGCGGCGTTGTCGACGCTTTAAGGTAAAAAGAAATAAAAAGACACATTATAGTTTGCCTAATAGGATTCTATTTGCAGAATTTTTAATTTGTATGAAAATTAATCCATTTAGGGAGGATTTCATGAGCGACATGCATATCTTGGCTGAAATTCGCGACATTAACATTGCCAGAATAATCGCAATCGTCGAAGAAGAACCATTTAGTGCCATTTTCGAATATGGAGAACTTGGGGATCTATCCAGTTTTCTAAAGAGCCGTGATTGCGACGCACCGATAAGGTAAGATAGCATAACGATTCGACCAGAGATTTTATCTGTTTTTTGTATAATAATTATGACTTCTGTAGTTACGAGTGCTCGTTAAATCTGGTCGCGCAAATCGCTTCAGGCATGAAGTATCTCGAGAGCTTGAACGTGCCGCACTGCGATCTGGCAGCCAGGTAACAACGCGTTCGCCATAATGATTCGTGATAACCCGCGTACTTTTAATATAACGCACTTTTTGTTACAGGAATTGTATTGTCTGCAAAGATCTACTGATCAAAGTGTCCGACCAAGCTATGTACTGCAGCAAATACGACGGCGAGTATTACGTTGATGAGTGTTACGCGAAGATACCGTTACGTTGGATGGCATGGGAAGCGGTCATATCGGTAATTTCGTCTCATAATCAACCCGGGATAATGCAAGTGATAACCTAAGATTACCTTGAAAGCTTTTCGCCAGCACATGAAACATTAAACAATGAAACATTTCATTGTTTAAACTAAAAGGATAATATCCTATAATATATTAAAGTTAATACTTTTGCCTGTCTTTACGTAGGGAAAACGAAGCTGTCAGTCCGACGTCTGGTCGTACGGCGTGACAGTTTGGGAGGTGTTGACGCGCTGCGAGGACGTGCCGTACGCCGATCTGACTTCGGAACAGGTGTTGGAGAATTGCGGTCTATGGTACCACTCGTCGGACGGCGGTAAGAGCAAACGTCCGCGGCTTCTCGAGCAGCCGATGTTCTGCACGGACGATCTGTACCGGCTGATGCTGAGGTGTTGGTGCAAACGCGCAGACGATCGGCCCAGTTTCCAGGAGATTCATTGCTACCTCAAGAAGCTGACTTTGGATTAAAAACGCAGACTCGCCACTTTTGAACGCGAGCGCATTTAGCGGCGGGCGTACGGAGACGGGGCGACACCATGCATGCTCCAGCAGCGGCGCGGACCAAATCGATTACAATCAGCTAAGAAGCATCCTGAGATTGCTTTCTTACCGCTTTTTGCGCACGAACGGCCACAAACTAATATCGCAAATCGTCGCAGTCGTTGAAGATGCCTAAAACACATCAACGTGGGATGCTCTCTGGCCACTAATCTTACTGCTCAACTAGATTTATCTAATTTGATTATACGAATAAGTATAGGTTAATGATATAATGATAAACAAAAAAAAAAAGGAATTCAACGCGACGGATAATCGCATACAGATTTCTCGTAATACTCTATGCCAAGAAATAACCCGGGGATGATCTTCGACGATTATTTCTGCACTTGAAATACGCGTGTAATTTCGTGCGAAGAAATGATTCATCTAGGTTTATTGATTTACATATCTTTCCTACGCTTATATATGTGATACTTATTATCGGTTACTTTTAGGAAGATCGTTCTCTATTCTTTCCAATGTCCTTTACCCCGGCCAATCGTAGTAAAATCGCGACACGAACAAACTTTGCAGCAAGTTATTCCACTTAATGCGGACCTTGCGCAAAGTTTAGCCATTTTGTCAGGGCTGGGTACTTTATATCATCGTGAGAATTCGTTGCATATAGCAGAAACAAAGTATTATACATAAAATCGACATAGAGCGAGCGTTATTACTTGATTACGTCGATATGTGTAACTTGAAAACGCATTGCGATTAATGAAGGATGACAATCAGTTTTGCTCACCTACTCGTATGTACTTATTTTACGAAGTACTATCATGATATATACTCGTATTGAATCTGTTCGTTGCGACGATCGATTCAGCTTATCTATCTTAGGAGAAAGGTGGATCGTTTGATCTTCAATTAAATTTCGCAATGATGCAAGATTTAAATATAGAGGAATACTCTTCCATATATCCTTTCTTATATATATCTCTCTTAAACTAAGTCATCAATTTTTATTCAAAGATATATATATATATATATATATATATATATATATATATATATATATATAGTATTTTTCGCGGAATGTATTTTAAAACATGAGTGCTTTTTGCGGATCGTGTTATTGCGCGTCGTAAATTCTTCGAGAGACTTTATAGAGCGAAATTGTGCCAATTCAAGCGTTCTGTGCCAAAGGAATAACCGATATTCGAAAGAACGCATTTCAAGATGGATACGAGGCCTCAGTTTTAACATACATTCTGTAATAATAACGATATTAATACTAAGAGAACAATGAAAGGAGCAAGAGAGCAAAATACGAGGATCACAATTACGATAATTGGAGTATAAACAACGACGATAATAACGATTATGGTAAACGCGTACAATTTTAGATTATATATGTTTATAACATATTTGACAGATGTAACGTTTAATTAAATCAAATTTGTAATATCAGTAACGTGTGTTATTTTGAAGATTGTGCAGAACGTTATGCACCTTCTCTCGACACTCTAAATCCACCGTAAGATTTAGAAAAGATATTATAATGGTTTACAAAATTATTCAATATCTAAATTGAGGAAATTTAACAAATTTTCTTTAATTTTAGACGGACAAATAAATGTGCGCCGTAAAACTTCATTTTTTAATTATAAAAACCAACAAATGTCAATTTCAGCAATAACTATAATTGTTTGTTATTTATAATATATAATAACTAATATTACTAATATAACTAATACTAAAAAACCTGTTAAAAGCTAGATGTTACACTTTTATCACACAAGACGCATGATATTCATTTCTTTGTGGAAATCTTCAAGGGACTGTTCCCAGCGTTCTTCATAATAGACTCCCAATAGAAACTTCGCTTTTTTACCCGTATTTATAGCCCACGGCAGGTAATGCTTCGTGTACAATTGCCGCTGCCTAAAATGTACGATAGAATGTACAATGGAAATCATTAATCAACCACACGGTATCTATCATAGGACATCATGTCAAAAACGTATTCAAATACAATTTTACCTAGGACGTAGTCGACTACTTCCAAATATCGCTGCACTTATACACATTGGCAAGTGCATCTGTAAGCCCTCCACCCATTTAACTGATACTTCCCCCAGCATCGTCGTCGGCATTAAGAGGACAGCGTGAAAGATATCGTGTACTTCACGGTACCGTTGCATCACGTATGCCAACTCAATATCGTCGATGTATTGCACCGGCATTCGATCATCGGGTGATACATTCTGCAAGATGCATTGTCCGCTCAGAAAAAGGTTGGCATTTTTGTTTTGCATTTTAATTACATCTGCCAGGGCAAAAAGTCGGGAAGTTTAAGCACATCCTTACATTATTATCCAAGAAATCACGATACGTTCTGCCGACTGTTCCTGGTGGCAAATCTTTGAGGTAAGACAGATCGACGGTGGACGTGTTTACGCGTGGCTTTTGCTCAAGTATACGCTGACCCTCGGCCGTGCTTTTCAGTATTCGATGACAATGTACGAGGGCATTCTTGCCGGTGGTCTCCCCGAGACACGCTATCATGTCTCCTCGGTATGGGTTTGCCAACGAAATTACCGCCGAGCCCATCGTGAGCAGCAGACGCTGCAGAGGAGATAAAGATATATGGTGTTTGGCATAATCCTCCAGAAATGCCTTGCTAGTTGAAGCTGTGGTGAAACTGCCTGAAAAACCGAGTGAGGTAGATGAACACGTTTGGTCATACACACACATACACACACATATACACACATACGCATAGTATTTATTAATAAATAAAATTTATTTCCATTTTGAAGTGGCCGCAGTATATATGTACACATATTAAATTATATCTAACTTTATGGCGATGCTGTTCCTTAATTGACCCGCGTCACGTTTCGTCTGTAACGTGTAATACTTATTTGGTAACGATTATTTCACTTTGGTACATTTTACAGTCGACTTGTCGACGACATCTCGACAACTCTGTAACTCAATTCAAAGTTAAAGAGCATTTTGTACAGCAGGAACAGAAATGCTTGAAAAGATACTACAACTAAAACAAGGAGCAACGATAATCACATCGTCGTTACGTCGGGCCGAAGAAGCACGCATGTAACAACGAGAATATAACTTACGGTTAAAGAAAAGACTTACTGACCGTCACATGTCTCGCAAATATGCTAACAAATTTTTCGAACAAGCGCATCATATCGAGTAGTGCCGTCAATTTTGACTACTCGGGTATTCCAAGTCTTCCGTACTATATACTAGCAGTTTACATGTCCCAACATGTTTACTAAGCGCTCGCTTTTCTCTAGCATACTTTTAACATGCTGGATCACTTGGTAAACATGTTGGAAAAGTGTAAACTGCTCAAGTGTAATTCAATAGAAAATTACACAGCAGTTGCAAAGTTGCCGGCAATTTAGTGGAAAACGCTTATTAAGCTGCTTCTTCTGCTGAATGCAATCAATAACAAATAACGAAACGCAAATGCATTGCGTAACCGAGTTATTGCATTACTCATAACTATTTACTATCTGATTGCCCAAGTAATACCTGCGAGTGTGGATACCCGAGTGGTATAGTCAGCTGATTAAGTGTAGCAACACTTTCTCTCAATAAGTTTTTTGCAAAGCATTCCGTATCTTCTGAGAATTGCTAAAAAACAAATTCTTCTATTGGATACATTCCGTATCTTCTAAGAATTGCTAAAAAACAAATTCTTCTATTGGATACGGAATATGTTACGTAATTTATCGAGAAAAAGTGTTGTCGCTTTTAATCAGCCTGTACCCATGAATATGGATACTATCCGGATAATACCCGCGAGTTTAGGTACCCGGGGTATTACCCACGTATAGAAATACTCGGATTATACTGACAGCACTAATACCCAGGACACATCACGCTCTCGCAACCAGCGTCTGTGCTGCAAGAGTTACAATCATACAGCTTGTATCTTGCTGGCCTGAGACTCGGTCAATAGGCTGAACTTTGGCGACAGAGTGTCTCTTTTACGGAACGTTACCCAGGTATACACTAAACTACCTATCACACTCAAGTTCAACCCTACAAAGTTCAGCCACGAAAATATATAGTCCCCACCGATCACCATGCCGAGATACGTCACACATATGTTCTTCAGGCATCCAATGATGGTGGTGGTCAGCGCTGAGTTGTACAGCGTGCAGAGGATCATACTGTACGATAGTATGAAGCCCATTACGCATGACAGAGCAAACTGTAGGACGAACATCAGATTCGTCCAGTCGGGGAAGTCCAGTGTCTGGGTGATGTCACCCATCCACCAAGCCAACAGGACCGTCGGGCCGAGCATGAACAGAGAATTGTAGTACATTAGTCCATGCTTGCCCAATTCCTTGGAGTCTAGTTTCTTTTTCATGAACACGCCATTGGCGGCGGTGAAGAAGTCGTTCAGCAGGATAAAAATGTAGCCCTCCAGATTGAAAGCTAGATCGTTGAGCGCGGCTACCACTGCACCCAGAATCATGGTATAGACGCTCAGCTGTATGGACAGTCGCGCCTTGATGCCGAGGATGTAGTATTCAGCGATCATGGTCATGAGTATACTGAACCGTCGTAGCGCGGTGAACATCGGCAGGCTCAGTTGCTTCGTGCCGCCCAGGCCGAAAATCATGTTACCGATGTAGATCAACGGCAACGGCCAGATCTTCGTGAACGTTGTCGCCTCCAAGTTCGAGTACTCGACGTAACGCAGCCTCTTGGCGACGAACAACACCAGGATCGTCGCCAACATCTGGCCGATGCCTAACACTTGGAAGGACGGGAAAGCGAACGACGTGAGCACCGTCTTGTTGACGACGGTGATCATGAACGACGACAGCCCGTAAAAGAACGCCGACGACACACGCACAAACATTGCGCTCTGCTCGTGTTCCGTCATTGCGTCGGAGACTTTCTACGCTTTTTTTGTCTTTTTCTCTCTCTTTCACGCGATCGCGTCGTTTGCCGACAGGCAAACTCACGAATATCGAATTACGATAAACAGTGATTCACGTAATGGAACCTACACTTTGATAACCTTATCATGCTTCTTCCGTTTCAGCAACACGCCTGTTCAAAACGGTCTCGTAAATGCAAGCCAGGGTCGGAGTGATAAAAGCGTCGCGTAGGGTGCACGTAAGATTGTATAAATTGTCAGATATCAGCATAGTGCGGCTGCCTGCATCGACCTTGCACGAATTTTCACTTGTGTCATTTTGCCTCGTAGTCGGCACAGTATCCGTATGTAACCTAATCACATGACGGATAAATTAAGCAAACCCACAAAATAAGATTGCGCACGCAATGATACAAATTTTACTAAAACGTACCTCTTCAGAGAGAGCTAATTATTCCGCAGTATATGAAGAGAGACAGCGTCAACAGTCAACTGATCTGTCCCGTTTCTTTTTCTCAGATATCCCTTTGTAAAATTAACTTTATTCGATTGAAACACGGAATTTCGTCTTGGATTTCCGGTTAAATTATATCTTGAATATCAGTTACGTTCCACTCATGTATATATATATATATTAACAGATGCGGTGGAAAGCTCAATGGCGCACAAACATGATAAAATGGAATAAGTACAGGATCTTTAAACCTAACCAAACCTAATCCAACATAACCAAATCCTAAACTATACTTCTTCTTTTTCTTCTCTATATTTTATTTGGCTAGCAGATTTTCTCAAATAGTCCTTTCTGCCAAGGTATCGAAGTACAAGTTCAAAAAAATATTAGGTCCAAACTTGTTTAGACACGGTTAAACGTAACAGCGGTTAGGCCAGAACTTTAACCTATACTTTATTATAAATTTACCGGTTCAAAATGGTGACAATCGCCACCGCCATCTTTTCCAGACACAGGCTGCGTTCGCTTTGGACGCTTACGCGCTGTAAGTCCCGATCCACAATAGATGTAGGCTGCGTAGGTGTAGGCTTTTGGGCGCTTACGCACTTATAAGCGTTTATAAGCGTCACTCTATCTTTCTTTCGCATCTAATAAGCGATAAAGATAGGATGGCGCTTACAGCGCGTGAGCGCCCAAAAAGAACGCAGTCATAGTAAGTTTTAAGCCTTAAAAAATTGACCAATCACAGTCAAATTTGAGGAAAATAATTGATTGTGATTGATCAATTTGACTGGTACATCATCTGAAGATAAATTTATAGCGTGTTCGACTGGCCCTGAGTTAATCGCTCCAAGAGCGATTATTGACGTTATAAGTCTCTACTAGCCAATCATAAAGTTTATAAGTACTTGTTCGACCAATAAACGTAGACTGAATAACCCAGAGTAGATTAACCCAGAGCCAGTCAAACATGCTATAAGACGGTCTTAAATATTAGATTTGATTAAATATCGGCCTAAGACCGAAGGTTTGTTCGCGTCCCAACGTACTCCTACTCGCTCCAACGTACTCTGATTGGTCCGCGTGGTGACATGAGCCAATCAGAGTGCGTTGGAGCGAGTAGGAGCACGTTGGGGCATGCGACGCGAACAAACCTCGATATTCGTAGTTGGGTCTTATATTTAAGCCATCTTAAATTTATTTTCAAATGCCGTACGGATCATTTTTTTCCATTTGTATATTGAAGTGCGTTCGAAAACGTCACCCAAGTGCACCAGCTGCGTTAGAGTGAGAAAAGAAAGAAACAGAGAAAGAGAGAGAGCACACAAGTGACGTTTTCGAACGCACCCTTGGTGATACATTGCGGATATGGATTTGGTGATTCAAGGATCTGGATATTACTCCGCCACGTTGCTACGGAAACGGTTTATCGGGAACTACTTTACGGAAGTTCTCTTGTTAATTCGACCCGTCCGTTTGTCGTTTCTCGCCATTCCGACTTGTAACGTATTGTCGAAATTAACGATTATTTTTCGACACTAATTTGTCAGAATTTCTAAAATTTTCCATTTTGAAAGTTTAACTCTATTTATCAAACGATATCGATTAACTACGAGCTACCCGCTCTCGCTAAGCTACTCGCAACATCGGAAATCATCCGGAGATTTCTAGCAGCGGCAGTATATATTCATATTTCTCCATGTAAGTACGCAATGACTACGTTATGGGAGGCGCAAAATCTTTCTCTTTGAAAATAAGCTTGCTTTTAAAACATGCGTGATACTTGAGAAATTGTTCGTATAGGAATATTATACACGGAAAGTAGACTATGCAAGCATCAATCGATAATGGATAATGAAAGAGTATCGATCGGCTGGTAATTAGAATTTTTTTCTTTATTAGAGAATTTAAAGCGCGCTCACTATAAACTTTCTTGCAAAACATTCTTTAATTTTTTTACAACAGAAAATAGCAATAATACAAGCGATACATTATTCACATTAATTATTCACCTTTTTTTGTAAAAATAGATATTTCATTAAAAGATAAAAATTAATAAAATGATAAAAATTAGTGTCATATGATGGTTGACAAAATCTAGTCTTATAAAAAAAATTTAGTGAAAATTTAAAGCACATATATCAAATAATTAATAGAGAATGGTGTGTATATATATAAAATAAACCACTCACGATATAAAAAATATAGAAAAAACCATCTTATGTTACTACAGATCTCTATCTAAAGTATTAAAGACTCATAAAAGTTTAATAAATTTTTAGTCTTTTTTTATTAAGGGTAACAAAACAGTATATGCTATATTCAAAATAGTACAATTTTTTACAAGTCTAGATCACATTAAATTAAGACATTTTCATCTTATAGGTTTAATCGTGACCGAGATCAGGGTAGAGGCCGTCGTGGTGGTGGTGCTGTTAGGGGTGGCACTAGCAGAGGCGGCAGTGATAATGGACGAGGGCACATTGTCAGCAGATTTAGCACACGTGGTAGAGGAGGTGTCAGTAATATAAGAGGTGGCTTAAAAGGGAAACAGCCTGGTGGTGGCCTAAGGAGAGTCAATTGGGACCTACGTACTCTGGAACCATTACGCAAGGATTTTTACGTTGAGCATCCTGCAGTTAGAAATAGGTATCTAAAAACTTAAAATCAATAAGATCTTTTGCAGTTAGCCTCTCTACTCAGCAGGAACTTATGTCTTGCCATGTTCTAAGCATAACAAAATTGTATAGGCTGGATTTTCAGTACTTGCAGGCATTTGTCAACAGGTTCTAATTGGCATTTAAGTTGAGAGGGGAGGTTGGCTATAAAAAATCATAAAAAGTCAGTAGCTTCAAACTTTAAGGAGTTTATTCATTTAAGCCAAAATGCTTAAAAGTATAAATTTTAATGTAACATTTATCACAGTAAAACATTCATAATTAAAGCTTTATGTGATTTTTCTGTATCATTCATAAGAAATTTAATACAGAATATCACAATTTTGCACATATAACTTTATGGTAAAAGTAATATAGATGACCATGATAGTGTAATTTTGTAGTGTAATTTTAGTGTAATCTAGTGTAATTTTGTAAAAAATACCATCTAAATAAAAAACTTGCCGTTATAAATGTTACTTATTAGAAAATGCAACATGAGTAAGAATAGTATTTATTATACCATTTTTGTGTAATTATATAATTATAGGATAGAAAACTTGTTTTCTGTTTCGAGTAGCATATTGTACTTTGTGAAACATGGCAAAGTAAATACCATGAAATTAACTTTAACATTTATTATTTAGATAACAAAATGAATATACAAAGACGTAATTTTGTTCGATAAATAATGAATTTATGAGTAATAGCTTCTATAGGGCATCTCCTGAAAATACATATTTGGTGAATAAACTCCTTGAATATCAGGTTTGACCCTTTGCGATCGTAATTTGAGCCGATCTCTGTTGAGAGATTCATTTTGTTACGAGTTCTTTTAGCCGAGCCCTGTTGGTCTGTTGAAGCCTATAAATCCTTTCTCAGGATGTGGTCTTTAATTCCTTGCGTTGATGACTAACGGTATTTAATTAGTTTAATTAGCGATATGCGAGTTTCGATTAATACTCCGTGAAATCGAAGATATATAATTATCTTTCACAAAGAGAAATATTGCACTTTTACTTGATATTTTAAGAATAATAAATAATGAATAATAAAGAAATTAATTAATACAAGGTAATAAAGATAAGTTTAATCTATGATCGACAACGTGCACACGTCAACTGTCCAGTTAATAGATTCTGACCGTGCACGTGCTTGATACGTGCTCAACGACTTTGCTTCGTGAACGATGAAACATCTGGAGGATATTATTCCAATGCAAGGAGTTAAATGAATAAAATACAAAGTTCATAGACCCTAGGTTTACCATAGACTACCTTTGTTCGGTAATATCCCGGGTATTTTTGCACCTTGCGGCTTTCGACCACAAAGGGTTAAAGAGTTCATATAATGGACGATGAGGAATGTGCTGACAATATGAATTTCGTCTGGAATTAGATCTAAGGAAGAAGTAATCCAATTCCGGGAGAATACAGAAATAACAGTGAAGGGTGAAAATGTTCCTAACCCTATACAATATTTTGAGGAGGGAAATTTTCCTCCTTACGTAATGGAAGGCATTCGTAGACAAGGATATTCACAACCTACTCCAATTCAAGCTCAAGGATGGCCTATTGCCCTCAGCGGCAGAGATCTTGTCGCGATTGCTCAGACTGGCTCCGGGAAGACTCTTGGAGTGAGCAAAATTAGAAACATATCACTTTAAAATACGAAAACAATTAATGTTTTTTACGTTCGTTACTCCCACCCACCCGATTATTTGTGAATGATAGAGAAAAATTTCACGCTTTCTATAATTTGAATAGGATATTAAGAATACAACGGACATTGAAAGATATTAAAAGATATAAAAAATATACGTGTACCAAGATATTTTATATTTTCTTTTCAGTATATTTTGCCTGCAATTGTGCATATCATACATCAACCGCGCCTAAGCAACGGAGATGGTCCGATCGCTTTAATCTTAGCTCCGACCAGAGAGTTGGCTCAACAAATTCAAGAAGTAGCTAATTGCTTCGGCGAATCCGCAGCTGTGAGAAACACTTGTATCTTCGGCGGTGCTCCGAAAGGACCACAAGCGCACGATTTGGATAGAGGCATTGAGATATGCATCGCTACTCCGGGTAGACTTATAGATTTCTTAGAAAAAGGGACTACAAACTTACGTAGGTAATCTAAAACTAAAAATTCCCACGATAAAGAAAAGTAAATGATGACACATATATTCAAAGGTATTGATAGAGTAAGAGTATGCAAAATGTAGAAATAATGTTTTAAATGTATCCACATGCTAGGTGTACGTATCTAGTACTTGACGAAGCTGACCGAATGCTGGACATGGGATTTGAGCCTCAGATACGAAAAATTATCGAGCAAATACGTCCCGACAGGCAAGTGCTAATGTGGTCGGCGACATGGCCTAAGGAAGTCCGCGCCCTCGCAGAGGATTTTTTGACGGACTACACTCATCTCAATATCGGGTCGTTGACGCTGTCAGCAAATCACAATATCACACAGATTATCGACGTTTGTCAAGAATTCGAGAAGGATTCGAAGCTGTTCAGATTGCTACAGGAGATCGGCAATGAGAAAGAGAACAAGACTATTATATTTGTGGAAACTAAGCGTAAAGTAGACGATATCACGAGAAACATTAGACGCGACGGCTGGCAAGCGCTCAGTATACACGGCGACAAAAATCAGCAGGAGAGGGATCACGTGTTGCAGGAATTTCGTAGCGGAAGAGCGCCAATTTTAGTTGCGACCGATGTGGCTGCCAGAGGTTTGGGTAAGTGGTAACGACTGTTCGTTTCTTTTTTTCGGCCGTGCTTCGTAGGCACTAGGAGAATCACGGTTAAATTGGGTATTGGCAACACTTATTGGATTAGCCGGTGATGCGTTATTAGAGCAAGGCCAGCCGACAGCTGTGTACGTAGCAGTGTGTGATGCATTGGAACTTTTTATCGTTCTCGTTCTTGATCGTATTGTAGAGCCATGCAAATTCAAATACGTTTTTGTGTGGTTGTGGCCTTTTTTATATCTTTTATATTATTTAAATTGATCTTTCATTTCGCAATTATGTTATCATTCGATAATCCTTGTGTTCTTGATCTTTCGTTTTTTATTCTCCTTATTTAAATTCCAATCATAATTGTTTGAGAGAAATTTGTGCATTTTTTCTTAAGCTTTTATAAGATTAACATAGAAAACGAACAACGTTTTCCGCTCTACTCACATTTGATTTATAACTGTATCTTATTCACATACGTCAGCTTGAATGTTAAGACGAAGAGTTTTGTTAATTATGGTAATGATATATATAATAACAGAGTTCTGAAAATGCACACAAGCTACCACTAAGTCTGTCTGCTTTTCTTTTTCAGAGGCACAGAGTACCCTAACTCAACGCGGTGTACTGCCAGTATTGGGCAGACACAGTGACTATTTTATTTTCTTTTGCTTATATCTTATCACAGTTTTTTGACGGACAGATCGATTTGTATGCGGTTTGACTTGCGTTTTAAGTTTCTTAGTATTACAAAGTAGCAAACTAGACTTCATAACGACTGGAGATGCATTAAATGACACGACAGCTCGATCGTCGCGATGTACAAATAATTGGCTTTCTTCTAGCCAAAGTTTGCTTTCGTAAAGTGACTGTAACGACTATAAATATCTAAACGCGATTTACATACATGATTTACGGTTTACGAAAAGCACATAAAGTATACAGTTACTGAACTTTTTCTATCCAGTGCCTCTAACTTTAAGGATTAGTATTATACGGTGCCTATCAAAACTAATGCACTCAGGCTTAAACCCTAAAATGCTGCCTCTATCCCAAACCAGACACAACCGCTGTGTCTGTCTAATCTCTAGGCCGCTGGTATATTTCCATAAGAAAACAACCGAAATTGCCCCACTTTAAAAGCAAACGGGGTCGGTCTCGCTGATTTCACGTCGGAATTTCCAAGCGAAAGGTGGGTGTTGCAATTTGTTTTATTGACTGAACTTATTTGGAAATATTAGGGTAATAATTAAGGCTTAACTATAAATTCAAATTTGAGTAAAACAGTTTAACTGTACATGATTTAATTAATACGGGTATGAAAATGTATTTAATCATACCAAGATAGTATTAATTAATTTTTTTACTCGAGAGAAAAATATTAATCGTGAAATAATACTTTAACACATGTACACGTTTTATCCAAGAAACAAAATAGTCAATCTTTTGACACTTGCGTTGACTGCTATTTCGCAGATGTGGATGATGTGAAATATGTGATAAATTTCGATTATCCATCCTCATCGGAAGACTACATACACAGAATCGGACGAACTGGGCGCAGACGACAAACCGGCACGGCGTACGCGTTTTTTACAAGCCACAATATGAAGCACGCCGGAGACCTCATAGAAGTGTTACGCGAAGCAGGTCAGAATGTGAATCCGCGCCTCAGCGAAATGGCTGAGATGGCAAAAGCGGGCAATTTTAGCGGTAGAAGTAAGTGTACGTCTAAGTAGTATATGCTCACAATGATGAATATATATTGATGTTATTTTATTTTTATAAGATGGGAAGCGTTTTGGCACTTCCGTCGGCATTGGTGATAGAAATATCCGAAGAGGCAGTAGTGACAGTAGAGGAAGAGGAAGTGCTTCAGGAAGAGGAAGAGGTGTTCCTCGAACTGGGAATTCCTATCCTCCTTCTTCGAACGTCTATTCGGGACAGGATTATAGTAATTATACTAGTATGAAACCAAGTGGTTCCGCTATAGGTCAGAACGCGGTGTACGGATATAGTACGCAGAGAAGCTATGGGCAGGCCACTATGCCACAGAGTTACGGCGGCGGCGATAATTATGGAAGTGGTTATCCATATAGAGGTGCAACTTATTAATCGCGTTTTTAATGTTTCCTATTGATAGCATGTAATCACTCGATGGTGTAATAATCTGTCCACGTTTAGTTAGTCCGACTCTGTGGTAAAATTTATAATAGATCCAAAGAGAGAAGAGGATGCAGAAAAGTATTGACGCATATGATCAGCGATAATATATCGTACTATTCAGTGAATATTAACGATTGTAAATCGACATTTATACATTTGTTGAATGTATACATAATGTCAAGCGATTTGCTTATGTCGAATTTAATGCATCGAACAAAGTTGAAAAAACTTCGATGCAATTTTAATGCGTTCGTAGCTAATTTTGCGAGGAGAGTATAAGTTCCTATGCAATATCAGGTTCGTATTAGTAATCGTTAGTTGATATCTGAATATTTTCTAAGATATTTGAATGTAGAGTTTTTAGAGATAGTCGGAGTTTTTTTAATTCAATCGTACAATGCACGTGACATTATATTTGTAATCGCGATTCGATTGAAAGACTCTTATCTAATTTAAATCTGGATATCTCGCGTGAGACAAGTTCCAAGTATCGATTATTAATACGAGTCTCAAAGAATGCAGTTACTTAAAAGCCAAAGTATTTATTTATTATTTGTTCCTAAGTAATTTTAAATTATGCATTTCAAATGTAGCGTACACATAGCGTTTTACAGAGGTGTAAAACTGTTTCACAGGCTGTAACTATTTTACAGTGTTCAGTGTGTATGTGTTGTATGAAGAAGAAGAGATATGAGGATATGCACCTTAAGTGCTGTTTACATAAATTGAAGCTATTTGTGTCACAATACTTGAATCGAAGATACTTTGTTGCATTTATTTGAATTTAATATTGTTACATATTTTATAACTATTGTCATTTCTTTCAGACAAAAGTTCTTTAGCAATTTCAAGATTTTTTCTGTTTTCAAGAAAAGACTGATAATTATTACATACGTTGTTATTTAACTTTTGCGTTTTGGTAATGTTACTAATAGGACTGTGTTTGTATATTTATGACTTTTTGGACTTTAAAACTTTACTCGTCGAAGTCATTTTAAGTCAATATATGGAGCTATTTCCGAATTAAACATTCCGAACTACGACGAGTTTGCGAATCTGTGAAGCTGTGGAAGGAAAATACGGTCGTATGTGATGTGATGATCTATATATAAATACATTAATACTAATTAACATTAGTATCACAATTAATGTGTTAATTGAAATATATATATAACAAATTATTATATTTTAATATTATTTCTATAAACATTTTTATGCTGTCCTGATAAAACTGGCGCAAATTACATTTTTCCTATCTACATGATTTTAAACAATCAACTGAATAATTGTTTCCATTAATTGTGATACTAGCAAATAGGTCGATTAGTTAGATCAACAATTGTTTCTTTTTGTGATAGCTGTGATATATCGAGTTTGTAGCTCAGCATTAAGATATAATAGAAACGAACCTTCATATAGAAAAAGAGATTAAGAGTGCTAGTGTAAAGAGTGATGTCTCTTAATTTTGACTACGACTTTATTACATATTTTTCGGCCATATTGTTTAAGTCCTCAACTGTGTTGTTTTGTTGTTTGTTATATAGTTTTATGCTGCAGAGTTAATAAAATTAACTTTTTCGCTTCTGTCACTCGAAATTGAATGGTTTTCCAAATTTCCCTTAAATATTGTCAGTATATGAAGTACTAACACTGCATTTTGATAAAACAGACCGCTTGAGGTTTTATAGAGTTATGTAAAAATGTTTTATAAATTGAATCAATATAAACTAAATTTTTTTAAACGTACTTATATAAGGTTTTTATTGTCACTGGAATAAACAAACCTACAATTCGTTAGATATTTAAATTTCACTCTAAAGCGTCTTTTTTAAAGGCTTGCAGGAGTCGTAGGCAAATCCTAAGTTGACCTTGTGCAGCAAGAGAACGAAATATTACCTCTGTATGTATGTGTATGTCACTAAGCAATTTTTTATGTCTTCCTTGCATTATTGTTAAGGATACTACAGATCCTAATTTGGCAATTAGGCTCTTATAAATTTATAATAAAATGTAGATTCGTATTGTGCAGTTCAGTCGAAGGTGATTCAAATAATTTAGGCCATTCTTATTTTGAAATTTTTTTCCTAAGAGACGCTCTGTAGCATTCTAGGAATTGACCAATCGTATTTCTTGTTAGTCAGAATTGGCAAATGTGATTGGTTGGTCAATTGCGTTGAAATAACTAGCCGATTAAATTAAGGGTCTATAGGAGTCATTGTAGAGACATGTCGCGGAAGACCCGAAACTAACGTTGGTATTTGGCCAAATTTTGAGCAAACTACAGAGAAAATCATAATATGATTGCGATATTCATAATCAAGAAAATAATTCCAAGCGTGCGACAGAGCGTTTTTTGAGAAAAAATGTCGAAAAAAATGGTCTAAATTATTGTGAGTGAACATTAGATTGAGGTGCAGTACGAGTATATATTTTAATTAAAATTTTTTAAGAGCCTAACGTCAAAATCGGCTGAGTGTATGAAGTTGGCACCCCACTTTTTGAAATTCATAATTTTGAAAGTTGTTCCAGATTGTTCTGACTTTGTACCACATTGTTCCAAAGTGATATTGCTTCATTCGAAACGGTTTTCGAATAAAACAAAATTGATTTTTTGAGCTGGCACCCCACTTTTCAAAAATCGAACATTCTGATACCGCAATAGATTGTTCTAGTTGTTCCAAACATTGTTCCAAAAGGACAAATCCGTAAGTTGAATTATAAGTCCAAAAAATGAAAAAAATGTTTTTGACCTGGCACCCCATTTTTTGAAAATAAAGCATTCCGATACCGATATAGATTGTTCTAGTTGTTCCAAACACGCAAATCAATAAGTTTAATTATAAGCCCGAAAAATTAAAAAAAAGTTTTTTACAAACAGTCTACCCTTATAGAAATATCATACTAAGAATCATTGATAATTACTTATTATCCAGTATTTTTAATACTGAAAATAAGTAATTATCAATGATTCTTAATATGATATTTCTATAAGGGATCTATAAATTTATTTCTGAAGGTTAATATTATTGTTGACGTTATAAGAGTGTACAGAGGTGTAAAGGTATGACAAGTTAACTCTGCACCTCTGTACATTATTCTAACGTCCAACAATAATATTAACCTTCAGAAATGAATTTATGGATCCTAGAGACTTTTAAACAACGTTATCCCCTCTTTTTTATGGATTTTGTCCGCTTATCCAATAAGAGAATCCAATATGCAATAAAAAAATCGGTTTTCTCAAATTAAAAATGTCGCTAGCTAGAAACTAGCAAAAAAACTATTGGATATCGTATACGTTTATTGGTTGGCGAATAGAGTATTTCTAGGTTCGTCAACCAATAAACGTATCCAAAAAGCTTGTCGTACGACACGTGAAATAGCAGCCTTATGCAGGATTCACACTGCGTCCGATGTCTGACGTCCGATATCCAATAGGAGAACAGCTTTCTAATAGAGAATTCAATTTTCCATTGGAAAGCTATTCTTTTATTAGATATCGGACGTCGTACGTCGGACACAATGGCCTGGCTTACATCGTGCACTTGATACGCGTACTAAATAGTAACTTTCTATTAAATAATCTTAATATCGATAATGCATATCAACAGCGACGCATTCTATCAATACAATACGTTTTGTTGATGATTATTATATCAGCTTAATATACCGTTGTTTATATATATCGTCGATATTAAAATTATTTAATAGAAAATTACTATTTAGTACGCGTATCAAGTGCACGATGTAAACCAAACCATTGACGTATATACATAGACCAAGCATTCCTATACTTCAGGGCTGCGTTCGGAAACGTCACCCAAATGTACCTGTTACATTGGAGTGAGCGAGATACAAGAGTGAGATAAAAAGAGAAGAAAGTACTCGAGTGACGTTTCCGAACGCAGCCCTAAGAGTCAATTCTGTATTTCGAAACGAAGTGAAAATTACAAAAGTGAGCACATTCACTAGGCACTGACCAATGAAATTACGAATATTCTAGTGTATTTGCTCACTTTTGTAATTTTCACTTCGTTTCGAGATACAGAATCGACTCCCTGTCCTAGCAGCGAGTGAAACCGGAAGTTGGCAGTTTAAAACAGAGTGAGAAAGTTGATTTGTCCCTAGTACTTTCTCATTCTATCGTATAGAAAGAATATGACCATTGTCAAGCTGTCAAATGCTATATATAGTGCAGAATTAAAAAAATAAAACCGTATATTTCACTTATCTCGATATAAAATTGATATTTATAATATTTTATACTGTGTATAAATAATCACAGCAATTGCTTTTATCCTGTTCTCATTCTACTGTTACATGAAAAAAGTTAGGTTACTATGACGGGATACAGTACTTGGATAAGGTTTAGTGCTCATAAATAGTTTCATTTAATGTTGTAAGTGCTTCAGAGCTACGAATGGATCAATCACATTGCTTTATTTAATATTTTAAAGTATTTGTTAAACGGACCCTCAATAAGATAGAGTGAGAAAGCACTAGGGGCAAATCAACTTTTTCACTCTATTTTAAACTGCCAACTTCCAGCTTCACTTTGCGGACAAAATGTTTGGTCTATGTATCGTCATTGGTTGGACATCGGACGCGGTGTGAATCCTGCATTATTGTATGTCGGATATCGACACAGTGTGAACTCTCCATAAGCTTGAAGCTATGCGTTTATATATTGTTTCGTCACTTCCGCCGTTGCGCTCAACTTTATTCTTCTGAGCAAGACACACGAGTGCTTTTAAGACTTTTAAATTGATATACGCATTGGGATTATTCGAAAATAAATGTCGAAAGATAAACACTTCCACACGAGGTCTTTCGCAGTGATACGAGTAGTCAGTTGATCTTATAATACCGATCCTCAAGAGGACTATTTGTCGTCAGCGTATGACGCCGGCCACGCCACTTCATTCACGTTCATTACGAACATCCTGTACGTCAGATCGCGAAACTGAGTAATCGACGGGATCGCATCCAGTGTAAAGAAATTCAAGTATCGCTGATAAATCGCTCCTTCTCCTATCTCTTCATCTTCTATAGTCTTCAATGTAAGTACAGTTTTTACCAAAATTATTATGAGAATTCTGTGTGATTGTCCTCACGGTTATTTCGCACGTTTTAATATCGTTGCTGATTTATGCCAATCCAACATAGCCCTCCATGTTGCTTGTGCTAAAAGCGATTTTCTGTTTTCGCGATAACTTAATAAAGATAAGTAAGGAGATTACGTTTAACGGATATCGGTTTTCGAAAAAGTAATTTGGATACAACAGAATTTCTAGCGAAATTTTTAAGATTATATAAGTAATTCTTTTATACACGCGTCATGACACATCATGCTACATGTGCATGTATTTAGTTGCTGCTTGCGATTTTTTTTGCATAAATACATTGATGTACTTGATTCATGAATAATTGCGTTTAATTTAGATTCATGAAAGTGCAAAAAGATTTGAAACTGTTTAGAATTTGTAAATCTTGTAGACTTGTGGGAGTCATAATTTCATGTCATATTATCATGTCAAGGTAGAAGAACGTGGGTGAAAGAGTTACGTGTCCTTTTTTAATATGTTCTAGGAAAGAGGAAAATCGTATGGACAATCTCATGCGTTTTTTCCTTGTTCTTTTCAGGAGCTTCTTAGACTGAAAAATGTTCAATCCTTTTTGATATTTATTGTATATATGCATATATTTTAATATTAATGTTATAATCAATGTTATATTTCTATGATTTTTTATTTTATATACACATATATGTGAAATTAGAAATCATAGGAAAACCTAGTTTCTTAATTGTTAAAGCATACATAACATGTAGCACCTTATTCTGGATGTATATTAGGTATTAAACATTAAGTTTGTTCTTTGCAGTTGAACTATTTTAACTAGTGCATGCTAGTGCAATTAGTTGAAATGAAATCTATATATATATATATACATATATATCTTTCACTTTAACTTATTGCACCAGTCTGCACTAGTTCAGGCAGTTCAGTTGAAAAGACCTATTGCTGCTTGTTTGATTTTTTTAGTTGAACTAGACTGCACTTTTTATCTTTAGTTCTTTTGCAAGAAATCTTTTAAAGTTTTTAAAGAGAACTATCTAATTTAAATCAATCATGAATCTTTTATTTTAGCATGAACTCATAAGAAGTAAAAAATCTAACTTTAAAATGTATAGAAATATTTATTTTTCATGAGTTTACATTGCAGGAAAAAATTTATAATCGCCTCCAAGTCTTGCAAAATAATTCACTTTTCACGATTTCATACTAGGGAAAAAATTACATGATTGATAAGTAAGATCGATAAAAACATGAAAAACTTCACGATTACTACTAGAAAGAATAGGCTTTAAGTTTCATCTTTTTTATATGGAAACGAATAATATTTTCTTACATGAGTTAAACATTATATGAGTATATAATGTTGTTTGAGTATCATAAAAAGATATTTAGTGTTCATTATATGTTTTGTAGTATATGTAACGTCTACATAATTTCCAATACGAATGTTTTTTGTTTGTGGTCATATCTGGATACTTTTTCTTCATTTACCTTCACAGAAATATTAATTACATCAATATATCAAGATTTTTATATTATTAAACTATATATTATATAATTTATATTATTATTTTACTCTCTTAAGATTTATAATATTTCCTTGTGAGTCGTCTTGTTACCGTGTGGTCATTCGACCGCGACGACAACAGAGCCATCGAATCAATAGGATGCATTGATTTGTACAGAGTTATACGTACGAGCGGTTTAAAAATCGTTGGGATAAAAGAGTCGCACGTACATATACCGTCCTATCCGTCAATACGTCTGCCATTCGACGACTTTTAAACGGTATTCGCTTTCTAACTTATTTTGTTCGCGGTGCAAAATTGCACGAAATTACATGATTCGCTGAAGATTGCTTAAATTGCGAGTCTTTTTACGATAAAGAAAGATTCCGAAAATGCACTCGCTATTTGCAGAAATAGATCTGATCGATAGGACAAGAAGTGATTGGTATACAGATTGGTACAATAGCTTTAACACATCATTCTAGAACACAATATGTATTTTTTGTGGAAAATTCTAAATTAGTTTAATTACACGTGCTGAATTATATTGTTTGATGGTTATATTTATTATTTTCTTTTTTTTATTAATTAGTTTTGATAAATTGATCAGTCTAAATTTTTACTTCCCCCATTATTGTGTTCTCTTGACGCATAACATTGTTAAATTTCGCTGAATCTACGATCTAATAATGTATTATTTTATAACTATACGCTTACAATACGACAAGAGGAAAACATTAACAGGACAATTTTAGAGATAATAGATATTTCACCATTGTTTCGTTTTTTGAAAAGGGCATATCGTGACCGCGAACGCACCGACAGACGAGGCGGTGGTGCACGTGGAGGCGGTCGATTCGGTGGACGTGATGGCGGCGGAGGAGGCGGAGGCGGCGGCAGTAGATTCGGCGGCAGCAGTGGAAGCAGAGATAATGGTTTCGGCAATAGCAGCTTCAAGAATCGTCAACCTGGTGAACGTCTTCGCAAGCCACGATGGGATATGAGCACGTTGCAGCCGTTCAGGAAAGATTTTTATCAGCCACATCCGAATGTAATGACAAGGAGTCTCCACACGGTAGAGGCTTACCGCGTTAATAAAGAGATTACGGTGAAGGGGACTAACGTTCCAGGTCCTAATATTTATTTCGAAGAAGGTGGTTTCCCGGACTATGTTCTCAATGAAATACGCAGGCAGGGCTTCGGTGAACCGACTGCAATTCAAGCGCAAGGTTGGCCTATTGCTTTGTCCGGTCGCGATATGGTCGGTATAGCGCAGACAGGCTCGGGAAAGACATTGGCGTATATATTGCCTGCGATCGTACACATTAATCATCAACCTCGATTGAGCAGAAACGACGGACCGATTGCCTTGATTCTTGCGCCAACCCGAGAATTGGCGCAACAAATTCAGCAAGTGGCATCGGACTTTGGCATGTCTTCGCAAGTGCGAAACACGTGTATCTTTGGCGGTGCACCCAAAGGACCACAGGCACGTGATCTCGAACGTGGAGTGGAAATTTGCATCGCTACACCAGGACGTTTGATAGACTTTTTGGAACGTGGCACTACAAATTTACGTAGGTGTACGTATCTAGTTCTGGACGAAGCTGATAGGATGCTTGACATGGGTTTTGAGCCACAAATTAGGAAAATTGTAGAACAAATACGACCCGATCGTCAAACACTTATGTGGTCCGCCACATGGCCAAAAGAAGTGCGTAATCTTGCGGAAGAATTTTTGACGGACTACATACAAATCAACATTGGTTCCCTGCAACTGGCTGCCAATCACAACATCCTCCAGATCGTAGACGTGTGTGAAGAATACGAGAAAGAGAGTAAACTTATGAAACTACTGGAGGAGATTTCCAACGAACCGGAAAATAAGACTATAATATTTGTGGAGACTAAGAGGAAAGTGGATGATATAACAAGAGCTATTAATAGATACGGGTGGCAAGCGATTGGCATCCATGGAGACAAAAGCCAACAAGAGAGAGACTATGTACTAAACCGTGAGTGCTATTATTATATTCTACCTATAAAAACCAAACTTTAATCTCTGTTTGATACATCAGTTTGATTTAAACTTATAACAACATTATATCAGAATTATATCTTAAATGATTTTTAAAAAATATATTTATGTTTAAATATTTTTATTTATTTTTTTGCATTTTTAATGAATCCAAAATTTAACAATATGAAAATAACTACGAGAGGAAATATTATACTATATCAAAAGTTTCCTTTTTGGAATATTTTGGAGAAAATTCAGAACTTAAGTTTTCTTTTTTCTTGAAGTTGGAATGTTATTTCCAGAGTTCCGGAATAGCAGATCAGCGATCCTAGTGGCTACTGACGTGGCGGCAAGAGGTCTAGGTAAGAATTTGCAGATATATGGGTATGATGTAAGGGTCAGGCTGCGATGGTTATTTCACAATTGTGAAAGTCGTGGTATTGTAATGTGGCAACGGGTAACGGCATGTGCCAGACTGATTGACGTTACTCCTTTACCAGTGTGGCTGGAGATAATTTCACGAACTCTTAGGAATGCGCCCTTGGGAGCGTAAAAAATGAAAAAAAAAAAAACGATAATTCTTTTCCTTTTTATTTTGCCGTTGGCACTTTTCAGTTTCATTATTTTCATATTGATTTCTTTCCGTCGGCTAATTATTAATTCAGGAAATTTGGTAGCGCGCACACTCGCGTTTATCGGAACGCTTAACATCGCCATTGTCCTTTCAGCGATATACAATTAACGCAGAGATAAGTTTTAACTTCTGTTTTATTATAAGCTAATGTAGGCAGATTTTGACGTTCTTTTGATTTCTTCGCACATGCAAACGCGATTACATATTTCGCGATGCATCCAAAACATTGCACGTAAATGTATTAATGACAGAAAGAACGTCGAAATATTTCAGCTTTGAGGGTGAGGGAGCCAGGTAAGTAAAGGTTAGCTAGGTTTATCTCTTTCGATTTTGATCTCAGATCTCGAGACAAGTCCTGTCAGTCTGGTATTAACGTGCTGTTTATGTGTTTTCAGAGGCACATGCGACGGAGTTTTATCAATGATAAGAACTCTGGAGAGCTTGGAATATGTAAATGAATGGGGCGTGACTGCTGGTCTCCGCCCCCTCGCAACAAGCTATTGTTACGCTGTGCCTCGGTCTACCGTGCCACTCGAAAAACACTCACTCTGTACCTGCGACGGTCCAAAGTATGGAAATATCGTAATGTTAGGGCGTCTAACATGCCAGGACAACTAAAACAAAACAAAAAAGATATATGCGAAGTGATAGAGATTATTGCCGGTTACATTCGTTGTAATAGTAGCTCATAACAAATTATCATCAAGTCGCATTGCAATAATTGTGATGTCCTAGTTCTGGACAATTATTGACAATCGTTTTTCTTTACGAAATTACCAACATCGCATGAGTACATGTGAATTTCGCCAAATTTTAAAATTTTCCGCGAATGATTGGATTGATTGGATGGATTGGATTTTAAGCACAGTGGTTGTCGATAATAATTTCAACATTGAAATGTGTAAAGATAAATGTCCACACTATTGCAGTGCATAATTCTTGATTATTCAATGGAGTGCGCGCATGGGGTTGAGTGGAGAACACACGCAAGACGCACATTTAGTGTTCCAACCATTACAACCGGAGCTATGGACCAAATTTTGAAATACCAGCCGAGATCCATACTTTGGTGCGGTAGAGAAGGGTGTAACTTTGCCTAAGAATAATACCGTTGAGCTCGCTAATACGTGAAGCGAGAATTCGATGAGAACCATCTGAGCTCTGATTCCTCTACATTTCCAAAAAAATGTATTTACATTTCCAGCTCTAGTCAAAAACAGGTAATTAATATGCAAGACTTGCTCTTTGTGGTCAACTTATCTTGAGTGTTAATGTGCGAATTGCAAATGGAACTAAAGTCGTTTCATTATTGATTTTCCAAGTTAAAAATTTTAATTGTGACTTTTAACATTTGTCTCTGACTGAGAAATTTTCTTTTCCTCCCGAAGCATCGAACAAAGTACAGACAATGCAGAAGGAGGTAAAATCGGTATAAAATAGTAAAATTTGAGAGAACTTCTTTGTTCTTTAATTCCATTAGCACAGCGTCTTTGGTAAATGCTTAGATCGATTCGCTTTATAAGTTAATTGAACCACAAAAGAACAAGTATTTTTCCTGTGCCGCGATTGTGACTCCATGTATTACGCAGATGTCGAGGATGTCAAATTTGTGATTAACTTGGACTATCCGTCCAACTCTGAGGACTATGTACATCGTATCGGACGTACGGGCCGCTCGCAACGTACGGGAACAGCGTATGCCTTTTTCACGCCCGGCAATGCGCACAAGGCTAGTGACTTAATTCAAGTTCTCGAAGAGGCTAAGCAAGTTGTCAATCCGAAACTATACGAGCTGTCGAGGAATCCCGGTATTTATAAGAGTAAGTTTTACTCATTCTTCATGTGTACATTTTTTTATACATACACATGCTTTTTTCAACCTGACATGAATTTATTTCATTTGAGTATGAAAGTAATGATAAAAGATTACACGTCATAATTTTTATTTGCGACATTTTCTTATCGCAGAAGTTACTGTATTAAAGTATTTTCTATATATGTAATAATTAGGAGGCCGATATGGAGGTCGCAGCGGAGGTGGCGGACGAGGATCCAGCAGTCGTGGTGGTAGTTCACGTGGATCCCGTGGTGGCCGCGATGCACCAGATAGAAGCAGATTCGATCGTTCTGGTGGAGGAAGTGATCGAAGCAAATGGGGTGGGAGTAGCAGTGGTTAGTTATTCTTAGATTAAAAATATTTCGGCAACTTCTTTTAATGTTATCGGCTGAAACTGCTTGGATCGCTCATTTAATCTGTATTTTAATATGATTGTGTATATGTGTGCACACGTCTGACATGTTCGCTAGTGTGTATTCACATATAAAAAATGAGAGGAAATCGATAAAAGGAAGTTACACAATTTATGCTGATAGAATATTATCAACTAAGATAAAAATATGAAAATATATCTAAAATAAATAATAATACATTTTAAGATCGTATACGTCACAAATGAGACTAGTGTAAAACCAAGATAAAACAAGATTAGTGTAAAACCTTTATAATATCTGACATTTTTTATGTAGGTGGAATAACCGGTGGAGGATACGGCGGAAAATCCTTCCCCCAAAATAATTTTGGAAGTGGATCTGGTGGTGGGTCGAGTAGCTACAACCAAAACAGCGGCGGATATGGAAGTAGCGGTGGCAGTTACAGGCAACAAAACGGCTATTGACTTCGCGATCTTAAGTGTGGACATTAGATCTGTTTATTTCAGCACCATCTTCTGCACTCAATTCTTTCATTGTTTTCTTTTTTCTTTTTTAATTTAATTAAGATTTTACGTTCTATTTGGAGTGCGAAAGTGAAAAATGTTAGATGTGATTGATAGTATCCTGCAGGAACGGGGAATGAGAAAAGGAGATCCGTGAGAGATGTCCATGATAGTTGTTCATTGTTTTCCGTCTTTTAGCATGATCGTGTTCAAGTGTAGGAAAGAAATTGCACATTTGATCGCGTTGTGTCATTTACATTCTCAAGAACATTAGCTTTCTTTCATCTTTTTCCAATAAGCGTAAGGACTGTACTAGTTAGAATAATTGCAAATAATTGCACGTATTAAATTTAGACGAGCTTTCAACGATGTAATAGTATTACAGTGGAATAAAGCGTAAGAACCAAGCGGGAGAAGACCGAAACAGCGCGTTTTTCTTTGCGTTTCTTCCCTGTTTTGATCTTCCTTCAGCGTCAAGTATGTATCTCGCGTCTTTACTTTAAATTTTAAGAGTGAATTGTAACTTGTGTAATTGTTTAAGTTCTAATGAACAATAGGAAAAAGGCTATTTTTTAAATAAGTAATTTTGACACTCATATGAATCTTTCTGTTATAACCGTGTTCTCTCCGTGTTAAACTTATAAACGTTTAATAGGCTGAACATTGCAACAAGCGATCACTCGTCCGTACGAGTTCGTCTACATGATATTTGTAGATATTATTCGTAATGAAAGTGTTAAGAATTTACTCTACGAATCACAGCGAAGTAAAAATGTCAATATAAATATTGACCGAGATACTCTCGTCGGCCACTGATTATTAAAAGTAGTAAATTGAGCATGTCATGTTTTAAGTAATCGTTTTTTTTTTTTTAGAGTTTAATGAATCTTTATATATGTGTAACTCTAGTATCGCGTAATTCCAGTGTTACGTATACGCAATCACCACGCATCTCAAAAGAGTCACGCTATGTATAAGATATTAATGAGTCATGCTACATTGTAGTAACGTATAAACAATGTTATGACTTACTACAACAAGAAAGATCTATTATCAGAGAAAGCCAGACGTTGAGAATTCCATTATGCCACGCTTTTGATAACAATTATCGCAGTCGAGGCCAAGGGAGGGTTCGGCTTTATTCATTGGCTGTTCTGTTTATCGCGAATCGTACGATCCGGTCAGAGTTTCTCTTCCGATCCAAGAAAAAGCTGTTGCTCCTATGTACACTTTATCGCGACGTCTGTTGCACACGAATAAGATATCAGCATGGTGTCTGCTGATAACATTCCCTAATTTTTATGATAAGCGGGCTTTTGATTTATTAATATTATCTGATTAGTATCTATACTAGTGGCGCTATTATAAAATATTAAAATATGCAAAGTGTTCGGTGTTCCTTTTTCGCGTAGTAACATGGAGTATATATAATAAAATAATCAAAAATAAAGAAAATAATTATTTTCTCGTGTTATATTTAGAAAATGATTAATATTAATTTCAGTAATATAATAATAATATTTGATAATTTTGTAGGCATTTTTATGATAAATTTAAAGTCGATATCAATCGGACACGATTTTATTTTTTTCGTTCTTTTTTATTACTCGCCATTAAGTAAAAGAGCATACAATATTATTAAATAAAATTATATCCGACTACTAAAAAGTATTGACTTTGAACTCTTTTAAAAAATTCCTACAATCTTATCGAATGATACAATAATTGAACTTTGTAATTGTAACTTTACTTGCAAGTCTTTTTCTTACAGATTTTTTTTATTATAAAATAAGTTACATTACGTAATGTATAATGTGTATTATATTGTACCACGAATTCATGTTGTTTCAGCCGTTTAAACAAAAGATTTAAACAAGTTTTCGTTCTTTTTCGCATTATACCGAGAACTTTCAGCAAGATTACCAACATCATATACTCTATTGGGATTTTATCATTTCTATACGAACGGTTGAGTTTAAAGTCTATTTTTGTCATGTGTAAATATGTTTTTTAAACATCACGACTCGATAAATTCTGTATGCTCTCCGTGTGTTGATTCTTTTACACGATAGAGACTAGTACTTGTATGTAGATTAGATGTATATTAGAATTTAAAATTGAGGTTTGCAAGAGAAATTGATGCTTTGTGACCAAAGGTTAGGAGATAAACAAATCTAAGAAGACTTTTGCGGATGAGCTGATCTATGGACGTGATCCACATATTATAACTACACATATATGACAATGCGGTAAAATTTCGTCACGAAAATGCAGTGCCTTGGCATTCCTCAGTCTACAACCGATTGCACGTAGTTTAAATGTTTCGTGAATGAAATTTCATTCCCTATAGCAGAAATCGTACAATAAATCTCGCCAATATTCGCTGTTTGTTTTACGGCAAAAAAACAATAAAAAAGCACACTAAACCGTCATCATCTCGGCGATATCAAATTTCGAATGAGAAATAAAATTATGGTCGATCTCGACGTGGTTTAAGTACAATAGAAATAATTTTTTACGACATTCGCAAATGGCAATTGACAACTAATTCAAATAATATCAGTCCCAAACTATGCTTGTCTAATGACGACATTACTTAGCACGTGGGTGGGGCGCGCTATGCGACGGATTTTAAAGGCGACGTGCGATATGCCGACGCGCGCAGTTGCTCCGAGGAAGCGGACGGTGGTGGTTCTCTCTTCCTTCCCTTTTCTCCCTCTCGCTCCCTCTCTTCGAGGTTAGACCGGCCGATAGTCGACGCCACTCGCGACTTCGAGGAGAGACGTGTCAGTTAGTTTAATCAGGAGGTACGCGCGCGACGTTCCGTTACGATCATCATGACAGAAGGAGGGTCTCGCAAGGAGGTCCGCGTCTGGTGCGACGGGTGGTGAGTATCGTTCGGGCGCAATGCGGCGTTTTTGACGTGTCGAGAAACGCGCCGCAAAGTCGGGCAGACCGATAAACGCGAATGCGCTTTGGCGTCCGGCCGGTCGCGCGACTGCAGCGAGGCGTGTAACACGTGTAGTTTTCGCAACGGCGAAGTCGGCCGTTTGGCGCGTGGATTTCCGCCGTGACGTTCGCGGGCGAGAACGCGAGCAATCGATAAGACCAACACGCCACATGACGTTCCCGCGTTTCGATAAGGAAAAAATGACTCACGAGTCAAATGGATTTTTCCGAATCGAATCTCCAGCTTCGTCTCGATTACAATCGTACAGTCGTGAAGTAAAATGGAATTGATCGGACGAACGCGAATGCGGAATTCGTGCGATCGTTTTGAGAAAGAGGGACCGGATAGGGGAGGAGATCGAGTTATCGTTTCGGTGTGGTGACGAATAGTCGATACGCCGAACAATCGGTTTCCCGTGCGATTAGCTTGAAAGGGCTGATTGGTGACGCGGTTGGAGACGGTAGCTCGCCGTGACACAATTCGGAGCCTCGACTCTACGCGTCCTTACTCTCGGCGGCGTTTCATAAAATGGCATATCGCCGGGGCGACCACGCAACGGACGTTCTACCTCGATAGCGCCGAATTTAAACTCGCATTCTAGCCCGAGCTTTAACAACGAGAAACGATTCCCTTCGTTCCATTGCTACGGATAACGACATGCTAAAAATATGCGGAATGAAAATAAAACGTCCGATTAACGTCGTCGGCCGTTCGTTTATGATCGATTGACTATTCATTCACGGTGATGGTCGAAATCGATTTTGCACGGTGTCGATATATATAGATTGTACTTTGTGTTTATCTTTATAAATGCGCATCATGTGAAAGTTAATTGTCACTTGTCAAATACAGAACGTATATAAAAAGTAGCGAAGAGAGATACGTAAGATTTAAGTCAAACATATCGACACAAACATTTCACGCACATGCTCAATTCGTTATAACGAATGTTGTCCGCAAATTACATTCTGCTATTCGTTTTTGCGCAATATCGCACGACTAATTTCGCTAATAGGAAAATTGGCTGGATAACGCTAATAATAAGACGTTATCATTTGTGCAATATCAATTTTGTGTTATCGCGAAATACACGTGCGACGTAATAGTTGCATCGATAATAAAGCAATTATACTCAAGGTCCGTTTGCGAAGCACCTATTTCAAATCTATTGAATTGATTTTGATTGGAATTTATTGTGTGATAAAACTGAGCTCAGTCTTAATTACAGATTGCGGAGGTGTTGTTTATGTTATATCGCGCTTACAAATATCAATTTAATGCCAGTTGATTTAGCAGATAAGCGTGAACTTGCAATGTTTTGTGTTTATATCAATTTTTCCGCGAATATAACTTTGAATCAGTTGCCGCGTTTAATGCTAAATAGGTATAAAATCACAGACGAGTTAATAAGAAACGCAATATTATTAATTATAGCTACGATATGGTGCATTTCGGGCATGCGAATTCTCTGAGGCAAGCTAAAGCTTTGGGGGATTATTTGGTGGTGGGTGTCCACAACGATGAAGAGATCGCAAAGCACAAGGGGCCTCCGGTCTTCACCGAACAAGAAAGGTAAATTGTTCTGCTATTTTACAACAGGAAATTACATAAGACGTAAAGCCGACTCACGCTCTTGATTACCTATTCTGACCTTGGTTATTATGTGTTAATCAATCTCTCGAATTCCACACATTCACATCTTTGAAGCATGCAATGGTTGCAAATCAGTGAACGCTGCGTCTTGAATTTTCTTATTTTTGTGTTTTGCAAATATTACAACTTCATGCATCGTGGTATAGAGTTCTAGCGTAATATTTCATCCCAGACGGCACAAATGTCCAAAATCAAGTCATAAGATGTCTTTAAGGCAACTTTAAGATATCTTTAAGACAATAAACAGACATTTTATAAACTTGTCTTAAAGACAACTTAAAGTGGGACATCTTAAAGACATCTTATGTCCCACTTTTAGACATTGTGCTGTCTGGGATGTTATGGTATGCGTGGTATGTGGAAAAAAAAATTGGCAAGAAGAAGAAACTAATAATAATAATATTTGAGCAACATTGTCATTTAATACCATTAATTTATTTATCTAAATTATTAAGATTGTGTTGTAAATCGGTCATTAATTACTAAATAATTAATTATTAATTATAGTAAATAATATTATAGTAATTTAATATTGCTCGTTTTCATTAATAATGTGCATTTGGTTACTAATTACTAATTCATGTCACATAGCGCGTCAGACTAATACTAGCGCTCTAATCCTAATATATTGATGTTTTTACTCAAAGTGCGAAATATTTATCCGAGTTATCCGTTATTGCTTGGAGATAATATAAAATTCATGTATTCCAAGGCTATATTCTTGTCAGAGCTGACAGGTTCTTGTTGGAACCTTGACCTTTAGGTCAATATCTCTCTATGTAAGAAAAACTAAGTTGCAGAAAGTAAATGCGTGTAAAGTCACATAAACAAGAGAACTTTGCTTTGTTAGCTTTGTTTTTAAATTAAAGATTACGTGACAGTACAAAATTGTGGCAAATATCGATTTCGCGCGAATGAAATTTACAATTTCGCAATGATTGTGTGTATAACGGAAATGCATGAAATCTTTTCTACTCAGGTACAAAATGGTACGCGGCATCAAGTGGATAGATGAAGTAGTCGAAGCTGCGCCATATGTGACTACCTTAGAGACGCTAGACAAATACAATTGTGATTTTTGTGTTCACGGTGACGATATCACAACCACAGCGGATGGTGTAGACACATATCACTTAGTCAAGACAGCTGGTCGTTACAGGTACGATGCCGTCGCATCAACATTGTAAATGTTCAAAGTACAATATATCGACTCGAGTTATTCGAGTTTCGTTAAAAAAAGATCACGCAACTATTCGCTAAGAGAGAATCATTTTGATCGTATTCCAGAGAAGTTCAGCGTACGGCCGGTGTTTCGACTACTGATCTCGTGGGCCGCATGCTTTTGATGACGCGACAACACTTTCGACAAGGTGACAGTGAGTATAGCGTCGACAGAGAGCCAAGCAAGCGCATGGGTCAAGATCGAACTGCGCGAAACCCGTGGACCGGCTGCTCGCAATTCTTGCCGACTACGCAGAAAATTATACAGTTCAGTGACGGCAAGGCGCCGCAGCCGGGAGACAAGATCGTATATGTAGCTGGGGCGTTCGATCTCTTCCACGTGGGACACTTGGACTTTCTGGAAGTCGCCAAGAAGGAGGGCGACTATCTTATAGTCGGTCTGCATACGGATCCCGCGGTTAACCGATACAAGTGTGGCAATCATCCTATTATGAATCTGCACGAACGGGTTCTCAGTGTGTTAGCGTGTAAGGTGAGCCTCGTTTGACATCAATTGTCCGGGATCTGAAATGTGCGAAAATGGTATAAGAGAAAGTAATGCAATACAGATTCTTTTTCTTATTAGGCTCATGCAAAATATTTGTTATTTTATCGTAGAATTAAATTATCGTAAAATGTTTATGAGCAGTAAAAGGAAGTTCTCTTTGAATGTTTAAGAAAGTACTGAATCAATGTTGTTTATTTTATCCGTAAAAATGATTAATCCTTTTAATTTCCTTTGATAATTTTAATAACTGGATAATTTCGTTTTCTATTTTATTTGACGAACACGACATACCATTTGTATTAACTTAATATTAGTGCCCAACCCAACACATGCATATCATCTAACGTATAAGAGGAGTAATTTCTACATTTTCCGAGTATAGTGCTTTCATCAATAGCTTTGAGTAGATTTTTGCGTTATTGTTTGAGAGATAACATAAAAACGAGCTACATTATATCTCTAAACTTTACACAAGCGTTTTTTTCTTTGTATTTGCAGTATGTAAATGAAGTTGTGATCGGCGCACCGTACGAAGTGACGAGAGATCTGATGGAGCATTTCAATGTCTCCGTTGTGTGTCACGGACAAACGCCTATAATGCCCTGCGAAGATGGCTCAGATCCATATGCGGAGCCTAAGCGACAAAATAAGTTTAAGTTATTAGATAGTGGTAATGATATGACAACCGAAAAAATTGTCGAAAGGATCATTCTGCACAGGTATGTTCTACTATTATTATTTTACATATTTTTTTAAATATTTTTTAATCAGACGAAATATATACTATGTTTGTGTGTACATATCACTGTATAGATATCGCTAATCACAGTATGTAATCACATATGATATATTTTTTAATTGCGAAGTTCATGATTAAAATATTTAAATCAAATTTACTACGTACTTTGTGCTTAACATACTTGATAATAATATTTTTAATCTTGTTAGGGAGAGAGAGAAGGTATAAAACGTGTCCATAAAAATTATTCGATATGTCATTATATTCACAGTACAATTCAGTGCATTATATTTATCTAAAAGCATGACGTAATAATGTATCGTGTTACTCGATTGCTGAGATATCGCCTCCATTTAATTATACTTTCATGGCAAGCTATTCATGATTATATGCACAATATGCATTTAAATTTGACCTTCTATGAAATTCTATGAGTTATTTAGAGTATATTTTTTTTAAGTGGCATTTCTAACTATATATAAAATCAAATTACACCAAAACCGGAACTACATTTTACTTGTTTTATCCCCCCCAGGCCGAACGAGCTTCGTACGGTTATTATGAATTTCAACAATCGTTGACGGGACAAATCTGGCTATTTTGTACTCACTATTCAATTTGCAATAAACTCATGTTTTCCTACTTTGCATTATAATTTGTTGTCATTCTTTCATCTGCCATTTCTAGCTAAATATGCAGTTTCGTCTATCTTGTGAGATATATTTTCTCGTGTTCCACTATTGCTCCTATATTTCTATATTTGAAAAGAAATATTTTTATTATTCGTTTATTTATCACACATCGTACACATCGTAAATTAAATAAATAAATAAAATATATTTTATTCGGTATCTTATCTGATAATGTTACTTTAAAATATATGTGTCTCAAAGAAATATGTGAACATATCTATTAAGTGTTGATCTAGCGTCTAATTACAGGTTGGAATACGAGGATAGAAATTTAAGGAAGGAGAAAAAAGAGCTTGCTGCTTACGAAGCCTTCATGAAGTCTAAGAAAAATAACAGGACTGAATAATTACTCGTTTTGCTTCTTCTCGTGAATTTCGTAGCGTGTGTATATGCGTGCATGCGTGTTAAGTATGAGTGTTATGTGTATGAAATCATCAGGTTTTATAGAGTCAATATATGTAAATAAGATGTCACATTGACACTTAATTTATTGTTTCAAAATGCCTTACGTAGTTGAAGTTATATATTACGTCGACTAGCGATGTCGCTATCGATGTTGGGTTTAATTCATTGCAATGAAAAGAAATTGCACAATGACGACGATTGTACAGTCGGACGACATTCTGTATGCAAGATGTCTCGGAACTAACGTCATTTTTTTTTATCCACGGACTTGTACTAATTTCCATAAGCTGATTTTTTTTTAATAAACATAAATCTTTATTCAGGGGATCGCAACTGGAAAATGTTTTGTCTCCTAATTTTTTTCTAACGAATTTCAAATAGAGACTGTAGTCAAGTATTCAATGTCGAAAATTCAATTTCTTCGACCGACTTCTAGTCTCAAACGATAGTTCTAGGACATCTTACATGCATTTTTCGACATATCTCTAAGATGAAAGGTGTATCATACTTCATAAAGCCTTTGGATATAGATACGCTTAGTAATTGACGTTTTATCACACGTGATGTGAACATTATGATACTGTTGCTTAATGCAAAAATTACTGGAAATAATCGTAATTATAAGTAATTACACGAGATATGTCGTAGAAAACGAAATCAAATATCTCTAAAATTGAGTTGTTAAATTTCGACCGCTTTCACGCTTGTACACTATTCTCATTTATCACGCATTAATTTTATAACTCTACTTTATCCTTATATTCTCTCTTACGCTTTGCACGTGTGTGCGCAAAGTATTTGTTATTTAATTCAATCACAATAATATAAGTAAATGAGAGTGTAGTTTGAGTTGTCTAGAATATAATTATGTTAGATCAGGGATTTTCTGTCGTGCAATACGAATTGTATACTTTTCCACAATTAAAAAATATTTTGCATTTTAAATATTATTTGAAATATTATTTGAAAGTGTATCTGAATAGAGTTGTATTTGAATATTCTACACGATTCTCTATTATACAATTTATTCGAAGATATCCGCAAATATAGATATTTGCGATGTATTCAATTCGGTCTAATTAATCGGAAGTTCCTGAATATTTGAGTCAGTAATCCATTTTAATGGTTACTGACGACTGCAATATTTATGGCCAAATTTTGAGTTTGTGAGAGGTCTTAGACCGGTTAGATTAAATAACTCTGATATTACGGCAGGTACTCTTGTCGAAGTAATTACAACGCGTAATTTAAGTGTTAAATTTTTTAATGCAAGATTAATATATCGTATGTTCACACACATATACATACATACATACATACACATACATAAAAAAAGTTGTCAACGGAGCCAAAGATTTGTTAGGTTTAAGACGCGCTTCGGGTAGACTAAATGAGTTCAAATTATCGTGTTCGAATTTGAGTTGGTTGTGTCCAGAGAATAAGAACATTTTTCAATCTTACACTTTATTCAAATTGATATGTATTTTATATAAAATACATACAAATTGATGCATTTTGGTAAATACATTATGTTATAGTAGATGCAAATCTATAAAAAATACAAGATAATACAAACTGTTCACCTTAAAAATTTGGCATGATTAATTTTCGCGACTTCTCTGACGTTAAATATTAAGACAAAGCGACGGTCGATAGTCGTCAGTTGAATTCGCATCATACGAAAATTGGTAGTGTAATTTGACGAATAATCATGATTGAATGATTATTCGTTGAGCCTGAGATACCATATTATATAACAGATAAAAGTCCCTCTGTACATGACACGACAAATTAAATAGATTACGCAAGACGAAGATTGTACAGTTTATGATTTTTTACGGGAGAATCGACATTGAAGCAAATTGTAAAACGCCCAGAAAATTCTGTTTTATCTCTTTTATTTTATAATAAATAATCATTGTACACGTTCGTTCTACAATAGTTGTCTAATGTAACTACGTTTCCTAATTACCTTTACGGATTGATCAGGATCGATCGGCGTGTCCCTAGAATCGTGTCGTGTTATCTTGCGCGACTGCTCGTGTTCCGTCTCACACGATTATTATTATTAATATTAATATTAAATACATAATACTTTGGCCCTTTTACAGCGGATCTTGTTTTTTCTCGAAAGAATTTTGTCACTGAAAAAACTCTTTCCGCTTTCAGAAATTATATAAAATTTTAACGCCAAATACAAATACGCATTTTACGATCACTCATTAAGTTTCAATAATTTTAATAATCAATCAAATTTATTACACGTATAATCTGAATGTAGAGATCTTCTCGTTGGTTTCCCGGACTTTATAAGTTATCTTTATTTTATGCGATAAAATAATATTTCACTAAAAGTAAATTAATTCGTAATTTATCGAAAATTCTCTATAATATCTTTTGATACGATCGGATCGCCATACACGTATAGTACTTTATATAATGTACGTATAAATGTCGTTCGTTGTTAAGAGGTGCGCTGTAAATTGCGAGCGCTTTGCCGTGGGTGTTTATTTACAAGGTGATATAAATTAGTGCAACCACCCAGAATAACCCGTCGAGTTTCTCTACGTTTTCGGCGAGGTACTTATCCTACGATTTCGCGAACGATCGATGGATCAGTTCGCTTGATCAGGTCACGTGATAGCATTGCACTTTTGAGAGACTCATCGTAATAAGATTGTCTTCTCCATTTGAGCAATATTGATAGATCGCGAAGCGATTTTCAAAAAAATTGCATCATGTGCGTGACGCTCGGAAAACCATGTGTAAATATTACCTAATATTAAGATATCTTCTCCAATCCGGAGGAACGAAAACTCAGGTTAAAAAATGTTAATTTTTTTAGAGAACGTCTTTTTCACTTGTGTGTTCGGCTGCTTGGTGTAAAAAATTTTAAATATTTGACTAAGCAGTCGAGTTACATTAGACCTTTTTTCGAAGAATTTTCTGAACTAGTGTATACTGATGCGATAAGTTAGAGTGAAATAAGTATATTTTGTTTTACTTTAACTTATTGCATCAGTTCAGGAAATTCTTCGAAAAGACACAAGTCATCTTGTCAATTGAGTCAATCAGTCATAGAATGATACACGATTAAAGAATTTTTTTCTTATATATTTTTTCACTAACACCAGAGAATTAGGAAACGAAAAATTGGATGAAAAAGAGAGAAAGAAATGTACAGAATTTCATTTGTTCTGTTATGTCTGTGTTCGTGTCGAAAGAATTCGCGCTAAGCAGTGCTGTCTCGTGAATGCGTGTGTGTCGTAACTATGAGTTACCGTATCTACATTGCAAAATAGCGAATATCATTTTATCTCTAATCGCAATATTCTTTTTTCCATGGGCTATCAACTTCAATCTTCGCTTCGTCATCCGCGTTTGAGAATATCGTTTAGCTTGATCGATTTTATCTCACAGAGAAGTATCTCTTCCGCGGCGTTCTCTACGTCAACGAGAATTATTTTCGTTCCACGGTGGGCGACACCATGTGCTCATCCGGACGCTGTTTGGAATCTCCCGAAGAATCACTTTCCGATAAATTTATCAGTAACGTGCGTGCAACATGTCATACGAACAATATAACATCAGGAAATCATGTCTCTGACTTATTTTTTCTCAGTAAACATATTTCGCGCTTTGGAAGTGGGAAATCAAGTGGTTGCTCGATCAAGCGATAAATTGCGATATTGCCTTCTCACGAGGCGATACCTCGATTGAACCGGTCGTCTTAATTCCAACAGAGAAAAGTGTCCGTGTGACGTGCAATGTCGATTGATACAACATGTCACGCGGTGTAATCGCGAAAGAGTACTTTCGCGTCATCCAAGTACCCTTTTGCGTGCCTACCAAAAGTGCATTTCCCTCTACTGCACCGTCGAGCGGCCGGTATAACCGGGCGTGGTGTCGCAATACTTCCTGGTGCGGTCTCTGACCAGTTCGTCGATGGACTTGTTCTGTTGTATCGACGACGACAGGCTGTGAAGACGCGACGCCAAGTAGCACATGATAAAGGCCGACAACACCAGGAGAACGCCCAATCCTGTTGCCACATACAGGAAATTGCCGCAACTGCCTTCAAGGCCGGCCGTCACTTTGTCGTATAAATCTATGATAATGAGAGAATATCAATCAGAATTACAACGATCGTAACGTCGCGGCGTTCCGTTATCTCGGACGTGAGTCCGAGCCACCCCGGCCTGACCCGACCGCTTAATCTTGATACACTCGCCGAATGTGAGAGTTACAAATTAATCTGTCTCTCGTGAATCTTATCGCCCGGTGACCCGCTGAGGAGATTGATGCTAAAGAGATTAATTTCAGTTATGTACGCTAAACTAAATTGAATTTTTCGGCAACGGAAGGAAATTGTTTTAAAAGTTAAGGGTGATAAAAAAGAATTTGATTTAAAACCAATATGTGCCAATATGTATCACCTGATCTGTGTAATGTTTCGATTGAATTTTGATACACGTACTTCGGAGGCTTATAAATATGTACAAGAGGACGAAACGATCAACTTCAAGAAGAACCGATAAAAATGTTACACACGATTGATCTGTGAAATAAAGCGACAAGTGGAGACAGAAAGTTACGCGTAATATTTCGATATCTAAACTTCAATTGCAAGTTGAAGCGGTGCCGTTTTCCCGCGGCAGCGTCAGAATTGCTAAGTGTCAACCGTGAGGAAAGTTCAAGCTTTCGCGCCGTGGAACTCACCATCTGGCATCATCACCGTGTACTCGATATTCTCCTTAAACTTCGTGTATGGCGTGGAATCGTTGTACCTTTTGATCAAACGCTCGACTTTCGGAAGGAACTCGCCCGTCGCTTCCACCTCGACCGCTCTTTTCCTCTTTTTCCCGTGGCCCGAGGGCTCAAAGAGATCGAGACAGAAGTCCTGCGGAAAGGAATAAAAGAGGTAGAAGCGCTAAGTACAGGACAGATAACAGCAGAGGGGATCGCACGAAATTAGATCAATTTTAGATTACTCGAAATTTCAAGTAGACCAAGATAGACGTAGACAGACCTCTCTGTATGAGAATGAACACAGGTAGATCCGCGCGCACAGATACCCCGATTATATATTATCTTTGACGTTGAGTGCCAGTGGTATGCCCGCTATTGATAATGGATTTTGCATGCTCTGCACGTCGTGCGTGTGATATGCCCGAAACTATCGCGTCTTCTTTCCATCGCGAATTCTATCAGTTCGCTGTAACTGACGCTACATTCGATGTGATCGAATGTTCATGTACGAATGCACGAATTCGTCAGAATGACTTTCGTAACACGTAGACAATACAGACGTACACAGCGTGTAGCTACAGGGAGTAGGAGAGAAACAGTGTTTCGAAATTTAATGGGTAATAAAATTTCTCGATCAATGGTCTTAAAAGCACATTAAACTGCGCAGCAACAGCTCTAAACTTCATATTTTGCGGGAATATTTTCATTTTTACGACTAATAAATTAAAAAACACTCGATAGTTCAAGTTCGTACTTTCGCGAGGAATGAGCTCCGAATCGACAAGATGGTAGTAGGTATGACTGCGAATTCGTGGTGACTCTGTGCGAGAACGACCTAAAATTGCCGGAAAAAGCGGGCAAGGCCACGTCAAGTAGCAGATTGAAACCTGTTGCGAGCCTAAGTCACGACACGCCAAGGAGGAGAGAAGTTTCGTTTCCTCATAATAATAAATTTCTAATGTTATAGATGGGAATAAATTATTCTATGGTCGCTATGGTCGCGGGCTTTTCTGGGACAGAAAAGGATAATCTAGGATATCCTATCCTGATCGCTAGCGCTCGTCATATCCTAATGCTGTTATACTTCATGATCGTCTTACCGGTTGACAGTCCTGCGGCTCCATGCATGCCTTAATCTGCGAATGGATCCAGAGGGTGGAGCGCTCCCTCATTGAACTCAGCAGGAAGGCTTCGAAGTCGAGAAAAACTTCGTTCTTGCGCTCGCGGTACCTTGCCGGCTGATGCGGGATGATGGAGGCGAAATCTCGGTTCCTGCAGCCGTCCTTCACGAGCACGACGCTGCCGGAAGCGTGAGGCTGGTCTGGGTCAGGACTGACCGTCACCTCTAGCAGCTTGATGTACCCCCAAGCACTATCCGGGCTGATGCGAGCACGTAGTTGCAGCTTTGTGCCGATCGGTACCGCCTGATCGACCGTCTGTGAGCTATCAGAGACGTTTCCGGTGGCCTCGCGATAAAGGGCCACCTCGTACTCGAGTCGGCCCGGCGTCTCCTCCACTACGCCAGACACCCGGGCGCCGTGCGGACTGAAACGATTAACCCTTTAAGCAGACGCGCGTCATCACTTCAGCGCGTGGCACTTGTCTCCGAAGTTGGCTGAGTGCATTGTTGCAGAAGAACGAGAATGAGCGTGTTTATAGGGATTACGATGACGGATCCTTGAGAAAAGGATTCTTAAGCTGAGGTCCATGGAATTGTTGAGAATCCACGAATAGATTTCAGAGAGCTCCGATCAGGATAGGAGGACAATTGAGACTTCATTCTATTTTACTAAATCCTTCGTTTCAATTTCCCGTTATCAGAAGAAATTTAGTAAATTGAATATCGTGCAATATTTTGATCCAGAGTTTTCATGAAATTCTTGAAAAGTCTTGAGGAATTCTTGAAGAAAATAATTGTCAAAAGGCCTCTGACCTTAGATAAAAAGAGAACTGTGTTTTCATTTTCCTACCAAAACTTTAACTTAAGTGTAACATCATTAACGAAATTTAGTAAAAATTAATTATTCCCCGATTTATTTTGACAACTGCATATCATTTTATTTTACACACTTAAAAATATTATTCCGAGAAGAGTTTATAGATTTGATCGTGGTGCCAAAAAAGTCCACGGAGAAGTGTGAAAGACTCCTTTCTCTAAAAGCCCTCCTGAGTAATGTGAAAGCATATAAAAAGAGTATTTAATCTAACGAGACTTTTACTTTGGTTAAATTCAACAAATCTAAATTCAACAGATCTAAACGAAGGGGAAATGATTGTTAATAAGTATTCTTTAACTTTAACGACGTGTCCAAGTGTCTTACATCACTGTTATGAGGTAGCGTACCGCGTATGTGGTGCGGATAACCGTTCCCTCGGCGCGGCTCGCGCAGGAGCGCGCTCCGGCGAACGCGTACGCGGCATGGCGGAAATAATGCTCGTTTATTACTCGAGATTCGCGAAGATATCGTGCACGGTATGGGCGCGGTGACTTACAAAGTGCCGGCGAAGCCAGCAGCCTTGTGCCTCAGCAGCGTCGGTTCGGGCGGCCGGCACATCAGGATCAGCTCCTGGTCGGCCAACATCACCACGCCGGGAAAGGCCGGGAACCACACCCGCAGGTGAATGAATCCCTGGTGGCACGATTAATCGTGATTTATCGCTATTGTGGCGCGAGTCGTCGCCGTGCGCCGCCGTTATCCGTCGAGCGCAATAACGTTTCGGCTCGAAGAATTTCCTCTTTTTTTTCTTTACCCATTTTTCTCTTCTTTTTTCTGTCGGGGACGTCCGATGATGCGTGATAGTCGCGAATACGCGCGCGCAACGCACATTTTATCGCAACGGAGAAACGGGATTCAGATGATAACGATGCGATTAAATAGATACGATTTATCGCGTAACTCATACCAACGAACGTCCAGCGAACGTTGGCGGTTAATATCTCTTTTTGTCGAAATATCGCGGCGCGGCATCCGCACGACACCATGCGCGATATACGATTGCGCGCGCGGAAGTGTTTTATTGCTGCCCGCGGTAACAGCCTCCTCGGAGAAGGACTCGATCGTGAATTAATAGTCGCTTATCGATGAGCGATCGCGAGCGATCCGTACGAGAGGTTAGCCACTGCAGTTGATGGTTCCGTCAGGATCTCTGTTTGTGCAGAGTCACAGGTCCGCGAGAGTAGTCACAGCGCAATCCCGTGCGAATGCATCATCGGGGGGCCCGGCGTCGTAAAAAGGAAAAGAGAAAAATCGGTGCCGCGTAACTCGGATTGAGAGCGGTGACTCACGTTTCTCTTGAGGATGCCGCATCGGGAGAAGTCAGTCACCTTCAGGAAGTAGTTATCCTCCTGCGGATCGCTCGGGTCCGGCCTGATCTGACAGTGAATGTCGGCGAGTGGGTTCGCCGATCTGTCGTCGGCGAAGAGCGGTGCGCCTCTGAAGCCGACCGGCCTTTTGATCTTCGCTGTCAGCAGATCGACCGCCGATCCCGCACCGCTGCACTGAATGTCCGAGACCTCGTAATCTTGGGCAACGGTGGCGGCAACCTGAAACGGCGGTCGACGTTAATTCGGGACCGGCGAGCTGGCGCGAAAGGATTGCGGCGAAGAAAAATTTCAGGGCACGCGGCCGATTAACGCCTATCATCCATTTCTCGTCGGGTGTTTCTATTCTTTAGCGCCGATTATTCTTTCAGCAAGTACCGTCCTGCGTGGATTGGCTTTTGAAACATTGCGCCTGGACAAATCGCACAGTTTCGCATCTTCGATTTTTCGCCGTTCATACGATTCTATTTCAAGTTTCATTTACTTTCGCAGCTTTCATACAGTAACTTACTATAATTTACCTTTTAATCTCTATAATAATTTATGATTCTGCACTGAGGAAAAAAACACTGACAGAGAAAAAATATTTATTCGCGATAGATACATATTTGCTTATACTAATATATTCAAATAAGAAAATATACGTTTTCGTAAAATTTTTCGTGAAAGCAATTATTTATTCTATTGAGATAAAAGGATTGAAGTAAATATGTTATTAGTACCTACCGAATAAATATTTTTTATTTTTTAGATATCTTTTCTCTCAGTGTATCTGCTTGATACGATTATTCTGTCAGGACGAGATAATTAATTTACAATAGGACAAAGTATTCGATAACGATAATGAAGGATGAAGAAAAACATTATTTCTTTTTCAATTATGCTGGACAATTTTTATGTATATAATACGTATTTCCTTTTGAAGAACAAAAGCTGCTTGAAAAAATCAAACTTGAAGTAATTAAAAGATAGAATGATCAGACGCCCCGATGCGTACACATCTCTTTTGCTTCGTATTTCAAAACGAAAATATTTCATCCGATTAAATGTGCAGCGTGTACATTACGTTTTGTCGTAAATTTTCTATCTCGCAGAACACGGAAATATGCGCTTACGTAGGGTGCTTTTGCTATGTGTCCGTTTTTTATCTGAAAACAGAATTTTAACCCGCACAGATGCGTTTTGCAGAACGTCTGTTCCCATCGCTCCTGATGAGGCTCTTTACGTGTCTCTAAAATGCTACTGTATGACGGGATGCAGTATGGCGATGTATCCGCAGTGGCGCACGATACGTACGAATATGCGGAACGATGACTTATGTGTATATAAGTGTACACGACTCTGCGCATAGAGTTGCACATTGCAGTAAACTCACGTAAATAATGGCTAAAACCTAATAACCGTATTGTTCTGTAACTGTTATGCAGCCAACGTCTTTTTTCACGGTAATTTACCGCCGTTCAGTCGCGCTCGCGGCGCCATAGCGGATCGCGCATTATTTTCAATCCCCCGACCAGATTTACTTTCTACATTTCTTCCAAAATGACAATCGCCCGTTGCCCTGGTTTTCTGGAAATTGCATAAACGCTTTCAACGACTTCTATCCCCGTTTCCGCGGACAGTGTGGCTTTTTTCGGGTCATGGTAAGTTACGCGTCGTAAGGCGAGGGTCGAGATTAGCGTGCGAAACGTGAATAAGTCCTTGGTGTTTCGCGCGGTAGTTTTGCCAGCCGCGCTTACACTCTTCTTAAAACGTCTCAGAGCAATCGACACGGTTAATTCACGGTTAATACGCGCACAATCATGTGGGGGAAAAGGCCAATTATCGATTTTATCGTCGCGTATCGTATTTACCCGACGGGAGTCTCGCGAAATGATTACGTTCCAACTTTTGCGCGTCCGCGGCGAATACGAGCACGCGAATAACGATCATTTACCCTTTAATCGTCCGTTAATTAGTACTTTGTGCGCCGTGTCACGCGAGCTTCTCTCCCGCGGTCATTTGCCTTGCATCGGCGCGAAATAGAATGGTATATGTACGCTTTTAATACTCTTGACGCGCGGGCCCTCGAGGTAGGCGCGCTCGCGCTACAATAAAAGCGATTAAGCTCGCAATTAATCTACGTTACGATCCGCGGGTCGTCCGCCTTTCATCGGCTATACTCGCATTAATTATCGGCATGAAAAAACTACGCGCGTCCGCGCGGGTGCCCCAGCTGGCGCCGCTCACTCGGTGACTCGGGGACGACCTCGGTGCCGGCGTTTACAATGCCATTACGTTACTATTGGTAAAGAACAGGGTGACCAGCACGCGACCAGAACGAGAACCCACTTCGATACGGATAACGGTGTAAGGAAACGCTCTGGTGGTCGCGTAAGATATTCGTTATGTGTACCATACACGTTATATATTGCGCGAGCGAGCGTACGCTCGCAGCGTGCTCATACTCGTGTTCACCGTACAGGTCATGGTAGGCCTTATGTTTCTTTCCCTTTTTCACGATAGCTCTCCACTCCCGATCGCGCCATATCGCGGATACCAGATCCGATCCGTGAGTTCATGCGTATGTATTTACTATGGCGGGTGCGTTGCCTTCACGCCGCGGTCACTTTCCGACGCAGGCGGAGTAAAAAGATTGTCGGCGAGATGGTAACGAATCCTTTACGAGATGAGGAAGCACGTGTATTGTTGATTAAGAAAACAAAAAAAAGTAAGGAAATCGTCTTTTATTCATTTCAACGATGTTTCATAGCTTCCTCTCTTTCTCGTTCTTTTTTAAAAAAATCACACTTTATTATAGCCTCAAGTAGAACTTCAATATTTATTAAAGTCAGATAGAGTACTGTATTAAGAGTTGTTAATTGAGCGCGAATTAAGAAAAGACTTCTTTTGAATAAATATATTTCGTTTCACCCAGTGATTAGTGCACACGGACAGAATTTTGTTGTAAAAATTACTAAAAGAATTTTGTAATCGAGAAATAAATTAACATTCTGCAGCGATTCATTATCCTCTTATTTTATACGCATTACTTATATTTCAGAAACTGAAATGGAAACTTTGCTATGTTTCTAACGAAATTTTATGTTTAGCAGAATATTAGTAGAACATTAGCAAAATAGACCATATTGACAGTCTATTCCTGCTCCACTAGAAGTATGGAAAAATTGAAAAGAATTTATATGAATAAATACTATAATATATTCTCTCCGTGTTTTTAGAAGTGCAAAAACGAGTTACTATATTTTAAAGAGTGTTGGAAAACGAGAATTTGAAATGATCTATGAAATCATCTCGAGGCCGAAAACGTTCAATTCGACCGGTACTACTACTGGTTGCTAGTCCCATTAACGTAGAAAACAGGTTTCGGGCCCAATGATAGAGCCACATCGTGAAGTTCACAGAACGGCCGGTTAGTAAATTCATGGTTCCATAGATGATTGGGCGGATCGTTAAATTCGTAGACGCGTGGACGGTTCGAGTTGTGTGGATCGGTAGATTCATATATACACACATACGCACACCGTTAAATTCATAGATTCGCGGATCCATTGAGGCGAGAGTTGCTCTCGCACATCGTCAAGTCCCGGGAACACCGGAGAACATTTTCGAAGCTGGTAGATCACTGAAATCTGAAGATTCAGAAGTAGATCGCGGATCTCTCGCAGAGACTAGAATTTCGTCGCGCATAAACCCGCTTATTGTATCTTCGAAAGTTCAATTTGCGAGGCATAGTGCCGTCTCGCGTTCGGCGCGAATCTTTAGTGATTGAGAGCTGAAACACCCGGAATCGCGAGTCGTGCGTCACATGGACACTTTTGCGCGCGAGAGCAAGGACGATCGAAGGCAGCCGGGGAGTAAATTTGCGCGGCGAATGCGTTCGCTCTTTCGAGTCTGTGAAATTCGCGACGCTCATTCTGTTTGAGGTTGCTACGCACACAACGTCGAAAAACGCGTCTAGTATAAAATACATCAAAGTCGAGAAGTAACGCGCAAATTACACGAGAGTAGTCGGAGCGGCAGCGCGATTTTTTTTCTTCCTTTTAAAAGAAGCGAAAAAGCATGCGGTGAATGAGCGGACGCACGTGCAGGGACACGCGTGGTTGTTAGAGGCAAAAAGATCTCAGAAAGAATCGCGTCCTTCGCATTTCGTAGTTCGTGTGTAATACTTGGTCGAGAATTAATTGGAGAGATTTCTCGCGAAGCAGGCAAACGCAACGGAAGATAATAATTATTCTGGAAAAGTGTTGAAAATGACGACTGTGAGTGAGATAAACACGTTCTGCTGCACACGTGTGCACATGTGCATTCTCTTTTGCATTACTTTCGTTACTCTGCAACAATTATCTCAGTAAATTGGATAATGAGGCAGTAGTGGATTCATTATCGTGAATATCTCCGAGAAGTTCCGCGCGAAATTCACCGGGTAAGCGTCGGACGTGCGAGAATAGAATTGCACGAGGTAGCAATTGACGATTGTCGAACATTGTATTGACGACTATCCGGGGGACTATTTGACGACGGCACGGCACGGGCGAAGTTAATATTCTTAATGGCATCTTAAAGGCGAACCATTCGCGCTTATTCAAGTATTTCGAAGACGAGCACGCAAGACGAGCAAGACGGCTGTGCATGCAGTACGTTTTTCCTCGAGTAACTTTCATCGACATGCCAATGTTTTGCCGATTAACTTCGTCCCGGCTCGGCAGAAATTGCGACTCGAGCAGCGATTGCACGTGTTGGCGCGTAGATAGCGCGAAGATTTCGCAAGTAGGGAGGAAAACGTTTCGCTCAAATTGAGGTAAGAGCCGAGGGATTAATTTCGATAAGTTAAAATGCGAAGTACGGATACGTGACACTTCCCGTTGGATATGCACGCGCATCTCCCCCGGGAAGCCGCGAAATTCCGCAACTTCCAACATAAATGATACGATGCAAACGGATCAAATATATACTTCAGCTGCTGATTCCTGCTTATCACGGGAAAATGTTACCGATGAGTTCATATGAATTTGATAAATTAATTCGTACGGTTCGCATCTTGTCGAAAGAACGTTGCTCGATGTGGATTTGGATCTTATAATCGAGGTAATATCGCTCTCGTAGGAAGAAATCGTTCGATATCGAGCAAGTGAACAATATCAAGCGTTTCTAATTACTTAGAAATGAAAAAAAATTTCATATTCGTTAGGAAATATCCTCGTAACGTGTCCGTTTGTTTGATCCGAAAGTACAGCAAAAGTACCGCCGTTAAAATTAAAGTCGCGGCTTCTGAGTTAAACTGTGTAATTTATCGCGTGGAGATAGGGAGGCGACTAATAAACCGCTTGGTTTATATGCGATTGGGATTCGTTTTTCATCGGGCAATGGGCGAGCGGGTAACGGGAAAGGACAGACAGCTCGAAATCTGCCACGCGAGACGAAGCAGCCACGATTGGCCGCCGGACAGTTTGGTCTTCCTTTTTTTCTCGGTCTTATTCGAAAGAACCGCAAACCTCTTCTTTATAACTTCATAAATCCCGTTTTTTTCTTTTTCTTCTTTTTTTTTTTCGATGCCACTTTAACTTCGCGACACTCGCTCATCCGCGGCATTGCCGAGTTGTCTGACCCAACACAATTCGGTACTGTTAAATCCTTGGACGCGCGACAGACGCGTTCCGTGCCATCGAATAAACCGCGCAGAGATGTGTGTGTGTGTGTGTGTGACTCGGAATTTGGCGACATAAAAGAACGTTTAATTGGCGGGCGTAAAACGCGCGCAACGCCGCGTGTACCCGAGGACGCTATACGGTACCGGAGAATTTTACCGAGACTGGGCGAGATAACGGGGGCGAGGAGAATTGGGGAAGAAATAGGGTTTCAGAGACATAATAACGCACGGACTGAAAAGCGCGAAAGTCCGCGCGCGGGGATAACCGGTGTGCGCGGATAATACAATTGGTTTTTGAATTGCGCGTTCAATTGGATTCAAGCGGATCCGCTGTTATTCGGCAGCGCGGTACCCTCTGCGAGGAGCGCGTTTTTGGCGCTAACAACCTCCCCCTGAGCGTCGCCATTTAATACGGCGTTGCTCCGGGACGCCTCCGTGCCGCCGAAAGCATCGTGCGCGGTCGGTTCAACGTATAATTACAAGTTCAATCATTCGTAAATGGATTAATTTTAATTCTCATTTAAACTTTAAATTGAATGTGTTTCAACGGGACGCTAGTTAAACTTCGAGACGGGGACCTGCGTTTGCGGCGACGCGCAGATGTCTTGCAATCGACGCGTTTCAGTAAGAATCGCGAGGTATATTTTGGTCAAAGTTGCACTTCGTGCGCACCTGAAAATCTTGTTCGTCCCTTAATTACGTTACGCGCTCGTTACGTTGTTACATACGACGTTTCTCGTAACTTGTACCACGAAAAATAACATAATTGCGAACAACGCATGAATTATTTATTCGAATCACGATTCTTTGGCGATATACACATAATCCTTGCTATCGCTCCCTCTCCTTTTTCTAACTCTAATTGTCTCTCTAACTCTAAACAAAGAAAACCTCTAATTTTGACCCCTCTAACTTTGACATTCACACACACTCCCTCTTTCTCTCTAAAATTTTTTGTATGTGTCTCCCTAATTCCTGCCATTCGTTAAGAATTTATTTTCAGATGTTTTTTACTTCCATATTTATCACAATTCTTTATGTATTGTCAGCGGATTAATTATGTTCAACCTGTTAGAATATTATCATTACCCTTGCATGCTGGATTGGTATTATTACTATTGTTTACATAATGTAATTCTAAGAAGTAATATATATATATATATATATATATATATATATATATATATATATAACTTCAGGATAAAATAACAAAATTCTACTCTACTCAAATCTTTTATCTCCCTTTTCCTCTTTGGACACTTCCGCGCTCGCACGTGTCAAAGTATATTTCGATATATCGCGTTTCACGTCGGAATTAGTCGGTGGGGTATACAGCCGTGGGGAGATGTCCGACACAATTCAATTATTTCGTCGTTTGGGAAAGCCATTAATATTTCAAACGTATCAATGGCCTGTTCGTGCGGCTCGCTTTAAATTGCCCGTTATCGCATTTCGTCGCCTCGAACGTCACGTATTAATAATGGTGTGCATTTTAAATTATCCCCTGGCCGTGCCGCGTATACGTCGCGGCACGTGTTCGTTCTTTCTTTTCTCTTCTTTCTCTTTGTCCTTTGAGTGCGACGAAAAGCGGTCCGGGGAAATTAAAGCGAGTCGCTCGCGAGAAGCTTCTCGACGACGGGCATTATTTTCGACGCGGCTGCGCCGCTCGATGTGATTTAATGGCGTAATATAAAAATACATCGAGCCCATCGCGAGCGCTTCTTTTCCTTTTTTGTCTTTTCTGTCTCTTTCTCTCTCTTTCTCTCTTTTTCTTTTTACTTTTTTTTACGCAAAAGGAGCATCGCGAGGGAGGTCACCGCGCGCGCCCCAGTTAAAATGAGAACCGACCGCCCCTGCCTCGCCGTAGGATATCTCCTCGGTGGTCTTTCGCGGCTCTCTCGCCGGAAATTAATTGACGTTGTCATTATTGGCAGGTATTTCGCGACGGGCGCCATGTGAGAAAAACGACGAGCGGCTCCCTCGACGAACGCGCGAATAAATAGCGAAGATAAGTCGGGACGTGTAGTAAGTGTAATTAAATGTCGCGAGACTAAAATGACGTTCAAGGACGAGCCCGATAGGAGCCCTACAGTTCAGAGATGTCTTTTTATTTCGTTAAGGTGCTTTGCGCCGCGCGACGGCGTCAGATTTCATTGAAAATCGCGATTGTCTCTCGTTTCAGCGAGACCGGCTCGAGAATTTCGCTCAAGAAATTCGTCGAAGTTCCGCGTTGCGGAATAAATTTCGCAGCAGAGACGCGATTTCTTACAATTCGCAATCGCGGGCCGATTTTGCGAATGGATGCGCGAATCAGCGCGTCCTCTCCTCGCCAATGTATTTTCTGTACGCGAAAGAAGTTGTTAACGCGACTTAATCGGCGAAGTCAGCTCTGATAAAATCAATGTCTAATCATCGTATGGACCCATTGCAATCGCGTGACAAATCAGCACACAATATCAAACAAAGTCTGGCGCCACGCGAAAAATATTAGTCACCAAGAACGGATGACATTGAGTTCTAGTGGTCGTCCATCATCCGCGATCGGTCTGATTTGTCCCAGTAGAGACGTCCGAAGCCGCCCCCTTCATGTCAATTAAAGCGATATAGATGTGTTAAAAACCTCTGACTTTGGTGCGCACTCGGGTAGATCACGAATCCGACTGTAAGATGAAGACGATCAGCCAGCCCTAAGACCGGTACTCACAGCTAAATCTTATATTTAAGGTAACCTTAAAGGAATACCAAAGTGGATGACGAACTTGAAAAATAATGTGAAGGCGATCGTCACTAACACCGACTATACTATCCTTTTCGTATTTCTTATACATATGGATTTTATATAAATGTTTTCTGCTTTGCTTTATCATATTTAGAGGAAATCATAATCATGCATATATAGAAATCTTGCTATAAATTTTTTATACACTTTTAAATTCAGTTACAAAGGCACAGTAAAGTTCTTTGAAATTTTTCTGAGCAAAGCGACGTTCAGCATATATGAGATGCAAAACTTTTGTATCAGATAAGTATGTATGCCAATTGACGGCTCGAAATGTCAATGTTTTGCTGTTTTTTATCGTTTTCATCACGTATTGAACAATACTTCAATTAATTTATGTACGTACTTTCATTATGCAGAAGCACAATTTGTAATTCTGTGTAATTAATATACGATATAAACTTTGCAGAAAAAAGTCAGTATTTTGTCGGTAAAGTTTTTAATAGCATCCCTTTAAGTGCATCTTCAGATTAAATATAAGATCAAATTATGAATTCCGACCTATGATTTGTGTTGACTTATGTTGGACGATTCGTAATTCGTGATTAAGATTCTATACAACATCTTATTTGTAATTTTGCACACTGTACTTGATCTGGAGGATTTATACATTTGCGTCTGTGTAAATGTGATTACGATCTTTCAGATGTTTTCCCTCACGAATGGAGTTTTGTTCGGAATTCTGTCATGGATTATAAGTCGCTCGAAATGAGTTTCAGCTTCGGCAAAAAATTGGACTTCACCTACTCTTCGTCTATCGTGATCAGGCGCGGATATTCGTGACATCGTCAGCGCGACTTAAGCTTTACACTTTAACCCCTCTTCTTGAATGACAGACTCACCGTGCAAAATCCTGCGATCAGGACTCTCCACATGATCTCGCCAAGCGCTCTCTTTCTCTATCCCTTTGTCGATCTCTCGCTGTCGTCCTCTCCTCTCGTTAACCCGAGACGCGTTTACCGAACACTCGAGACACTCTTCCGAACTGGAGGACGCACCAGAAGCGGGAGGGATGCAATTTTGACGAAGGCCCCCGATGGACTGAGGCGCGTGCACCAAGCCGGGGCACGCGAAGGACTCCTTCTCCCCGATGTGCCGGGCACATCGGTGTCTTCTGCGGGGGGAAGGGGACACAGAAGAAACCAGGGAACCAGAGAACCACCGGCCCGTCCGGAGTACTGTTAATGCATGCTCGCTGCCTCCACTAACAACCATCCTCTTCGGTTCGTCCCGCTCGCGCTCGCCCAGCGACGGCCTCGAACAAGCGTCGCGGACGCGAATCCTCTACTCCCGGCTCAGCTCCCGACGAGGACCTGTGACCCGAAGACGATCAGACGTTGTCCTAGTTTCCGGAGGACGCGACGTGTCCGCCGAGATGCTCTCTCTGTGCGCGGGAACAATTGGAGTCGCCCTTGCAGGTGCGATTTTGCTTCGGATTCTTTAGGCCACTTGATTCTCGGATATTTCATAGCAAATCTGTGTGCTTCTTTTCGGCTTTAAACTTGTCTGCATTTTGTCCTAGTTTCGTGATTGGGATACGTTATCAAGAAGTTAGATGCGCCATTCTGCTTAATTGACACTTTGGGATACTACTTTTCTAATGGAATATTGCTGCCAGTAATGCCTGCGTTGTTATATCTTTTTGCCTCGATAATTATAATATATCTTCCGTTTGCCGGTGTATTAAAACGAACGAATGAAATTTTAATGAGAGTTCTTTGATGGGTTCGGAGAGAATCTTTTAAAATAAATCTACCTTCTTGCCAATGTTGATCCATGAGGATAGTTGTTAACTTCGGTGCCATGGAACCGATTTATAGCCGTAGAAGAATTCGGACAATTTTCTTCCTTTTGATTATGGATGCATTTCGATCTGGGAAGTTCAGCGAAGTCAGCGAGTCGCGAAATATTCTGGCGCTTCTGACACGCATAATAGGAGAAGAATAGAATTGCTTAACCGGTTATTGGCTTCCTTCATGAATAAATTTCTAGATCAATGACTGGATGCATCGCGCTTTGGAAGAAAAAGAGAATCACGATTCCAAAATTTCTTTATATATAATAAACAAATCTCTAAATCAATATTACAGATTTTTATTTGACTTTCCCCAAATTTTGTTTTTTTTTTTATGAATGAAATTTACACAACGGACAAAATTATATTTCTTTATTTACTACGATTTTCAGTTTAGAAGCGCGACTTTGTCGTTCGTAAAAACTGGCTTTTCAGCGAGGTTGTGATATTCTTCTTGCCGAGTTGTGATATACGTTGTGCGAGTTAGTGGATTAAGTGCTTATCGGCGTCATGTGCTTCCGTAAAAAGTGAGAATGACATACCGCGCGTCGAACATTCGCACAGACTTTACTGTACTTGTCATTGACTGAGTGACTGATAGAGCTCGATGCCAGTGTCACGCGGTTTCGAAACGCACGTAGTAGTAGTAATAGTAGCATTGCCTGCTCCTCGGGAACGAAGAAATTGCCCTTCCGTTATTTTTCGCTGCGCATGCCTGCCCCGTCGTTTAACTCTCTCAAGCGGCTACGCAGGTGCATCGTTACTATCGCCAAAATAAATTGCTATCCTGGTTGCATACTGATACACATTACGCATCACTTATGCATCAAAGAGATGCCTCGAGTCGTGAGCGCGCTTACGGTGTCGGAAGAAAAACATTTTATCGTAAAAATAAAGTTTTTAGCAACACAAATAATAATAAAAACATGTAAAGTTAAGTGTACAATTTTATGGTATAAGTAATTAAATATTTTATGGTATAAATAATTAAATATCAATATGATATAAATATGATTAATTGTCTATAATAAATATGATTATTTCCTTCCTACAAGGATATGGTTTACACAACGTTTTTATATTATATCAGATCGAGTATCAAACAATTATGATAATTATACAGTAAACTGACAATTAATACTTTTTATAACTTATCCGTTTTATCTCTGAATCGAGAACTTGCTGCTCTAGTTGTAAATTTAAATCCATCGTGACCGTGAGCTGTAACATGAATGAATCTCTCTCGTGTGCATTAAAGAAAGATAGACGCAGAAAAAATACCGTATATCAAAAATAAATTATTCACAAATATTCTTTATAAGACTTTTTGGTTTCAATGTTGAGGCACATAATTCCCCGTTTCAGTATTCCAATATTGAAAACCACAAAAAAGTACTATTATTAACCAGTATATAATCAATCAAATCAAAGTTTAATAAAAAATTAATTTCATCAATCGATCAAGTTGTTCGTGATTTCATATATATGCCGATTGACTAACTCCGATTATTAATTTGTCGAGCATCCCAGTCAATTGACATTCTAATCTTGTTCAACTTGTATGTATTCAATTAGTCAAATTTGTATGTAAAATATCCTTCGGTTCTAATTCCCCATCTCAATGTTCTAATGTGGGAAACAACAGGGAAATGTTTATCAGACAATTATCGTCATCGTCCACGTGCTCCATCGTCGCTCGCGAATCCTCTGATGCGCCGGTCGTCATCGCTCGTTATGGTCCGTGACGTTTGGTAGGCGCGTTGCACGCGCTGTTACATCAACGCCGACGTAACCGGCGGCGAGGCGTTAGCAATTACATCGTTAATCGTGAACTTGCTCGTGAGCGAGCGTGAACGAACGAGCGGACGAGCGAAAGGCGATCGGAAGCCGCTCGGTTCGCGAATTCCGCGGGCGAGCGCGGAACTGCGAAGCTGCAGGCGCATCGCGGAAAAGACGCTAGAGGCGGCCGTCGCAAAAACGGCCTCGCTCGCGCGCCGCTGACCTCGACTGCATCTGCGAGCTCGGGCACTTTTTCCGCGGCGGTTAGATTACGGTAAGATTCGTTCGCTCCAGCGAATTCGACGAGAGCGAGCGCGTGCGCCGATTGCGATGAAACCTTCGCAACGGGGTGGCTTTTGCTAACGACCGAAGCCGCGAAACGTCAAACATCGTCTGTCCATTAACCGGAGTTACATGACAACGAAGTCCCGCTGATATTTTAGCGTGAAATGGACACTGGCGAGGTTGCATCGGAGAATTTTTACGCATGGACGCGCGCGCGTGTTTTCGAAAAGTGAACTTGCTTGTCGAATCGCGTTCTTATTCGCGCGATGTATCTTTCCATCGCAAATGAACGATAGAATTTTGTTCTACAGAGATATTAATTATGTAACAATATTATGCATACGAAAATGCGTCTGAATATTGCAAATGTTGTTGATTTTCGAATCGTGGCACGTGTACTCTTAAAAATACGCGTTTATATTAAGGAGTTTATTAAACTCCTTAATAACTTAAATCAAAACGCTTAAAATTATATAAAAATTTAACGTAACATTGTCGCAAAAACAATTCGTAGTTAAAGTCTTGTGATTTCTCTGCACCGTTCATGAGAAATTATATTAATGAACATCACAATTTTGTACATATAACCTCTTATAGCAGAAACAATATATAGAGAGTCATTATTCTAGGATAAAAAAATTTCGTAAAAAGTGATATCATCCGAATAAAAAACTTATAATATCATAAATGTTATGTATTAGGAAATGCAGTATAGAAGCAAGACTAGTATTCTTTCACCACATCGTTTTTATGCAATGATCGATTGCAGATTGTAGATTAAAAAACTGATGTTTTATACTTTGAATAGCATTATACCGAGTGGCAAGATAGTATCATGAAATTAGTTTTTGATTAACATTTATTATTTTGACAGTGAAATAAATATATAAAAACGTAACTTTGTCCAATAAATAGTGAATTTATAAATAGCCCCTTGATGCGTTACTGAAAATACCCTCCTCTGAAAAAATAAATTCCTTAAACATATGCAAAAATAATCCAGTAATGGCTCCCTTCTATCTTTCCCTCAAACAAGAAGAAAAAACAACGAAGCTGCATTTAGGAAAATGTCACGTACCATAGTCGCGATGCAGAAATTCATTATATAAATATAATTAATTCGGCGTTTTAAATAAAATATTCATGAAATATAGCTACTCATCATAAACAAATTTTATTGAATTTGTTTAGTCGTCGCTGCAACGTAGTATGCTGATATCAGACTACACTTTATTTTAAGTCTTTTAATTGATTATTTATTTAAAAAATAAAATAAACTGTGCGCGCTCGGCGCGAAAAGCATTTAATTTACTGATATCGCTTTGCACCCGCGACAATCGATATTTATATTGGAATCTCGTACGTGCCTATCAACTGTTGGATTAATCAGCGTAAAAGCGTGCAGTGGTTGCGATTGTGTGCACAGACAACGACCGCTTTTGATACCTCAGTTTGCAACGTAAATAAATACATTTATTGACTCCACTTTCCTGCGTTCCTACACTACGCATTTATTCACGTAAATAAACAATTCACTCTCTACCACGTGCAACTAGCGGGAAATATGCAATCGATAATTATAAATGTTAATTGCAACACGATAAACTCCTCGTGCACGCGTCTATACATACACGCCAAATATTATGTTACTTTTATTCGGTTTTCCTTTTATAGATCTCCGTGATTTCAATATTATTCATTTAAGATACAATTACAACAACGTAAATGATACACGGAGAAATCCGTCGTTCGTAGGAGACATTCATTCACGATAGAGATGCCGCGGCGCGAATCTGCGATAGTTTTGCCTTTGCCTCTCGGCCTGCTTTATTAGTCGGAGCAACGTCGGATGCGATCTAACGAAAGCGCGGCGCTTCGGCCGCGGCGGTTAGCCAGCGTGTCATTAATTATCCCGATAGCTTCGGCGCTGCTCGCGTTATTATCAATTAAGCTAGCCCCTCGGACGCGGCAATTTCCTTCGCGCCGCCTGTTACAGCGATCGCGATACGCCGCGCGCTATTTTGCCCGCCATGCTCGGCCACGTTCGCGAAAAGAAATTAAACAAGACGATCGTTCGATAATCGCGTCCGCACGTGAGCGAATTGATCCGGGAACATATTAGTGACAATGTATCGATGCTCTTGGACACTTTGCTCCTGAGCGTGGAATGCACGTGGAAACTGGAAAAAGAGAAAGAGATTAAAGCTTGACAATTCTCGCAACAATTGAGAGACACTGACTGGAAAAAGGGCGCGTAACTACATCGACTGTTTGTTAATTTCGACGCACGTGAGGAATTTGCACGTTTACGTTTCGCGAGAATGGTAGTGTGCGGTCGTGTAAGAGAAAATTGCAAGGTGTAATGAAACTAATGGATGGTAGTGTGTAAAAATTCTCCCTTGAAGTCGATATGGATAATGAACATTTTTTTAATCTCACGTACCGTTTCTAGAGGTTCTTGTGAGATTGCATCAATTATTGATGCAATCGTAATCACACTTCCAAAGGCTCCGCCGCACACGGAGGAAAAGACATAGTGATAGCAATTACATAAGTGTGATAATTGTATGAACTTTGTATGTAGAATTGATGTATATGGTTCGTTAAACTATATGTTTTATAGTTATTGTAACTGAAGCTTTAGTTGCAATGTATATAATTACTAAATAGTTTATTAAACTATATATATATATATATATATATATATATATATATATATATATACATATATATATAATAATAATTTTTGTAACAAAACTTGTACAATTGTCACCTATATAGCTATTACTGTATATTATCACGTCTTTCGCCGAGCGTATGCGGGCGTTTTTCTCGGAAGGGGCTCTTTGCTTGTGCGTGCTCTCCCGTTAATTGCTCAAATTAATAATGTAACGTGAAACTACCACACTGCGGTCGCGGTCCTCTTATCCGCGCCGTTGAATAAAAGCCCGCGCGCTCGTCGGGCTCGCCGTTCATCGGAGACACCCAGTGCATGCGTATAATTACTCGCGCGCGATATAATTTTCAGTGAAAGAAATTTGCATCCTAGACTGCACAATTGCACACGAGTGCGTGCAAAATTACGAAGGAAGGCGGGTCGTAAGCATTGCGCAATAATGACGCATAGTAAATGAGCGTAAGAAAAACAGCGCTATGCTAATCAGCCATTGGTAGATTGTGCGCGCTCCCGTGAATCTGAATCTTGCCCGTCATTACGCGAATTTTTCTTTTCGCGCCGCATCACCGTGCGCGTCCGATAATCCTTTCCTCCTTCCTCTCCGGCCCCTCTCACACTTCTTCGCATTATTGATATCGTTAATTGAGACAACTCGTTACACGCGCGTTAATAATTATCCGTCTCTGCGTGTAACACGTGTTAATTGCAGGTCTTCGCTAATTCGCGGTGCGCCAATTCCGCCGCGCCCCTCCGCTTGATCCCTGAATCTCCTCCCTCTTCCCCGCCGTAAATTCAATTATTAATACCGATGCATTAATCCTAAAACGCGGCGATTAATGCGACGTCTATGTCAATAATTGGACTCCGGTCGGAGTGCATAGCGAAATTACGCGATCGTAATCGCGTCCGCGATTAATCGGACGAAATTCACGGTCGCTTTACGGCCTCGCCACGGTCGGTCCGTGTTATATCTCGGCTTTCGGGCGCCGGGGTGTACTGTCGTTTAATTTCATTTCAACGTGCGTGACGGCTGAAGGATTGAGAGGCGCGGAAACTGTGTCGCGCGAGAGCCTGATTCAAATGCTAATTTGCTGGAGGCAAATCCTCGTATCCGGAAAAAAATTGTTTCGAATTATTGTTTCTACCGCGCTGGCACACACACGGCGCGTGTTATCGTTAACTGTTCTTCCGCGAGGGCTTTTTCTCTCCGTCGAAACAGAGGCAGCGCTTTTCAGGCACACCGGCCGCTAATTGCGGACACAATTGGCAGAAAGATCATAGCCGAGGTAGTATCGAATGACTTATTACAGAGCTCGCGCGCCACTACCACTGCACGGCTTAAGTGCGACGTGTTAACAACGTATGATTTATGGAACTGCTACAATACGGGATCCCCGTGAAATCCGCGCTCGCGTTACGCTTTGTTCCTGGTTCCCGGTAACGTTCCGCGGCTCCGCTGTTATATCATTACTGTGTATTACTACGGTTCGCTCAGCCATTGAGTGGATCGAAGGGCGACGATAAAAGTCGACATTTCACGCTTCGCCGAGTCGGCCGCCGATTTCCGCTGGATGCGACAAAGTTCCTTCTCGAGGGAACTTCCGTCGAGGATGATACGTTCTGGCGGCAGGATCGGCTCGACGCGAATCATAGTATCGTTGTGCCGCGGGGCGGCTCACTCCACGTGGCAAGATGTTGTCGTTGTTCTGAGCAGAAAAATATGATTGCAGTATCTTTGGATTTTCGCTATTAGTAGTCATAACGATTTCAAGTTCATCAATCGAGCTTCCGAGCTGTGGAATACTCGATCTATGATTAAATAGACTCATTATCCGTCGTGCTTGTTAGTGGAGTATTTGCGAAATTCACGTTTCAGGAAGTGTGAATCAATGAGGATAGAGTGGAGCACCTGGTGAAGGAGAAGCTATTGACTATTAGTTATCACCTGATAAACACTACACTAATAGCAACGTTACATCAATGTGATGACTCCTCACTCGACGATGTAACTGCTACATACTGCACACGTTTCACAGTACTTACATTGTTGAGTGAGAAATCAATTAATTAACACGAGATGTGTCCTAATTATTATTAGAATATCGAAATCTCTAATCGCCGCGCGACTGTGTAAGATTGTTGGATCGTGATGAACCCAATTTCCTAACGCAGCACGTCGCTCAAGGGCCGAACATCCGCGGCTTCATCCGATCCTGCGGTGGCTGACCGGCTCGGTCGGCTGGCTACACAGCCGCCCCCGAGAAGGGAACCCTCAGGGAACCGTGTTGCATGCATACCGGCAAGGATACTTCTTTAATCTCCCCCGTAATGCGCGCCATTCTGTTCACGCCTCGGGGCGTTTCGGCATGCGGCGGCATGGAAATCCACGCGGATGTATACAACGGTTCGCTCGCACATCTAATTCATTTCCGTTCATCCCAGGGTCAGTCGACGAGGGAGAGAAATGAGGGGAGATGGGAAATATGGGGCCCGCCGTGAGGCACGCGGAAAAGCGCGACCACTCCGCTTTTCCTCGTCCTGTTTTTCCTCTTCGCGGCGTCCCGTTAACCGGCAGCTTTTTTGCTTATTAGGAACTTTACCGAGAGCGGTCGCGGCTATTATTTGCCGAACGCCCCCGCGATTTACGTCGCGGCGCGCTCACTGCGATTAATAAGAGCCGCGGGAATAAATCACCTCCGATGTGACACAAGTAGCGAAGAAGTGGGTATAGAAGTGGGTAAGTGGGGATAGGTAGATAGGCAGGCAGCTGGCGGAGATTCACCAGGTGTAGTCTCTAACGCTCGCAAATCCCAAACTCGAAACCTATCGGCTCAGCGAAAATTTATCGGTGTGTCCTTCGCTTATCGCGACGCTAGGTTTCCGATTTTTAATGCTAGTTACGTCGCGGCGATCAATTATTTTAAAATGTATTTAGAGACGCTTAAGCGAAAAAAAACTGAAAGTAGTAACACGTTATCAGTTTACACCGTCGGATCGTAATTTACGCAGAGTCGAGTAACCGATTCCGGCCGTGCTGACCGCGAGAGTCCATGGAGAGTCACGAGCTAATTAAGCCGCGCGAATTAACCCAATATCTTTATTTTATCGAATGTTGATACAACGAGATCTTACAGCAGAAACGAAACGGCGCGTTATAGCGCGGCGATACAAAAATATGTCTCTCTCTCCCTAATACTTCCGCGCGCGACTCGCGCGCGCGGCTTAAACGGTAAAAAGTAGAAAATATCGTGCACATCAGTCCGCATATAGGTACTACGTGATAACGAAATACCACGATATTTTCCATGCTTTTCACGCTTAGCAGTCTATTAATGACGGTTTGTCGCTCAGCCACGAGTGTACCGCGATCCGGTATAAATAAAAGGAAAAACGTAAGAGAGAAGGAGAGAAGGTTATGTACGAGAGAATAGTATAAAATTATGAAACGTAATCGGATATTAAATACTCTGCGCGTAACAAACTAAACATGTCGCTTAATAACGTGTTATTTGTACATTTAAGGGCTCGACGACAACGAAGACAATGCTACGTCACGACGCGGAAATTCAATCTTCTCTGCTCTTCGCGGCAATGCCGATCGAGCAGGTAAATAGAAATAAAATAAAAAAAGAAAATAAAGAAAGAAAAAAGGTACAATACTGCAACAAATAACACTCGCCTGTGATCACGCACAAGTATCATCCCTATCGGGACGATCGCGTTCGTATCCTTAAGTGTTTTATATCTTAAAGAACTACCGCAAAACGGGAGTCTCTCCGCGACAGTTTCAACTGCAACCAACGTAGATTTAGCGAAAATCGCGTAGGGGGAAATAGAGTTTCTACGCTCATTTTTTCTCTTCTGTATGGAGACTATATGAGCATTTCCACCGGCATCGCGCTCTAAATCCACGTTCATTTGCGTTAATTATCAATATCACTTATCATCTCATCGTTATACATCAACGATTATTATGGCAACGAAAAATGCACCTTCGCTCATTCGGTTAAAAAAAGGTTAATGAACAAAAAGAAAAGGACGTATATATATAATGGCCGCGAAGCACACCCACTTTGCGCCGCGTTAAAGAAAGCTCTATTCGCTTTATTTCAATATTTCGTTTTTTCTCTTTCCTTAAAGGCTGTTGGTCTTCTCGTCTTCGTTTAGTCTCACGGGAGAAACGGACGTCGTGGTGTCCGGGCTCTCGGTGCACGAGTCACACTTGTTGTTATTCTCTTTGTCGTCGTTCACTTTTTGGATTCTCGACCTGACGCCTCTCTTTCTCTCTGGCATTTCTTTCACCTTCGGCTTCTTTTCCGGATCGAAGTGACGCTCGAGAATAAACAATAGATCCTCTATCTTTTTCTCTTCAACTTTCGGTAGCTTTTCCTTCAGCAGAAGCTCCAGTCCGTCCTTCTTCTCATTATTCCACGCATCCTGAAATATACGAATTTCGCAAATGTGTAATTAAGAGGTGCCGTCACATGGCTGATAAGAAGTCTGTCTGATTGTAGATTGAGTTTTTCTTGACAAGAGTGCGCCGTACATTTCGCGATCCGAAGCAGGCGCTATCTCAATATTCTATGAGTAACTTGGTCGGTAAATTGGGTGTTTTAGCAAGGAGGCCGGGAAATAACATATTTACACACGTTTCTGTTGCTTACTGCAAACGTCAATTGTTAGCACGCAATTAATTAGACATGGTTGCTTACCTGTAGCTCTGAATACTCGATTCCAGCCTCGGCAAGCAATCGCCGCAGGGGACTAGCGTGTTGGCGTTCCCGGCGGTTCATACGGAACAAGGCGCTGAATATCGGCCGCAAGTTATTCTGCCGCTCGAATATCATCTTCAGTTCTGCAACAAAACTTTGTGTATTGCGGCGGACATTCCCAGCGCGACTCTCGACTTGGCTTTCCACAGTTCACGACATGTTCGATGAAGTTCGAAACAAACAGCGAAATGACACTCGGAAAAACGGTTACAACGTCGTCGAGATGTACATTGCAATTCGATATGCGAAACTGCAACCCGCGATCCACATTCATATTATTTAATCTCTAAAAATCCTACATAGATCTTTTCTTCCTCAACAAAATTATGTATTCGTTTCTCTCTGACCGGGACTGAGATACGACGGAAATATTTTTATTAATTGTACATTATGTAATTATCGGACGTTTTATTATTAATAACGTTGGCAGAGAAGCAACTAGGATTATAGTCGGTGAGAATGTTACATCGCCAATGTAATGTAAAACTCATGTACGGAAAATCGATCAATCGTGGAAGTGTGTGTTTATCAAATCAATAATATTACCGCATACCCTACGATATACGTACCATCATGTTCCTGCTCCTCGACATCGACGGGCTGCGCGAATTCTCGCACAAATTCTACCGTTTTTTTGATGGTTTCATCAGTATCTCCGCTACCATTCGTATCATCGGGCTTGCTGCTTTCCAACGAACACAAGTATTGCACCACTTGCAAAGCCAACGAAGCTCTATCTTGCGCATTGCCCAGATTCCCTTCCTTCAAATGTTACAGACAATATTTATGATCACGAGAATTATGTATCATCGTTATATTAGTTGGAAAATATTCATACTGGAGTGCCATAAGCAGCTATTAATTCGCGAATATTTATGAAATATTCTGAAATACGACAGATGTCCTCTTCTAAATCAGAGTTAGATATTGATTACGATCGAACAAAACAACTCGAACAGACGGCGTTTCCGTTGACTTATTTATTTGTTAAAATCTCATTGGTATCATCTTCTTTCTCACCTTCTTCAGCAGTGTTCGCGACAAAGTACGCAAGGAATAAACGTGCGCAGAGTTGGCGCACTTTTGCTCGGCGATATTGAATCCGTTTGCAAATCCTTTGACTGTTTCCTTGAATCTGCCCACGAGATTGTACTTCTTCAGCGATTCGAGCAACATCGCGGGGATGACTTTGCGTGGTTCATGATAAACCAGAATTATTCCGTCCGCTGTTTCTCCCTTCATGTTCTCCAACCAGCTCAGGAAGTCCATTAATGCGGACACTTCACTTTTGGATTTGATCACCTAGTAGGAAGATGTGTGCATTCTTTTATGTGCGAACAGAAAAATTTAGTAGCGCCGAGTCGATCCTTCTCGAACGGCTGATATATCGAAGATTTCTTTTCGATTGTTAATATTCGAAATTTGTATACTTATGAAAAGTTTGGATCAAATTAACTTTGAGTTTTTGTAATTTAACGTTAACGAGGGGCACTATTAGAAGAAATTAAACTCACATATATAATCATATATATAATGCATTATAAATCAATCAGGTTATTTTCAGTCTAAATAAAGATAAAACGAGAAATTTCTCATTTAGATAAAGATAACAAGTGAAATCCTCCCGAGAAAATATAATAGGAGAACATGCGGGTGTCGATAAATAAAAATTCCTTTATCAAGACTCAACGCGCGCTTCTCTTTCGTTATAAATGAATTCTCTCTTCGGCGCACAGTACCGTAAAGTATCGATACTCGATACTGCGAGAGGCTTTCGTACGTACCTCGTTGGTTTTACTGTGCCTTAAGACGCGGAATTTGCCGTTGGTCACAACTTTCATGCTGTGACGCTTTATCGCGGTCGGATTGAGATCCTTGTACGGCATCACGTACTGAGAGTAAGCAGAGTCCGAAGTGTATGTGGCTATTTGACAGATCTCGTCAATGACCTTCTTGCCGGTAGTGTCCATGTCCCAGCCGACCAGACGATAATCGCCCGGTGCAATGCCCACCGCATAGCATGGTCCTTTCGCCGGAGTCTCCTTCTCGCTATCCGTCACTGTCGAGCACACCATCGTTCACGTAGCCACTTCCCTGAAAAGCGCGAACGTTCGCGTATTCTTATCTCGCCTTGATTGCCTCCTCTAGCAGCGTCGCCTTTACGCCTCCGCAGGCCCAGAGCAAGATTATATTTCAGAGCTTCGTTACTCAACCGATCCGAGGAGAAGTCACAGATTAATACGAGAGAACAAAAATAATCTTTTGCGTAAACACAGAGAGATAACGTAGTGATTTGTGTCAGTTGTTCAATATTTGATAAAAAAAGAAATATTACGGCAGATATAAGTTTAGTTGAAGCAAGATTGCGCAAGTGGATCTTCGTTAGAAAAAGACGCGACCATATTATCGATTATTGGACGATTACGTGAATACATATTATGTCATCGCTATGTTATATCATAATATGTATATCGTATGTATGTTATTAGTTTCGTGCATCTCTTTTTATTATCCAGAATTAATTTCCCATAATTAATTCCCGATCCGTTCACTCACGGTGAAATTCGCGGTCGGACACTGCCTTCTGGAATTTCGAATTACGATCAAGCTAAATTGTAAACTTGTTTCAAGGCTGTGAGGCCTTTCGAGGTCTTTCGTTCGAGAACATATGAACGATAGATAACAGCCTTTGTCACAGTCGCCCTTGAAGAACAATTGATGACATTATGCGGTATGTAAACATCGTTTAAATGAAGAAGCAACACAGTATCGTTTCGTCATTGAACACGTTATAAAGATACAAATATCCCGGTTGTAATCGTTTCGCTAACGTCCATCCAAACGGCGCAACGTTCTGCAAGTTTTCGCATAATTTCGATTATAAATCGCTGACTTGAGGTACCACCTGATACGGCTTGAAATCCGAATTGCACAAGTTGCAAAGAATATTCACTTTCGTTGTTAAAAACGAAACGTATTTAGATTAAAATACTCAATTTTTGTAATTTCCCGTGGATTGCCTCTGGAAATTTTTGATTACAGAATTTTGAAATTTTCTCTTTTTTCCTTTTGTCTTTTTCCTCCACACATTTTAGTATCGTTTAATATAATTAAATGCAAAATGGAAATAGAGATTGATGCGTATGACATAGAATAAAAACATAATATACAGAAATAGAAAAATTTTTAAAAGAACTCGCGTTAAAAAATAAATTCTTATCAATTTTTTATGGTTCACTAGCTATTTGTACAGTTGCGAGATAGGTATTTATAGAGTAGAAGTGTTATGTCCCAATTTTCCACGTCGAACAAAGCGTATTCTCCAACGTGTGCGTGTTCTCTATGATCTCTCACGTGGAAGTTTCTCGAGATGACATCATCAGTATCGTCGTCATGTAGGCGATTTTACCGTGACATTGTTCATTTCTAATTATAAGGGTTACACAGCCGCGATTTCGTCGACCTTCATAAAGGATAAAAAGAGAATTGCGCAATGCACAAGGCTAAAGTTATCTTGACGTTTTCATCTATGAATTTTTTGATCTCATTCCAATTAAAACGAGGCAAGAGTTCGCACGTCACGAAGAGAAAAACGGGAGAACACACACCAAATAAGATACAGACACGGTGACGATAGTTCAAGAGCATGTGTACACACGATCGAGCACGTTCGCGATGTATTATCGAGGCGACGTTTAAGAAAACCGAGAGACGTTTTCCCGTAAAGATTTGCGTAACTGTCCGCCACTCACTTACGTTGAAGATGATGATCTCGCGACTTGAGATGTATATCGACCCGGAGAAACACGACACGAAACAAAACAACACGTACACTTACATATGTGAAAATATAGGCACGATTAAAACTGCGACACCGATTCGCGGCAGATACGCAAGGAGGATTGCGCAACACGAGCGAGCATACACGAGAGACGTACGAAAGCGAGAACGGCGGACGAAGCTGCCAAAGGAGACATACCTTTTCACGGTGTCGCGACGCAAATGACAATACACGATCCTCTCGCGGCCACGTGGACGTACTCTCGCATGTCGACAAAAGACGAGAGATAGCGTGTGCGCATGCGGATTCCGACGCACTTCGTCGCTGAGACCGCTTCCCTGTTTGCGCGCCGCCGTCTGATAACGCGAGAAACACGACTAAACGTTTCGTGCTGCGCGTCATTTTAAAATGTCTCGGAATTTGAATATTATTGCGTCCACAGCTGGCATTCTTGGCCAGTTATCTTTCATTCCGCCGATAATTAGTAGTTTATATTAATTTCGAATAATTAGCAAATTGTACTCCAAATGTCGCGTGTTTCCGATGAATATGCTCCGTGAATTGTTGCCTGCTAGTCTTTGCTTTCAGGCAATTGAATCTCGCGGTGAATTATTATCTGCGGAGCTTGCACGCGGAGATGACACGACGTGACAAGAATTCACGTCAAGATTGAATACAACACGGAGTTGCGCTCGAGATTTGGTCGCACATGTGCTGTACTATACGTGCCACTTTAACTAAGATATTTGCATTCCGAAATGCTAACTAATTTCCCGTCGATTCTCTCTCGAGAAAAATACCAAAGAGTAATTTTTTAAGTGCAAAGCGCTGAGGACTCTGCGAAACGAGCCGCGAAGATACAAATGCAGAATGAATCGTTATTCGTCGTTAAAATCGAAGCAAAGTAGTTGTTACCAGAATTATAGTTGGCCAAGCTAATATTAAAGCACGGTAAGTTATGACAAATTGATAGTGGTGTAACTTGTTTCGATATTTAAATGAAATTTGGCTTTTGGCATTCGTAACGATCCACAAAATCAAAGTTTATAAAATCAAAAATCGAACGCGAAGGTCGAAGAAACAATAACTGAACAACAAAGTTACAGACGGAAAGACAAACGCGTACTTTGTTTGTCCTTTTACACACATTCCGATAGAATTCTGCATTAAATCGAGTTATTCTATGCCTGACCATTATATTCGCGTAAATAAAATACATATATATTATATATATATAATTATACATATAATTATACATATAATTATACATATAATTACATATATATTTATTACGCGATTAAATCATTCACACCGCGATTAAATCATTCGCCACGGGATATCACGAGACAGACTTCTAGTCGCGTTTAATCGTACGAATAATTTAGCTTAACAACATAATATCGCGGAACACTTTCTTATTTACGTATCGACGACCTTGCGCGAGACTTTCACGCATTCTTCCACGGTTGGACAAGACGATACGTAATATCCAACGGCGAGATATCTAATCGCTTGAAATGCATTAAACGATAAAACGATGCAAGTTACTTAGATAAAAAGCACCAAGCAACAGTTCAGATGAATCGCGCAAACACCTTATATGGATTAATTGCCGATTATCGATGTATTAACAGTGAATAACATTGTTACAAACGCGAAGAATCAACTTATACTTATACTGTTAATAATACCAGTTATCTCTTTCCGCTATTTGTAACTACATGGAAGGATTCGAAGAGAATAAATTGCGATCTCGACAAAGCCAGATATCGTCGTTGACGTTATTGGGAGGTACTCGACAAAAGTAAAAAAAATTCCTATCGCTCTGCCTGCGCGTAAACACCCGTCGCCATTCCCGCTCGAGACTTTCGTCGTTTCTTTTTGCCGTCACGAAATACCGTTAGTGCGTAGTCGCGCGAGCACAACGTGCGTGCATTCCGAACGCACGTGGCCACAGCGCGAATGCGCGTGTGGATCAACTTCCGTACATGTAGCGGCGATTGCGAAACACCCACGATCTCGGAAGAATGTAGGATCAGCGATTCGCGCTCTCAAGAACTTACCGATTTGTCCGTTTGTGACTGTCTCTTGCGTTCTTTCTCTGTCTTTTTCTTTTCCTGTCCTTTCTTTCTCTCTTTCTCTCTCTCTCTTCCTCTTTTCTCCTTGTTCCTTACGACAAATCTCGAGTTCGCAATCTACGCGCGATATACGTATATATGAATCACACGAGCACGAATCGTTCGATTGCTTATCGGTCGCGCAAATGATACTGAACGAGTCGCGGTATTGCGGGCACACGTGCATGAGTGTGAAGCGCATGCTCGCTGAATCCAGCTGAATCCAGTGAGTCACGTGGTCGCCCGCGGTCACGCGGTTTATTGGCTGATTCGATGCGCGCCGAATCGCGCGCGTCGCGAATATTCGGATCTGGTTGGCGTCTTGCGAATGGAAATTTCTACCGAGACCACTCGCGATGATCGTCAGCGCGAATCACTTCGAATTTTCAAGGTAGAACTGTCGTGGACAGAACGCAGTGGGGACGCTCCCTTTTCGTAAAGATTTTTAGGCAAAGATTTCGAGATTGTTGTCGCGGTAATTATAAAAAAAAAAAAAAAAAATAGAATGAGCCATAGAGCAGATATGCAAAATACGGCGGTAGTAGCGGAAGGAATTTGTATTCTCCCTTGAGGATATATCTCGGAAGGCCAAAAATATATGCTGCAAAGATACAACAACGCAAAGTAACAGAAGATAGAAGGCAAATTCGTTTCACCTGGAGCACATAAACGTCATATGAATAAGTAATAAGCACAGATGCTCTATGTGCTACCTTTTTGCTCTTTTGCTGTGAGATGAAAGCAGATAATATGTTCAGTGTGGCTATTCCAAAGCGAAGTGTATGAAAACTTTGTATTGACATCAGTATTGAAAGCAAGTTTATCTCGAAGATAAACAGAGAAAGAATACCTTTGTCTTTGACTCGTGTTTGGAGTCTCACGTTCTCCTAACGGAAATACTGAGGCAAACTATCTAGCTTCCAAACTGCAAACTATTGAAAATAGAATATATTTTATGGATTAAACTCGCGAGAGGCATGAAAATAAACAATTAAGTGATCTCCTACCTTAATTGTTATGACCGAAAATAAATGGAATTAATTTCGAAAATATTTAAAGTCTAGGTGAGAAAAGTTGATAGACGAATTAGATATTAGACGTCCGATGAAATTCCCTCTGAGATGAAATCGAAGTTAAGTCGATCGAAGGAAAAACCGCAAGAAACTGATAGAAATTTGAAACATCCTGTCTGTTATCAGTGAAAGTATATTAATGCGAACGTCGAGAAGATATATAAACCGGAATTTATCAGAACGTCAATTAATAAGGGAATAAACTAATTAATCATCTATTTGACGTTAATATACGGTAATTTGATTTAGTCACGCGCACATGACGATGATGCTTATTAATATATAATTTCGTCAAAATATTGATTCGGGAAGTCAATATTGTTAAATTAACACATACGAATAATACGCTATTACTAACAAAGGTGAAATGTGCGCTGGTACATTCTCGCATACAAATGTATATATAACACTGGCATTAAATTAATTCTGTAATTAGTGAACGTCAGGGGGGTTTAACTTGTAGTATAAAATTGTCAAATTTTAATATGTTTTGTTCGACCCCTTAATTGCCAACAATTGCAATATTATCGATTAATTATCGACAATTGCACTATTACAATAATAGTGTTAGTATCAACGACTATTTCCACTAACCTTTTAGAGATTTTACTGTAACCACTAATCCTTTTACAGATTTCTATAATATATCCTTCTCTAATTTCGAGATGCGAGTGCAAAATAAAAATTTTGGTTTTACCGGACTGAGACTAGAAGTGAGTGCTTGAAGTGGACAAAACTGATGCATAGATGAAAATATATTGAAGTAGATAGCTAATTGAGCGAATAAATTATATAATTAATACATAAATTATAATGTAACATCACCGCATAAGATCTGTATTAATAATCCGTACTTGAGACTTGCTTGAGGTGTAAGGTGTGAGATTTTCAGATTTGAGTTTAGAGTTAGATGTGTTTTTCAGTTTTTAAGTTGAAATTAGTGATAATGTCACGTATATTATGTACTTTAACTGAGAAATTTAAATCTAACTCTATATATAAATTCAGATTTAAGTATCTGACGTGAGACAAGTATCAAATACTGAGCATTAATACGAGTCTAAGACTTGTCTAAAATTTGGATCCTAGAAATTTCGTGACTTTTACGCTATATCCAGAAAACCACGATAATGATACTGTAACTTGCATCGCGTTTTAAAGCCAAAGTTAGATTTCACGGATTATATTTACATATTGTTTCGTGGTTTTCACAATCTGAGTAAGTGGAGTGCATATAAGACCATGTTTTTGTTCCCGCAACGATGACAATGATTAAACCCGATTCCGAACTCACAGATGCGCATTAATTCTTATCTGCTTTATCTCGACGATCGCAATGATATAAGAAAGTCGTGCGACAATCACTCACCGAGTTTTCTCTTTGCAACGCATGCGGTGCGTTTATCTCGCTCGACAAACATCGCGGCCACGTGAGGAAAAATGTACGCGCGCGTGACGCTTGATTCCGCCGCGAAGCACTCACTTCTTTTCATTCCCGCTATCGCTTTTTTCGCTCGTAATCACCCCGTATCATATATTTGTGTTCTGATTGCAAAATGCACAAGACATTTCAAAAATATGAATCTTTCGATAAATTTGAAAAATGCTTTTTTTGAATAAGATATATTTTGTTTCAGAGTTATAAGCATTTGAAAGCAAACAGTTCCTTCACAGAAGCTTGAAAGTGCAAATAAATTCGAAAATTTTAATTCTTTGTTAAATTCTAAATGGATTTTAATAGATTTGCGAGCCGAAAATTAATTATGGAACTACACATTTAATGTTGCAGAAGAAAATTTGCGACAAGTATACATGACCTGCTTGATAATTTTGTTGAGAGAAAATCGACTTTCGAATTTCGTTAAAGAAACCGCGAAATGAAAGGTGACTCGTTAGAGCCTGGATGCCTGGAATGTCCAGCGTGCTAACTTCATTTTTAACTCAAACTAACGCGAGAGAGATAAAGATAGGAGGGAAGAGAGGGGAGGGAAAGAAGGAAGATATCAAATTGAATATGATGTATCTAAGCCATAGCGAAAATTTGTAACAAGCGATGCAATTATTCTCCGATCATTCAATATTGATAACATCTAAGTCTGCGCCCGACAGTATCGATAAATTCCATGAACAGATTCTCGTGCTAGTGTTAGTTTTCGATTTTTCGGTCACCGGAAAAATGTTCACCGCGGTAGATACGTGTGTCGTGCAGTTATCGGATTTTTTTTTCCACAGAGCTTAACACGAGATAATTATTCCCGGCTGGCTAACTTCTCCGCGGCCAGGAAACTGGATAATTGGTCGCGTTACACCGTGTCCTGTAATCCGCAATTATCTGATAAATCGTATCTCGGACGTGTATTCTTCACTGTATATGCAGATTAAAATATCACTGCAAACTGTAATCTTAAATTTCAATTTAAAGATATGACATATGAGATTGATCGACGCAAAGAAAGTGGGCTAATCCGTCCGCGAGCTGTTTAATTATAACACAAAGGATAGATTTTTCGATACTAGTTTAAACTCAGATTTTTAAGTTTGAATTCTATTTAACAATATTAAACTTATTGTTAAAACAGAGTTTAAATTGAATTCTAAATTTAAACATTATTCACACACACAACACACACACATCAGTCTTAACAAACACTTTTCTTAAGCATTAAACTTAAATTTAGGTTTAAATGCTCAAAAAATATGATCTTATTTTTAGCGGAATTCTCTGGCCTTGAGAGGATTCTTCTAAAACTAAAAGGAAAATATTCTAAGCACAATATTCTTAAAGTTAGAGGAATTTCATCTTTTATCTACAGTATACAAATCTTACTCGAAATTTCTATTCCTCTTTATTTAAAAGGAGAAAGAAGTTGAAATAGTATCTAACAGATTTTCGATTAATAGTTCACTTCGTTAGAAGAGCTTCATTAGAATACTCTTTGATAAGTTTTAATTTAGAATATGCAATTACAGAACACCTTACAATTCTCTTGTAAAGTTGCAAAGTTCTTCCATTTGTTAGAATATTTTACTTTTGATTTTAGAAGAATCCTTTTGTGACCAAGAAGAAAAGAAGATTCCGTTAAGAATAAAATCATATTTTTTTAGGTAAAATGTTATTGAAAAATTTGTTTATAGTGCTCTCTAAATTTTTTTGGAGTAATTTTCACTCGAAAAATAGGATGACCACCGAGTCACTCGAATTCGAATGATTTTTCCTTCATATAGATTCAATTTCCTCCATTCTGAAAATATTCATTCGAAATTAAAGAATGAACTTGAGGTATTTCATTGTTACAGAAAATTGTTCACTCTAATTGATCGAAACATTCACTCATGGAGTTTACTTTAAGCCAGAATCCACTCTAAGCTTGAGTGAAACATTCACTTTCGTGATTTCGAATGGTAGTGTTTACACTAACGCTTTGACTAAAAAAATGTTCTTTTAAAAACGTTAAAAAGCGTTTTAATCTTAGTAAAAACTTAATTTTCAGAAAACATCTAAATTTTCATCTACATTTTCTTCTTCACGATTTTCATTTTCAATTTGATATAACATCTGGTAGACAATCGGTCGCAATTAATTAGACGTGTAACCTGCTCGAAATGTACTTCACCGAAACCGCAGGCGGGCTGGCGCGGAGAAAGTGCATTGCATTACATCACGCTTCGGACGGGGTCGATTACCATGCGATCCAGTTTGAAGTACGAGAAGTCGATAAAAATCGATCGGCGAAACGTGTTCGGTTCGGTGGCAGCCACTCGCGAAGGAGACGCGAATGGCGCACGCTCTCGTTCTTATCGGGAAACGCGCATATCGTCGTGCGCAATATTGAAGTTGCGAAACCGCATTTTTGGGGGAATTCCAGTTACGTGCACAAAACGTTCGACGGTTGTGCGTATTCGGCGATCGACGCTGAATATTTCTGATTGAAAATCGCGACGACTTTTCGTCGCGTTGCTCCTCACAGCGCGCATATACTCCTCTTCCGCGCAGTTCTCGCAATTCTCCCGTCTGACACTCGACGTTAAATATGATCACGACGATTTTTCACCGGGACTGAAATTTGCAAGGAGCAAAAGGAATACTCAATATTCCGAAGAGCGAACTTCTCTGCTTTTGATGCATGATTACACGGACCGTATACATTCCATTAGGCGCGAGAGGGTTAACCCGAGTCGTCCGACAACTGACCGATCAGGATTCCACGCAGGAATGGGAAACACCGGATTAAGCCCCGATGAATCCGTCGCCGGAACGGTTAATATTCAGTCTAGCTTCCGTAAACATGACGAAGAAATCGATCGGCGCGACGTGTTGCTTCCGTGGTGCCTGCCGTCGTGCGTTTGCGTCGTGATTATTTTTTACGTGAACGCGGAAACGCGAGACACGTCCGCGGAGACGTCTACGTCGGAGTTAGTCTCGGGATGTTTCCTGCTCAACGTCCCGTGTTTCTATGTTCGTTCGGTAATGCCATCGTTGCGGAAATTAATCTCCGAGGGACAGACGACCTTTTTTTCTCCCGCTCGCTCGCAGTTTTAGCCGGTGTACTCGCTTTTTCCCCTCGATAACGTAACCGGCGAAAATTACACGACAACCGGGAAGGATCACGCAAAAGATGTATTGCGTACGGCGTGTCGTCTCGATCTCGTCGATCGGTCGCGTGCGATTCGTGACTCCCCGATCGTTTTCTCACCTGATATTGCCGATATCTTCGCCCGCTGAATCAGATTGAGTTGCTTTCTATCGTTTCGATCGGATCGTCCGTTGAATGCGCGATTTCACGATCTTTCCCACCGTGATGTGTCACGTGAGTCTTGATTTATCGCTCGACAAAAGAGAGCCTAATTCGACAATGTACTGTTTCACGACGCATGACACATGCAGCGGATATAATGAGGATGAAATTTGCGTCGCAAAGAAAGTGAAAGAAGCAAAAGTTGGTTTTCAAAGCCGAATGTGATAAAAAAGAAAACGAGAGGGGAAAGAGAGAGAATTGTTTTACTCACATTACATTTTATATTTCGACGTTAAATAGGTTTACGAATAAAGAAATACAATTCCAGAATTTATAAGCTGGAGTCGCTGGTTTTATCTCCAGCGAGTCTTTCACTAATCACGCGTGTCGTCACTATCGTCGTCGTCGTCGTTGCAGACGACAGATTCAGCGTTTTCGCGTATCGGCACGCTCGCTGATAACGGAGTTCGAGTCCAATATAACTTGGCCGAGTTTAGATTTCAGGCTGGTGAGGTCAAAATGGAAGCAATAAGTTGCGATAGCTCGGGAAAGGAAGAAAAGTAAAAGTAAGCTCACGACAAACCAGCGCAACTGTGATACCGCGGCGTTATCTCGAGGTAAGTCAATCGCGCAAATTTTATTACGCCGCCTTAGTTTCTCCCGGATTTGCCATTGTTTTGTTGACGCCGTACATGATATGAGGATGTACAGCCGAGCGAAGCGAACAGTAGCGCGCTTCCTCGACGAAAATGCGTATCCTCATTCCGGCGGCAACGGATCGGTGGTGCTTTTGATGACATTAAAGCGTCCCCATTAATCGTACACTTGATATATTTCATCCACGCGACCCGGTTTGCATAGTAATGACGCGCGTATATAAATTTGCGTTCTCCGGCTTTCCGCGCGAGTTTGCGGCAGTCGGTAATGCCAGAACGATATTGTGAGTGCCGAAAGCGACGAAAGTGAACTAATTAAACTCGGATTTATATCAGCGCGACTTAACTCGCGCCTTAGTCGGAATTTCAAGTGATCGCTTGCGAAAATAGAAGCGCAACCTTTGACGTACGTTTGTAAGTTTGGCGGTGTTTGCCAAACGTTTAAATTCAGATGGCGACCGACGAGACACCGTACATTAACCGAAACCGTGTCTTGAAAATAACGTGTTTGCAAGCGTTTCGTTTTTACATCGTAAGAAAAAGTTCGATAAAGGATCTTTCCATTTTTTCATGGAATGTTGTTCTATTGATTTTGCAGCAAAAGAAATATGATTTTCATCCTCTGTTATTAAAAATGCAAATATTGAAGATAATATTGGAAATATCCTTTTTTATTTGATAGCAGGGAAAAATTATCTTAAAATAAACAAATATTTTTTTGATGGGTGCCATTAACATATTTACTTAAATCTAAATTCTCTTTATTTAAATCAAATATTATTTACCTGTTTTAAGTAAACAATATTTGGTTTAAATAAAGAGAATTTTGATTTAAATAAATATGTTAATGGCACCCATCAAATAAATATTTGTTGATTTTAAGGTAATTTTTCCCTCAGTGTAGAAATAGTCTTATAGAAATGAAATTTATATCCTCCACTTTCTAAAATCCGCACCATGAAATTAAAGAATCCTTTTACAGATTTCTATAATCTTGTATCCTTCTCTAATTTCGAGATGCGAGTGCAAAATAAAAATTTCGATTTTACCGGGCTGAGGCTAGAAGTGAGTGCTTGAAGTGGACAAAACTGATGCATAGATGAAAATATATTGAAGTAGATAGCTAATTGAGCGAATAAATTATACAATTAATACAGTAAACATTTAATTGGCTCAGTAATTACGATTATTAATATAAACGCGTCGGCAAAATTTACCGTTGCATAAGCGCGTAATTGGCTCGATCAACTGACTATCTGTTTTCACGCGAGTGACCGCTAGTGCTGTTCATCCTGCCAGTTTATTCTCCGCGAAGTGGCGATTTCAGCTGCGATCGACACGCCGCAGTAAGAACGGCCCCGTTAACATGCGTGTTGAATTATTTTAATATAAAGTCAGGTGTACGATATATGATGATAATCCTCTTTCCTTTTCTCTTTTTTCAGGGAATGATTTTCAACTATTAGCGTGTGTCTACCAACGCAAAGATCTCATTTTCTTAACGCGGCGCTACAATAAATCAACAGGTAATGCTATTTTGGACAGATGCGCTATTCAGCTACGTTTGCTCGCATAACTGGTTTCAAAAGCCCTGGTCAAGCTGCCCAACAGTGCTCGGTTATCCCTGCAGGCTATGCCAGGAACACAGTCGACACGTCGTTACTCCGTCCGCGAACAGCATGTGGGTTTTATGCGATTTTATACGCGCAATTACCGTGGAAATCTGTGAGCTCGAACGCTGCCGCATCTCGTACCCTCGTAATTAATCCCATGTAACCCTTAACAAGGAAGGGAGAGACCTTCCGCGGCTTTGTAAGTAATTATTTTTGGAATTCCTGTCGTGAACGCAGAAACCCAGTAGGAGTATAACGAAGCGATCTGAACGTGACTTTTGAGAAAACGACGCGTTTAAAATTTTACCTCTACCGGTCAGAATTAATACGAAAGCTGTGCCTCGACAATGATGTTACGCACAATGCAATTTTCTATTCATCTTTCGACAAATATGCTGTAAAAAATAACATGTCTTTCTTATTATATACATGACATCATTGATCCCTAAGTTTTTTTATAAGACACCTCGAACTGTCGACATGTGCAATTTGCGCGCTTCTGACTTTTCTCGTAAAAAATCAATGCGATTTACGTCTACACATGCACTATGTAATATGACGCTCTGTGAGCTTGGTTTGTTCACTCACTATTTCGCGTCGATATCCAACGTTGATGTCCAGCCGTTCACATCCATCGATGAAGCCTGCCGCTGTATCCCCCTGTATTTTCAACAGTCTCTGTAGCGTCCAGTTACGTTCCACGTCGAACGTACTTCACTCACTTCACTTTACTGTATTGTTCTCGCGACCGCCACAATTTTAACGGCGATTTAAACGATTAGACGATTTATCAAACAATTTAACGATGTAAGTGCGATTCACTGATTTTAATGATTTAACGAAAAGTACGCGATAAATTTCAGTGCTTTGAGAATATACTCTCGATTTGCGAGTCGCGTGTAAAAGATCACGGCGCTCTTAAATAAATATCGTCGATATTATTTTAACGAGGTCTACAAAGAAAAAAGAAATATTCCGTTTCACAGACGATTGTACTTATCGAAAAATGAGTTTTCTCTATTTCACAAGAATTATAATTTTTAAAAACAACAGCATAAATATACGTCGAGCAAAACAACAAATAAAATGAAATTTAGCCTTAACTTCCGCGGAAATGATATATAGCGTCACATATGAAATATTTGGGAAACCGATGACCGCAATGATCACAAAATTGATCGCAAACGAAGTATGTAAACACAAATTCCGTGTCTGGTGGTACAATTCTGATGCACATTTTATATTGCCCGAAATAATTAGTGGATCACAATGAATGAATACAATTCCACTGAATAATCTTACATTTTAAGTAAAATATAATAAGTGCCGAAACGTTTATATAAGCTCATTAAAGATTAAGAGATTAAAAATAATATAAAGAGTATCGTAAAGAGATACTTTGGACATATGCAAGAAAATATTTTTAAGAAAAAAGTATTGAATAGTTCAAATATTTATGAAAATTAAAAGAAGTGTGTTCTCTTGATTGCTTCGAGCAATATGATACTTTGATAGACGACACAACACATACATGCAAAAATCTACAACTTAAGTAAATAGCATTGATTTCGACTATATTATTTAAACACCTGTCACTAGAATATCCATCAGTCTCATTTTTCATACACATATTTCTGACTCACCGAAATACCAGGAACTCAGAGTCGGTCGCGTTCCGCTACAGATCTGAAATAAAAAATATAGGTTCTCTGATAAGAGATACAATATTTAATGGCTTGACGAGAAAAATTCCCGTAGATATCAGCGTGGCAACTTTCTGCGACTATTGTAGCTCAATATTTTTAGTCACGATTAAAAACTACGATTTTTATCTTGTATATTTTATCTAATTTTACCTTTACCTGTTAGTTTCCAATCGCAAAAGATTAAATACAAGAATACATTCGCAAATCTACCTTTGATTCTGCGTGGCTCGAACCGGATCTTCCAGTACAGTGTCCACATCCACCTTCCGGAGTCGCACTACTTCGTAATCATAAGCTCTGACAAATTCCCTGATTATCTATACTGATATATGTCATATGAAGAATATGAAAGATTGAGACTGTATGAAACTAATAAAAATGAAAGATGGTAGTCACCTTTGAGATCCAGAATGCTGCTGTTATTTGACAAGATCCTAAGGTGATGATCGACGTTATTCTCCAAGTTCCGTGAATATCTTTGATATAGTCATTCCTTCTTTTCCTCTGATTATCACTGAATTTATAATTTCCGAATAATAAGTTCGACGATGATTTTATTACTACTTAAGTGAGACAATGATGATAACAAATGTGAAAGACATTAACTTGATACGTCGTAACAAGTACCTGTTGGATACAGAAAAATGAGATTATTCCCTAATAACGTACTTATGATCGTCTTCCGACGATCGTATAACGCTATTTCGACACTCCCGATACTTATTTCTGCACGAAACTCACTTTCGATAGAGAAAAGACCCGTAAAGTGCGAAACTATGTCGATTGAGAGAGAGATGTGTTAACGGCGGTTGCTCAACGCGAAAAGATTGATATTCAAGATAGCTGCGCAATTGACGACGTACGTCGAGAATGCGCGTCAGAATAGTATCGCCCTTCTACAATGATGCGCTTTGTGAGATATATCCCTCTCTTTCTCTCTCCCTTGCTAACAGACCGATGCTACCTTCCGAGATTCGATATCATATACAAATATCTCTATTGTCATATTATCAATCTATGCCTCTGATTAGTATCGCTTTTCTAATTCCCGACTAATAAATCCGATGATCTTCCGATCCTTTAATATTTAAGCGAGTAGACGACAAGAAACGTCGAGATAAGCGTCGGTATGTATCGAAAGAAACAAAGAAAGAACAAGCAGATTGTTCATTATTAACATACTTACGATATTTCCTGATAGTCTCGTATATACCTCTATTTCGACACTCTCGATACTTATTTCTGCATGAGATTCACTCTTAACGGAGAGAAGACGCGTAAAATGCGGAGTGATGTTGATCGGTGTATTAATGGCGGCTGCTCGATGCAAAAGAAAGATGGCCGCGCCGAAAATTCGTACGTACACACGAAGTTGCCGCGCTCCCACAATGACGCCATCTGTAAGCTTAGATTCGCAGCTGCCTTACCATTCGATAGGTCGACTTATTTGATAGATCGATAGTTACCGAACAATATCGATCATTCCTTTTTAGTTAGAAAGGGACATTCCTTTCTAGTTACGCGTTTCCCATAGAGTTACCATGTTCAATAAACGGATGGTAGTTTTTGGCGCTTTCGCGACGACATAAATTTGTCGCGTAATATTATTCTTATCCACGCGCGTTCATGACATTCAGATTCAAGATTAAGATCATCGCATTGTGTTTCTGACGTTGAGGAAATATCGTCCTCAATCTATCCACGGTAAGATATTCGCGGCACTGTGAGTACGCTGATTGATCCGGAAAATTTTAACGTGGAACGTTTCCCGATAAGTGTACAAAGACTTTCGCGTAAAAAGAACTGTTATGATTGTACGTCATGTACCAATGTGTATTATTGCTTCCGAGGTTTCATGCCCTTCAACTAGCGAGAACTTGGGAGAACTATTGCTGTATTTATTCATTTATTTAATCACATATTTTCCCTATATCATAATATTAATATTATACATTATTGCGCAGTATTTCTTTTTCTTCTGATATTTAAGTTGTCAAAATGCATTTTTCTCTCTTTTTCGTAAATAAATAGATAAATAAATGTCTAACCTCTGCGATGGTGGTTCGCGGCACCGAAAAATAAGGTACGGCTCGCGTCGAAATAGATCAGTTTCATGGAGAAGAGACGACACATTACATTACATTTTTAAATAGAGTCAAAACTTATAAATTTCAATATCTTCTTTTATACTCTCTTTAATAGCTTCCATTTTGTGTCTCTTTGTGTATGCTTTTCTATTTTTAAATATCTGGACACGATTTTTTCCGGGAGTTTTTATTTAGCAACATGAATAATGCACGTAATTATCGTAACACGTTACATATTTGATAACGTTTATAATTCTACGTTTTACGCTAATGGATGGAAAATCTTTTCGTCAGCGGAGAGCATCGTCGCCGGACCGTTGCTCCGTTCCTGAGGAACAAATGTGCTCGCGTGCAGACTTTTTGCCGCGGCGCGATTATCCGGCCGCAAAAATTTGCGGTCCGCCTGCTTGATCGTGCGGATTAGCGGTCGCTTCTTTGGCCCATTAATTCCCGGCGGCGAGTTAGTTCGCGTTAGACGCTTTTTCCACGATGCGCGACGCGACGCTTCCTGCGTATCGGTTGTTACTTTAACGATGACGACGATGACGATGACGACGAGGACGAGGACGAGGACGACGCAAAGGCACGTTATTAACGAGGCGGAAAATTCAATGCTCGCGCATCGCGATTTCGGATGCGATTTCCTACGTATCGAATAATTTACGATAATTGTCGGGTGAGTGTAGCGTGTGGATGCAAGTTTGCAGTTGTGATCGACGTATGAAATGATTCACGCGCTTTTTCCGGTCATCTTGCCCTGACCTTGACCGCCGATAAGGCACTGTTTCCTGTTGAGATTTTTAACCTTGACATTTCAACGGCCGTTTGGATGCATAACGGAAGTGTGCTTCCATCCGAGCCTTTGCCCGGAATTTGAGCTGACAGAAACAAAAAATTGAATTTTAGATTCGCCTATTTTCCTTTTTTAAATGCATAATACAGAGCACACCGAAAGAAAAAATATCTAGAAAGTAGTAAATATATATTTATTTACGATGAGTATATTAATATAACATATTTACTTATACTAGTAAATAAATAAATATACATATATTTTTTTTTTAAATATACATTCTCTTAAATATAATTTCTCTTTTAGAAAACTCTAGCTTTTTATGAGTGATTATTTGTTTTATTTGAATAAAAGGATTTGGATTTTATAGAAAATGTACTATAATACTCACCAAATAAATCTTTACTACTTTTTTGTCACGAAAAATAAAGGACTGATTTATTTATGAAATAACATCTCTCTACCTCTCTTTTTCTCTCTCGCATAATTGTTGCGCGTGAGGAAGGTGATCTTCAATTCGAAAACTTCGATGCTCGTATACGTCAATATTCACGTCTACATTCGTAGGCGAATTTTCTGTTTTGCGACTTTTCGACTGCCGCGGCAATCCTCGCCAGTCGCTCTCGCCGAAAAAAAATAATCGATCCTTCGCATTATGCGATTTCATTCATCGGCGAACTCGCGCAGCAAAATCGGTGCGGCGCGATGCTCGGGAAACTGCTTTAATTTAAAGTTTTATTTACCATTTAAACTTTCTAATAAGACGCCTTACCGACGGCACCAATCGCCCGTGAGAACGCAGACATCGGGTTTCAGACGCCCCTCTCACCACCCCGCGATTCCGTCTCGGAGACCCATAACCGACCTTCTGCCTTGCCTCTCCTCCATCTCCTCCACGCGGATGTACGTTTCAGATCAGATTTATAACTGCAGAAGTTGGAAGTCGTATTTTACGGGCTCTCGCCCGCCTTTTTACGAGTCGATACGTAAACACATCTTCGTCTCCCTCGTCTATGCGCCTCGTTCTTCGTCCCTCGTGATGTTAAAAGCCGACCGATCCTCAGACAGAACTCGATCGCGACGCCGTTCATCTGGCTTAGCTGACAAGTCCCGGTGTCTTATTACGCTTCGTCGTTTTCGGTTTTCGATGTCTTCCCGTGTGTATACGGAAATTTTCTGTGTAGAAGCATATTCCTGATATAAAAGAAAGGAAAAAAAAAATATAAAGGATGTCTTACATAACTTGCACACATCCACTATACGGATAGAACTATTCATATTGACTTTAAATTAATTTCAAGTTAACTCAACATTTTACATAGTTATTTTGCAAAATAGTAAATGATTTTTGTATTGACGTGTGACGAGTTCTACATAAGCAAATGAGCGAGTTGCGTCGAGCATCCTTTTGTATGTATATGTACACGTTTGAATTTCACAGCGCAGCGTTTCGCCACTACGACGATGGCGAGACGCATCGGTGTGACATATCAGCCGCGGCATCAACGATGATATCACTGCCAATTCGCGCGGCGATGATGTAAGTTTTCGCTCTTACGTCATCGCGCAACGCATTGCGACGGTGTCCCTTTAAACATGACTCGGACTCGGAATAATACCGCGAACGAATATACATTAAACATAACGAATATACATAAAACAAATATACATAAAACCATTACGAGTGCGATATTAAAAGAAAATAAAATTTTTTAAATGACATTAATTCTCCATTAAATGAGGAAGGATGCGATATTTACGGTATATCCGTTGAGATATTTCCTTCGAACAGGATGACATAGACGTCCACCGTGTTTGAAGCCGATATTCGCGAACCGAGCGCGGCAAAGATCAGCGTATCGATCCAGTAACGGGTTACGCCATCCAAAGTGGACGGCATGTTAATTACGAATTCCTGATCGAGTGAACTTTATCTGAATCCCGATGGAACGAAGGATGTGATTTAATTAATGCGACTCTTTGTGCGAACCGTTCGGGAGATCCGCGTTATGCGATTTACGGACGTGGCGAGGCTCATTTCACCCGCGGAATCCTGCCGAATCGTTGCGTTTGTAGCGCACTATTCGCAGCTGCCGTCCTTGTTGATAACGAATTACAAATGGCGCGTTTGCCGCGTGCTTTCGGAACATTGTCTAACACTAATGTTAATGCAACAATCGATTGTTTTGACCTTAACCCGAAAATTATATTTTCCATAAATAAGAAGAGAAAAATATTATTTTCGTTACTTTCACGATTGTAGATACTTCGTTCGATTTACAGACTTGTTCGATAGGGCTATTAACAGATTGACTGTCGCGTTGATTGACGTCGATTGTACAAAAACTTAATCGATGATTGAATTATTGAAGATACGGTGAATAAAGGTAATTCGAGATACGAATATCTTTTATCTCTCGCACGTTTTACCGACTCTCTATGGGCCTTACAATTTATCTCTCAAGTGCAATTAATTATACGCAATTTAATAAAGACGCGTTAGTATCAATAAAAGAAGAATATTATCTCATCCTTAGCAAAATTTTTTATATGTGGCCTCCACAGAATTCTCCTGAAACTGAATGAAATGAAAAATATTTATTTGAAGAGAAGTATTCTTTCAGTATAAAAGTTTTCACTTAGAATATGGGAAATAATACCTTGCAAGAAATAATACCTTGCAAGTAGAGTATTTGGAGTGTTAGAATAGTTTCCTAGTGGTTTTAGAAGAATCTTCTCTGCAGGCCATAGATTCCGTTGAGGTTGAGATTATATTTTCTGGATGTCGTAATCCTAGTCCAGTGCGTTTCGCTGCTCGAGCAGCGGTGTGCGAAATCGACCTCAGGTGTACCTTAAAATAAAAAAAAAAAAAAATAAACACAATTACACTGAGAGAAAAATGCTTGATGTAACTAAAATTTTAATTATTTTTTATTCCAACTAAATTTAGTAAAAAAAATTTCTTGAACCTTATAATTTATATTAATTATTTATCTATGTAATTACATAATTACATATACAAAATACGTTTTCCTCAGTGTACGTAGCGCATACATGCATGTTTTCGTGTATTTACGGTGCCCTTCGCATGCAAAATCTAGCTCCATTTTCGGCCATTCCCGCGAATGCGCCTGTGGCGTTCTTTTCGCCGATCCGGCCGCGATCTAACAGCGAAACGGATCATGTCCCAACGGTGGAATTCGAGTCGAAGTCGCGGTCTTATATCGGCTCATCTGCAGACGCGCGTTACGGCCACGGCGGGCATTAGGGGATCATTTATCTTACTTACGCGATAGGCGATGAGCCTGACCCATTACGCGGTCACCGGGGACCGAAATTCCTCCTCTAGCGCAATGCAGCCGCCACCCTCGAGCCAGTGCTCGCTCGTGCAGCTCGTGCAGCTCGGTTCCTTCCGGCCGAAACGAGTCTCCGGTTAGCGCGGAATCAATATTCATTAGGCACAAGGAGTACGCCGCGTTCTCGTACTCGTGTGAATAATATTTTCGGAACAGTAATTGACCGATCACGCGCCGCCAAAGCCACTTAATCACGGACGTCGTGTGCGGAATACTTCACACGACTTCGTGATCGCGAAAAAATTACCGGACTCTGTCCTTTCTCACTCGCGCCTCACTCGTTCGATTTTGTAAAACACTCTCGTAAGAGAAATCTTTTTCGCGATTTAGCGCGTGGACATAAAGAATATTGCTTCTAATTTAATTTTAATTAAATTAAATTTATTTTAATTTAACTTAATTTATTTTAAATTAAATTAAATTAAATTAATTTTTTATATAAATTCTTGTCAGTTTTTTCTATATTTTTAGCAGAGCAGGAATCGACTGTCAGGAAAATAAATTTTAATTCCAAAAGACATAGTAAATTTTGCCAACAAATTTTCAATTGTTTTGCAATATTTTCCAATATTCCATTTCTCAAAATATAAACAGCACATATATGAAATGTAAGGATAATAAATTATTGCGGATTGTCGATTTATTTTTGGTTACAAAAATTCCATTTATCAATAAACAAATTTTATAGAAAATAATATGCAACGCGGAACCAATACAACGAAAAAAATATGCAAAAAAGTAAATATTTAAGGATTAGGAAAAACGAAGGAACACTTTGTGTTAAATACGCGTCATCTGTGTTAGACATGTTCAAACTCAACAAGTTCAAACAAGAAGGGAAGTGTTAATGCGCGAAAATGTTTCATCTCTCAATTCTTTCAGAAGTTACACTTTTATCGGGTACAAGCTTCTCATTGTTAATATGAAACTGTTAATATAAAATGGATCGTGTGTTTCAAAGTAAGAATTAAATCACAGTAAATGGACTTCATATCGTTGGAAATGTGGAAGGCAGCCGCGGTGACTCCTTTTCCGAAGGCAGGTTGATCTCGCTCAAGCTAGAACACGCCGCCTTACTGATACGCCAATTGTATCGATTGTAAAAAATAATGCAATTACAATGGACGTTAAATGAAGTCATGTAGGCTCTTTGACGCGGGCGCGCTAATTAACGTCGGAACGAATTCACTCATTATCTTTAGAAACGTCGATAGAGAGGCGCGGTTTTTTATTATTACCTTTGTGGCATTCCTGTAGAAGGCTGTAATTTCTACGGGCAAGGGCATTTCTTCGTGGAAGACGTGCCGCCGCGAATATCGCACGAGATCGATACTCATTAGAGGCAGATCCCGATAAGCTCGTTCATTCGTTATATTTAGCGGAGCCACTTGACCGTTTCCGCCGTCGCGCATGCTTCGGAGAATAGTCGCGCATTTACCGGAAAACTTGTCTCGCTAATTAGAGAATTGCTTTGTCGATTTTCGGCATGATAGACGCGATCGTCCCGGCGCGATTGGAAATTCCCTCCGGCGATGAAGTTAATTTACTTCATCGTGAGAAACGATGCGCATTTTGCAACTTATCGTTTTTTGCCATTGATGTATTAATTCGGCAGATTCGCAGGAAGATACCTTTACACATCGCGACTATAATAGAAATATACTCTATGTGCGCCGTTACATCGTTACACGCGCTTGTATACTTGATATATATGCGCTTAATCGGGCGCGGCGATAGTCGCAGTTGGACGGTGGTATGGCTGATCGTAACTACTGGCTGACGTGTAACGGAATGCAATGGCGATATCATTAAATTGTTATAATATGATATTCTCGCGCTTGTTTAATGAGTCAACGATACGTAAACCGGGATCCTTGGCGCCCTTGGAGTCTCGCTATAAAGTAATGCTGCGCGTAGGGAAGACCAGAACTAGTTTTAATAGAGGTTGTAATGATGCTTCTATTTCATAAAGGAACAGAAATAGAATAATGCTTCGAGGACAAAAAACTCTCGTCTCATGACGGTAGTTTTAGATAGAAGCATCGTTACAACTCGTTAAAACTAACCTCGGTCTTTACTGTGTATGTCTCGTTTGAATGTATGCACAACAGTAGAACTTAAAAGCTCATAAGCACGAATCAATCTGACTTACTCGATCAGTAAGTATCATTTTCATTTAGAACAATAATATTTGTTTAAATATATCTACCCGTCTTTGAGCTTTAAATAATATTCCGCTATTATATCTCGACTAAAAACTTATCCCGTAGCTTCTAGTCAGCTTTGATCCCAATCAGTTATCTGGTTTATATAAGGCGATTCATTGAGTCCTGATATATCATATAACGCTGTATGGTAATCAGAACTTGATTAATAATAAAGATTATTAATAATTAGGGCCTTATTAATAACGGAGATCAGATAGTAGACATCGTCTTATACAAACTGATTCGAATCAACCTGATCAAGATCATGGGATAAATTTCTAGTCGCGGTTTAATTAACGTTTCACTTGCTTTCTTTTCACGTTTATATATCTTTAGTAGAGAAGAAAAAGCTCGCAAAATTTCAAATAAAATAAGAAAAAATCGCGCGCGATGGATCTGAGATGTCCGGCAGTATATCCCGTCCGCGTTTCATATTTCGTAAATTCTATCGAGATGACAAACACCGATTATTGGTTTCTCCTTACTTCTCTGGAGG